TTTTATTCCTTGGTTTTCTTTCGCTAACACGCAGATCTTCAGGCTGGGGAGGCGGTGGGAGCCTATTAGAAAAAAAGAAGGAATAAAAGAAAAAGTTTAAAAAATTGGGAGCGAGAATCGGGATTACACAGCTTATATTCCGTCTATAGTCCGAAATAGGGACTGGCGTGGTATCCATCCGTGGTTTATTTGATCCACACCACGGATAAGGTGAACCACGGATGGAATTCCCACGGTTACCAGATGAACCGTGGTTACCGTGCCACGGTTCAATTCCCGTATATAACATTTAGATTTTTTATGCTATTTTGTACTTATAACACACAATTATGCAAAATTAATCATATACAAGCTAAGATAAAATATTACATGGGTATTTAAATGAAAATTATACAAGAAATTAATTTTTTTTTGTTTTCCATAAATATGAAAAAAGAGAAATAAATCAAATTTCAATCCATTCCCGTCCTCTTAGCCTCTAATTAGTATAAGAAAAAAAGAATACATTTTAATGGCTTACCAACTATTTCTTTATCTGACATTGACCAAACTTCAGCATCACTCATCCCAGTAACAGACAGTGTTTTCTGAATCCTTTGTCTAGGTCTCGATAGCTGCACTGCAGGAGCTTCTACCGCCGGCCCCATACAAAGAGCTTCTTGTGATGGCCGTGATCGGAACGTGAGAGAAGAAGCATCCAGAGTAACCAGCACTCTAGTCATGTTGTAATACTTCTCATAGGGAAAATTTGAAAGGAGAGGAGGCTGATCCTCAGACATAGGATAATTATGATGTAGGGTTTGTGTTTCTTTGAGATTTTAGCAAGACATACAGGCAAATGAGTGAGTAACTATATTTTGTTATGCTACTGTGACATGCTACACTGGAAACCAAGCAAACCACGGAAACCGTGGGAATTTATCCACTGGTATGGATACTGTGGGAAAGTTCATCCGTAGTATGGATACCGTGGATCCCCCTAACCACGCCAGTCCCTAGTCCGAAACTACGTCTTATTGTTTGCGTCAGATGGAGAAAGTGTGGGTGCGAAAGAACTTCGGGAATTCGTAGTTCATGAATTCATTGATCGTGAGAATGACTACTACACATGTAGTGCGGATAATCCAGATCCAAAGCCTTCTCTATTCTATTTCTTCTTTTCGCACTGTGCGCTGCCAGATCGGGAGGAAGAAAGAAAGCTTGGTTGACGGAAGCGGTAAGAAGGGCAGGGAAGAAGGGAGACTTCTCAAGCAGTGCAGTTCCCATCACTTTGGTGTTGGAGGTGTCCCGCTCTGTTGACAACCTTTGGACCTGTGTTGCCCTGTTCCTTGTCCCTGATTTACATGCTCCTCAAGTTGACAATGTCCGTTGACCGACAGTTCGCAGCTATTTTGGATGACCGCGCCCGCAGATGCATTAGTTTACCCTGTATCTCAGCGATAGAGTAAAGGCACACCGTTCGATGTATTCCAGGTGTATCATCGACGATCCTCCGAGGGCCACCGCTAGGTGAGAAATTCCGAACACGGAACTGCCTCCTCTGGGAATTGATCTTCTAGATATCGGAATGTCGTCAATGTGCCACTGGGTGTTTCTCGAAGGGTATGTCGGGTAGACATTAAGCCACCGCAGAGCTCTTGAGCCACGGGTGCAGTCGTGCAAATTCCCAGCCCAGAACCCGGCATCCGTCTCCCTGGATGACTTCTGCAGAGTTTTCCGAGCGTTACAGAGCCAGAGATCATAGAACGTGGTTCGAATGAAAAGCCGAGACAGTATCTCTGAAATGGGGGCTAGTTACGTTTGATGGATTCAAAATTAAAAATAGTATTAACGCCAATTCGATGTATGTTCCCCAGTTCGTTCCCAAAAAGGTGCTGGATGAGAGGCACATGGACGAGAGAAGATGTCTTATCAGTTTGTCCTACTCCATGAAATGAAGAGAGCTCAGGTTGCTGGCGACCAGGAGATCATGACCAGTATTTCGAAGGAGCAGTCGCTACCGGGAACTAATAGAAGAACAAGAGCAATATCTGCCATCCTTCGTGGCGTTTAGGGCATCCTAGTATCATCCATCTTGTGGAAATGAATCCCTGATTTCTAGATAGAAGATGGCGTCAACGTTCAAGCCGCTGCGTTGGGTCGGCAGAGGACATGGTGAGCTCTTGCCTTGCATGTAATGAGGTAAATACAATCGTTAGGGTACCAGGGGATACTCAACCCTTTTTGACAGTAGCAACTCACGAACTCTCGTTCTGTCTACGGCTCTGAGGCCTGGAGTCTACACATTCTCAGAGGGACCCTGGCAAGGAAATAAGAAGCAGGTGTCCCTCTGTGAGTCCATTCGTCGGCCTTGCTCTTGTCAAGAAACGGCTTGCTGTGGTTTTTGAATAATTACCACCTGACAAACGGACAATCAGAACCCTCGCGGGCCTATTTTAAAAATATCAATCAATCACTCATCTCATATATCAGTGCCATTGAGCTGCGCCTCGAGGACAGCAAAGAAATTCCTTTGTCATTCCACCTTTACTAAAACGGTTCAGTCGAAACCAAAATGGTCTATAAACAATAACAACGGTTTTCTTCCCCTTTGCCCCGAACACACACGGGATCAGCAGAGCACAGCAATCCGAGGCTAATTCTCATTCGCGGTTTCCCCGAGAAATAGCGAACAAGAACGGAGAATGCTAGTAATACCAATTGAAGCAACAATCAAAGAAACGAGCAGGACGAGATGCCGCCGGCGATACATGTGGGGGATGATTGTCTTTTTGTTTTCCTCCCCACGCTCCGAGGTAGTGCTTTTCAATCAACTTTCGTTATTGACCGACAGTGTGTAGCGGAGGTCCGCCTGACGCCTTGTTCAGACGCACACCTAAGTAGGTTCAGATGAAAAGATCGACGCAGTGTAGAAACTTTGAGTAGCGCAATGCTTGTTCGTTGCCGAAGCCAGGCACGTCAAGGTAGCACATGGATTTAGCGCCTCTCTCTAAAACGGGGAGTTGGTATAGAACCAAGAAATTGCTGATGCCGGGGTGGCGTCTTATGAGCTGTTCTCTTGTTTGGCGCGGCCCTGTTAATCGCATTCTAGAGTCGAGGGTAAATAGTTGTTGATCTCGTCGGCTACCGTAAAAATTAGCAATAGACAATGCAGGGGCGCTTGTTATCTACAAGCAGTTCTTTCCTCTGGGGAAATCATCAAAGACTGATGCTGGTTTCCAAACGTTCGTCGGCCCCGTAACGTCTCAATGTAATAAACATCCGACCTGTAGACATGGAAATAATCAATCAAGTAGACCTTGCCTTGTTTAAACCAACAAAATCAAAGTAGAAGTTCCAGACGGAAATCCAGGCGCTTGTGACAAGAAGGGTTGTCTAAAACACGTGAAAACAAAGTGAGTGGCCCAAGGGTAACTGAGCTACTTACAAGCAAACTAGAAGATAGAATACAAACTTCTAGAGGGTTAGCACCAATTAAAGGTTATCAAAGGAGTAATTAGGAAGGGTTAAGAGTGGTGGTAAGTAAGGGGCACTTGACACCCGAGATAACCTTCACGATGCTGCATCGTCAGTTTTCTTCCACCGACGCTAACGTACCTCCCAAGCAAGTAACCTCCAGAATTTGAGGTCCCATATCTGGTCCGAAGATTTCGCAGTTTGACCTTTCTCTTAGGCAGCCCGGAGAGCCCGAAGGACAAAGTTAGCTCGAAAGGAGTAATGTCTTGCGTCATGTCATGACCGATTACCGAATCGATTTGAAATCACGGAGACGTAGTTGCGAAAGCCACGGAAGACATTCGAGTGTGGTGTCGTAAAGCAGAGTAGAGATAGTACCTTGCAAAAGCTTACTTAATCTGAGACATATTCAGTTCATTATCAGGCAAAGAAACTTGAGGAGTGGCAAAGTCGCGACTAACGGTCCGTAACTGCTGCTATGCTTTGTCCAACCCGATACTCAGCAAAGAAAACTTGAAGAGTGGCGAAGTCGCAACCAATGCGGTCCGTAACCCGGACTGGACTGGTGCTACACTTTGTCCAGCCCTGTCTCCTGTTTCCAACCGGCGGACAGCCCAAGTTCAGTAGTCAGTTAACGAACTCTCTATGTGGATGGATAAACCTGATGATACTCGGCAACTCACGCATATAGTATATGTATACTGTAAGCGAAGTGGAGTCCAGAGCTGGCCCAGGTAACAGGTCTCGTATATCAGAAAGAAAGTAGGGGAAACGCCCTCGGACCTCTGAGCGATCGAGAAATAAATTGGTGGCACTGGCTTTGTTACCTCTTAGCTTAGCTTGCGCGCGCAAAGACACAGGCACAAACCGTCCGGAGCTGAGCGCTGATATATCTTTTCCACCCCATCGTGACCAGTACATGTCGACCCCGTGCCTCCGGCCCGCGCATCATCGCAGGGGCCTCGTGTTTCGACCATCGGCTCAGGTCCGCTAGCTAGTACACTCCACATTGGTCATGCTAGGGCTTCTCCGCCGCCCCCCTTCCTGCGCTGCGCGGCTCCCGGTGCCCGATGTCGACTAATCTGGCGATGTCTGCCGCTTCTGCTTTCTCCCACTTCAGATTGATAGTGAATTTTTTTTTTCTTTCAGGCCAACCGACGAACCGATGAGGAGCGAGCAGGCACGCGAATAAACATCAGGCATATCGGTGTCAGAAGAAAAGCATGGGGCTGAACTTGTAGGGATTGACAAAGGGACAAATCGCTGCAACAGAAAATCGCAACAGAAAAAAAGGGAAAAGAGAAGGAAAATTAGAGAATAGTATGCGCCAAACTCCTGGTCGCGCCGCGTCGATCACACGCGTGGCTCACCTGCCTCGCTTACAAAGTAGTCGAATATTTAAATTCTCATATTTTTCATAAATGACAGCCATCACACAAAACAGACAGCTAAAAGAAGAAATAAGAAATGATGTGGTATATGTGGTGTCTCATCTGCGCTCCGCACTTGCACCTGCTCCCTGCTCTTGTGCTATTATTTTTGCTGACGCAACCCTCTTTGTTGGCTGATTACTACTCCGACAGCGGCATCAGGAGAGCAGTGAGACAATCTTGTGGATACCGGATCTTTGCTCTCACAAATCATGCACTTGAATAGCTGGCTGTGCAGATTTCTGGCCACCATGAATGGACAAGATCGTTTGTCATAGCCCCCTGCTTTGATACATTGCTTTGTTCTCGAAACTACCTATCCCAGAATACTGAAAAACACCCCAATTCAAAAATACTCGTATGCAGTAATTTCGATAGCGTGCGATGTGAACGGCCTGTCCACAAACCCCGGATCTGTCTATCTTAGAGCCATACCCATTGGAAGACCACGAAGAATCTTCTCGACCAATGCGCGCTTCATGAATTGTTCTTCCGCTAGTACGCGCGTTGTCTGCCCGTTCGAATTAATTAGTAAACGTGTAAGACGTGTGCCGCAAGGCCTGAATTCAATGCATGTGGAAATCTGAATAGTTCGTCTAGGCCAGACATCTCCCGTTCTCAGACAAGAGATTCAGGTGAAGACGGACGAGGTTCCCTAATTTGGGGTTTATGACGAGCAGCTTGAGTATATTGGGCTGTCGATTCAGCATCCAATTATATTGGAAGCAGATCGGCAATCGGGACCTCTTTGAAGAGAGAATGGAACAGAATAGGAAGCAGAAAGGTGTGACTTACACGGAGGAATCGCTCAAGGTCAATTCTGCCCGAATTGAGGGCACGATGGAGGTGATAAATCGTGTCTTCAATAGCGTTATCCTCGGCGACAAGATTAACCAATCTAATGAGCCGCTTTCAGCAAATGAAAAACTTCCAAGGCACGGAAGGGAGACAGGAAAACTTACTGATTACCAACAATGCTGCTCGCACAAACCATTTCATCAACGCTAACCTCCCCACGGCGACGCATCTCGCCGAGGGCATGCTCTCCATCTGTGATGAGACTGCTCCAGCGGTCGCCAACCACGCTGCATACGTCTCTCACAGCAACCAGTCGAGCGCTCTCATCTCGTATTGCCTCTGGCCCAGCAAGTAGCTCTGCCTGAGCTGCCCGCTGTCGCGCAACCGCATCGGCATGAGTTGCTGCAAGACGCGCTAGTGCGTCGCGAAAGGATGAAAGAAGCGCATTGTGCAGTGCAACCGTTTGTGGATTTGGCGGACGCGGCGGCGGTGCGGCATCGGTGTTATCTGAAGGAGCTGGTTGCACTGCATTAAAATCATTATTTTCATCCAGTAGATCGGGTGGTGGCAAAGACGGTGGAGGCCTGACAGGTTCGGTGACTAGTGAAACTTGAGGCGCAGGATTTTGTTGATAACCGGGTCCGGGGACATATCCTAGACTATTATTTGGTAAGTTTGTTGAAGATGATCCAGGAATGCTCGATGGTGAGAGGAAGGGAAGCGGTTGACTGTATGCACGAGGCACAACAGGCGGAGGTGACACAGTAATTGCAGAACTTTGTCCATTTACGGCTGTTGTTACTGATATTTGGTTCTGATCTCGATTCGTGAACGGCGAAGGTGGGACAGGAGGATGGGGAGGCACGGGCGGCCGTTCAGGGACATACGGTGGAGGACCTTGCGAGTTCTGGTTCTGACCTGCTCCCAACGAAAAAGGAGATGAATAGCGAATTCCGAATTCGATATTTAGCGCCGCTCAAGATACGAGGAACACGGATTGCAACGCGAACTCACCTCGCGGTATTGCCGGGGATGGCGCCGACGGTGGAATCGCTCCAGGAATAGGTGAATATCCAGCAGGATGAGGTGGTACTGGAGGAGCGGGCTAGTCATGTTGTCAGTTCCACGGATCAATTTCATTGAGATGAAGCGAAGTAATCATAAAAGGATCAAGAACGGGAAAATAGTCGGAGAAAGGGCAAAGAAACGCATGCACGACGATGAAAATCCCGACCCCGTCGGTTCTGCAAGTCCAGGCAGCACTGCTACGGGGTTACTGACAAAAACAAGAACATCCGTAAAAAAGACTGGTCTGTTACATGAGCTCACGGCGTCCTGAACGATCAAGATATGCGACAAATTTCAAGATGCCGATTGACCGGTAAGACCGGACGCACTAGCGAAGAGAAACACGCCAGTAAAAGCGCCGAAACTCCCAGTCCAGCCAACAATACTGAAATTTATTAAATTACGGGAGAAAAAAAGGAGCAAAAAGGTAGCGCAATTGATGACAGGATACTCACACTATCACGGACATCCGTACCCACCGCACGAGGTGCATAATTTGCTTGGTTAGGCGCGTGCGTTTGCAAAGCTGATGGAGACGAAAATTGATTGGGAGTCGTTGGCACAGAGGATGACGTAGGAGCGGCTCCGACGACGTGAGTACTGCTACCCGGTGTAACAGGCAATGCTGGTCCGGAGGGGGCAAATGGCTTGGGCGGCAAACGCGGGGGCAAGGAGACATCAGTGTGACTCACGTGACCGCGATCCATAGGCGCGGCGACATGGGCGGCGCTTGGGGACGGCGAGGAGGGGGCAGGCGATGCAGCGGATGAAGGTCCGGCCGGATGCTTCGGACGCGATTTGGCATACAGCGGTGGGTCGTTTGAAAAGTAAGACTGCATGGCTTCGAGAAGAACAAGCAAGGAGCACGCCTGCGAGATCGAGAGCCGATGTCATTGTCAGTGCTGTGAGAACATCGGCGGAACAAATGGCCAGGACCCACCTCTGGCTTGCGAGGCCACTGAGATGTGTAGTCGATGTTGCACTTTCCTGAGTGGTCGACCTGCGGTGAGGGCTTCACAAGCATGTCGCTTGTCGGAACCACATAGACAAGGGGCGCCTCTGCGGGATAGGACAGCAGGACCCACAATGCGACAGGAATGTTGTATGACGCATTTCGGAATGAAATGGGGAGTAGACCATGCACGCAGAGGAGGAGTTGGGTGCGGCCATCGTCAAAGGCTGGGATTATCGTAAGCCTTTAGGTTCAGCTAGCTGGATATATTTCCTGTATGGGAGTGTTTGTGTCACCACGTACTGTACACATCTGTCTTTGGCCTCAAAGAGGGGTAGTGGTCGAGAGCAGCGAGGACGTCTGTGTAGACCCTGTCCGCATTGTGATAGCGGGCGATGTTCTGTTTCAGCCAGTTTGCGGTGAGTTCACTGCTCATCGCGGCAGACAGTGTTTGTGTTTCCTTGTCTTTGCTAGGCTAGGAGGAGAGCGCGAGCGATTCGGCGCGCGTGTTGTGCAGGTGAGTTTGGGCAGGCGGACACTGCAGCCGGTGATCCGGGGACCCTGATGATTGTGCGAGAATCAGGAAAGCTCAAAGACAATAGAAAGGAAAGGAAAAGAAGAACCGAGACGGCGGACGGGGTCCTACTGTGACAGAGTGACCGGGGTGCTGAGGCATTGAGAAAGAAGCGGCTTGGTGGACCCTGACGCTCTACTGAGGCTCCCCTCGGCCGGGGTCAAAATGCCCTACATAAAGGATCGGCCTCTTCGCGATGTCACTCTCACAATACTTAACCGCCTCCTCCCGGTCTCGCTCTGCGCACTCCCCGCGCGACCCCCCAATCTTCCATTTGCAAAAATGGACTCACTCATGCAGACAGACCATGCTCTCCCCCAGCGCCGTCATCGCAAGATGCTTAAGGACGGCTCTGCAGAAGTCTGGCCCCAGGACGCTGAGGATGTCTTCCTTGAGGGTCTCAAAGATTACTGGAACTCCCCCTGGGCAAACACAAGCAGAGGGCGCTCTCGTTGGCGCAACCAATATCTTGTCGACTATCTCAAGAAGTTCGGCATTGAAAGATCCAAGAAACAGGTAGCTTCGCATATACAAGTGCTTAGAAATATGTGGAAGGGCCATCCAGGTAGGACGTCATCCACAGTATACAAGAGTATGTCTTGTTCGCACACTCACTTCGTTCATGTCATTGCTCTTGCAGAATTCGCCTTAGTAGCAGGTCCAGACGCCATGTCTGAAGGCTCGTCTACCTCGGATAGATATTCTCCCCCTCAGCGGAGTAATAAGCTTACTTCTCGTTCACCGACATCACGCCGTCGACCCTCCATTTCCCACTCATCACCGCCCTCTACCCCGACTTCGAACGGCTCAGAATACTCGGAGGCGGTTCTGAAGGACCCTCACCACCCACAAGGCTTGCATCTCTCGCCATCGATCACATCTCAACCTCCTGTAATCAAGTCGGAGCATCTTCAATCACCTCAAGGTTCACTTTTCGAGCCATCCGGCCTCCCTTCAGTCCCTGAAGTTGCGCTGGAACAGCCGCAGTCAGCGGCGCCCAACAGCACGGTCGGATTTTGCCTATGGGCGCAGAACATCGAACCTACCTATGTCGATGTAGATGCCCTGCCGTTTGTAGACAAACCCACCTCGCCAGGTTCACCAGTACCGCCACAACTACCGCTTAGGGGCATCCCACGCGCCTGCCTGCGGTTCACCCTTCGATTGCCGACAGAAGGAAGCGGATGCGATGCAATGGGCTTTAGTGGTGCCATCACATTTTCACGGCCGCTTGCGTCTTCCGCTAGAGTCGTGACGCGCGTGCATATAAACAACGTCCCAGTGTCTCAGGAGGTCCAGCCCCTCGTCCCTGTTCATGATCAAGCAAACGCTGCGCTCACGGGCCAGGCGATGCAAGAACGGCATGTCGCGATGCTCCCTGACTCCTGTCTGTCTCGGTGCAACCTTCTGAATACGGCTGGCAAAAAAACTCGTATTATCCAACAAGTTATCGTAGACGCCGAGCCGCTCTTCGTCGTTGGATATGACCTTTATCGCCTCCCGGTTCCGCACCTTACTGCGGAGCTCTCGTCATGGACGAAGGTGGTCGACAATAGACCTCCACCAGAGCCGTCACTAGACCCGTTGCCTATCGGTATGGGTCGATTTGGTGCGGGAAGCTCTGCGAACGAGTATCTATACGGTACCGCAGGTTCTCTCCCTGCGCACGTATCTCGGAATACGCCGCCGCACAGCCACGGTTTTGGGCACTCGCGCGGGCATAGTGTCGGGAGCCCGACGGTCGGACACCCGATATCACCGACTACGAGCTTAGGGTCAACACAGATCTCGGCGTCACTGTCCACCGGACCCAGTCAGGCCACGCCGACACACGCAAACTTCACAACACTCGGTTCACCAATGGCACCGACGAGTCCGCACGGTTCGTCATCTGGCTCTTCAACGGCGCGCTCGCGCTCCAGTTTTAGCCAGGGCAATGTGGGCATGGGCATGGGCATGACATCCGGTGTCAATTTCCCGTTGGCCCATCACGGACACGGAAATGGACACGGCTCTTTGATGGGCTCCGAAAATTTTGGTCAGGACCCTTGGACGAGCAATCTTCTACCTTTGTTCTGAACGTTTTCTTTGTCATTGTGACCACACGGCGCCCTACGTGTTCTATTCGAGCCCTGAACGGGTCGTATTCTTCTTCCCCTTCCGCTTTCACGCCGCAATACAAGCAACACGGTGGAAAGCAACGGGTCACGACTTCACGACACCTCCGCAGCATCACTCGCACGCAGAAGCACACCATATCGAACTTGAATCAATAAAGTATTTGTATATATCACCCTATTCTTCAACCTCTCTCTCTGCAGTCACTCGCCGGTGACACGCAAGTTCTCGCCCAACCTACTTTCTCCACCCTTCACCGAACCCACAATTTCGAATTCTTCGCATTCGCTGAATATATTCACCCCCTTCGCTCTTCACCACTCCTACTTTTAAGCTGTGACGCCGAAGAAACCGGTCTCCCGGCTGAACTTTTTTCTTCGAGTGACTTTGCTTCTCCCCTGTTTACCTTCTTGGGCAGCTGGACTTCTCGGCTCATATCACCGACTCGCAGAACCTCCTCACGCACGTTTTTCGTTGTGAAGCCATCTCCATCGCACCTGGCGACGCAACAATTCCCCATCCCTCTTCCCGCTCATCTACCACCATTCGAATTTCCACAATCTTCTCCGTTTTTATCATCAAACTCTTTTCTTTTCTGTGTCGCATACAATATCAACAGAATCACACTGTATAGCACCTATCTTCTCCCTTTTCCCCCTATATTTGTATGTTATATCTGTTTCTGATTAACTTTTTTTCGATCTTCTCTCTCGAACTTTCTGTCTGCTTTGCATATCCTCAATTACCACTCAGATTTGTCTGTCAAAATTTATCCCACCCGGTCATTTGGTACCTCCATCTGTGTATGGACGTCGTCATGCCATATTGCCATATTTCACCGAACATATATTTGTATTCACTTGTTTATTGGCTAAAGTCTATCAATTTTTATTCTGCTTTTGTTTTTTGTCTTCGCTTCTCTGGATCTTGTCGAAATTGCTTCCCCTCTTTCTCTTTTGAGTCGTGTAGTTCCGCCGATGTCAACAACTCTACACCAACCAATAAAATTAACATAGATGCCTCTCGCCCCCGTGCGCGTTAACTTTCAAGCATAAAATAAACTAGTGTGTGATCTAACGAATTTCCAAAAGAAATAAAGAATACTAGATGCTAGCTGATACGTGACATTGTGAGGAATTCTTGAGACCAGAATCGATCGTCGGTGTTGCGCCTCGCGACAGTATTCCTACCTACACTACACTACAACAGAAAATGCGCTGCGCTGTGCATGTAAAAGGCAAGACGGGACAGTTATAGATAGCTAGACCTTTGCCGCCAGCGCGCTGGGACGGACTTGCTTGGCGTGGTGAGTTTTAGTACTTTGCTCTACTTTGTTGGGACAGAAGCTCTCTCCTCACCCGAAATCTAACTTCTGGTCATTGTCATCTATTTCTATCTTTATACACGAGAATCTGAGTCCGGCGAGCATGGGGCTACCAGTAGCATAGAAGCACCTTTCAGAAGACGAGTAGAGGAGCTGTCATGCTTGAGCAGGTCGATCTCGAAGGAGAGTACGCTACCTATCGTATATTTAGTAGATTACTGCCGCCGTGTATATGCTATTGTGTACCGCTCTAGTCTGGCTGAGTCCGATGGCAGTGTTCCGCGGTTCGGACTCACTCACACAAAGCGTGGTTGTCAGTAAGGCATGCATGACCCACGTTTATCCTTCATGGTACAGGAGTGGCAGCTTCTCAGGCCCGACAGCACCCTCCCGTTCAATACACCCAGTGACCCAGTTGTCGCGGGAATTCCGACTCGCATAGCTGACAAGTAGGGTACCTTCTTTTCCTTTTCCTGCCCCCCTAACTTTCTCCCTTTCCCCCCATACACACTCTCCCACTTCTCCCGTATTGTCCTTCTGATCAGTTAGGTTTGATGTTCTCTTTCTTTCTTGTTCCGGTTTCTGACGATCTAAGTCGCCTTGGAAAGTGTACTTTCTTATTCTTTTCTCACCTTTTGTTTTTCCATCAAGTTCTATGCTTCGTGCACGGGCGCCTTCTCTGCGAAGGAAGGAAGCAATAGGATAGTACGGTTGAAGCACCACCAAGATTAGTGCTGCGCCCGGTACACGCGTATCGCACACGATCGTGTCCCTATCCAGCTTTCATCTCTGTATACTTACGGGCTTCCGCGTTCCCATATCGCGCGTTGCTTTCAACGCTGGTCACCGGAGACACCCTATCGATCGTATTAATTTAGTCATTAAGACACTAATTGGCTCTATTGGCTTGTAAATCTGAGTGATTGTACACGTACAACGAACCCAAGAGGATTGGATCCGGTTCGTATTTCATTAGTCGTCAACGACACAATTTTCGTGGCTGATTGCTAAGAAGAATATGGGTTCCTTTTCCTTTCGAAGAGTTTTATGCATTGTTTGCTATTCGCGAACAAAAGAGCATAGGGTGAGTAACTTTGTTTACTGAGGTAAATGGCCTGCTAAAATGCCCATGCTAACCGATCCATGTGCTCTGCATTGATCGTCGTGTTCATTTGAATTTCATTTTCTCTGACATGCCCAATAGATGCTTTTTTTTCGTATGCCGTGTCGTAAGTGTACCTTAAGATATACAGGTTCGCTCGTTCGAATGAAATTCAGGCGTGTCCCACGTGCATATGGTTAGTGGCACCTAGTCTTAGTGATGATATTTATGAGATAATCAAATTATGTCTGGTCCCAGTCAGCGCCAAGTTTCAGACAGGAAGGTCATACGAGAAAAGATCCCTGCGTGTTCAGGCACGACCGAAATAGACCGGAGCAAAATCGTAGTAAGAGTGAATCAGATGCGCTCGTCATGAAACCTGTGGCGGCGAGTTTCACTCGTGAACACGGCTCTATACTTAGAGCGAGATTAGATATGATTGCGAACGGAGGAGAACAGACGAGCGCGCAAGCTAATCCCACATGGTCGATAGAACCGGTGCTGTTCTCGTGCCTTGTAAGTTGTCCGGATATGTGGATGTCAAGTCACGATGCGGCCGTATCCTCTCTACCTGCTGACAGTGATGAAATACGAGTCTCGACTGGACTGGACCACCTTCGCACGTCGATACTGCCGTACCCTTATAGTTGCATTCGGGATAACGGAAGGGTTGGTAAAGGCTTTTGTGCCAGCAGCGCTTCGGAGGCAGTCCAGAAGCCAATGCCACCCCAACGCACAAGCCCGACAATCCGAGGGTCGTTAGATTTACCACAATCAGGATACCGGGAAGACTCAATAGTAGTTCGGACCGGAAGCAAACTGGAATTCGAGTGCTGTAGTCTAAGACGGAACGAGCCGAGCTCGGGCTGGATGTCAGAGGATCGCAATTCGGAGATGACACGGGTAAAAAGGCCACAGTCTATGTCAGGTTTCCACCACTGCTATCCATAAGTGTTTACCTGCGACGTGCGCAGACCGGACCGGATCCAGGGCTCTCACGCGCCATCGAGAGCTTTTCAATGACACTGCTATTCGAAGGTTATGATGTAGTTCGTCCATTTTCAGCGCTTTATTGAGCAACGTGAAAATATTTCGACGGTTTTAGCTCGGAATGCTTCATGTGCCACTGTCCGGAGTCAACTCCAACCTAGTCCGAGCTCAGATGATTGATTTTGAAGTGATGTCTTGTCTGACTGCAGCGCAGCTCGTGAGAGACAACAGTCCAGTTTGCCTTCGCATCTTTACCTCCGACGCATTGATAGATGCCATCTCGCAGTGTGACCTCGCAGTAATAGTGATGGACTGGTAGCATATCTATCGATGTTGTGTCACCTGTGAAATCTTCCTTTATATCGTCACGTGACAGTATTACGTCTTACTCGATCTATCTTAGACATACGTCATGCACCTTTTCGTAGGCCTGTTTTAGAGACGCCGTTTCCTTAATGATGCTCAACTTGTTTAGAGCTCAATAACGCCTGTGCTACTGCTTGCATTCATTTAACTGATATTGTCCATCTTTCTACTTAACGACGAGGAAAGCCATTGGGGTTGATGCGTGCGCTTGTTTTAGGTGCATCGGACTAGGACATGGGTTTGACGGCCGACCTCGTGTGGCAGCTGTGAGAAATCAAAGCAATTACTTGCACTGTACAGAGTTTTTCTTGCTATGGTGGAGTCTAGACGACTGCCGTAACAGACTCGTGTCTGAGTTATTGATGACCTATCAGAGTCTCTTGAACAGCCGCATGGATCAAATCATGTTGCATGTTCATCTTAGAGTTTGCCATGAGACTCAATCTTTTCAGACGCTGGCGAACGTGGCGGCGGTAATCTTGGCATCCAGTTACTTGCTTCCATAGGAGCAAGAAGACGCTCTAATGTCAATTGTTTCCTAGAGTTTCTTTTATAAACCAAGAATGGTGAATGGCTTGTGGTTTGAAAACATCCATATTCACCGCAATTGCCAGCTCCGTTTCCTCGGGTCAGGCCTACCAACTAGCGAATTTAAACATTGCTGTCTGGTGGGTAGCGAGGCCTCTGATGATCAGGCGGATGATGTATACCACTCATCGATCGCTCAGAAGCACGATAGGTGCCTAAAACTGAGTGGATGATCAGGGGAACTTATTGTATTCGCCGGTCCGTACATGGCGAGCATGAACGTGAATGATTAAGTCACGTTGCTGTTCTCCAGACTTCAACAAACCGAGATGCGGGAAGCGGATAATACTCAACTTCCTATGGTTATTGCTGAGTTTCCCTGCGCCTTCAAGGTCCGTATTCATCCAGAATTTTTCCTACTTCATATCACCTGCCCTTGGTTCGTGGCGCGATCATAATAAGACCCCGAGCTTCCTAATCAACGCAAAATCCTATTTAAAAGGGGCGGCGATAGAAGAAAACGTCCGTGACGCGATGAATGGACTTTCCATAGTACCCACGGTGGCCACGGATGTTGCGGTGCAATTGCATTGACCTTAAATTCACGGTGAGCACGGACCAATGTTCCGTGCTTCCTTGGCGCTCATCGGAGTTCGCATTGACGGGATATAAGAAATGGGACCGAATTGTATTACAATTTAGTCTCTTCTGGTGAGAAAAATTATCAGCTGTGATGAGTCGGGGTAAATTCACACGACGCCAAATATGTGCATACAATGATTCTACCGCCTACACAATCAATTGTCAATCATCGGAAAAGTTCAAAAGCTCAGCCTCGAGCGGTGAATGTAACCGAGTAGCTATATCGAGAAATCACTCAGAAGCTTCAAAGGAGTGCCCAAGTAAGAAATGTCAAAGATTAATTACCCCTTTTACTGTCGACTTGCGGATAATTGTCTGCAGCGCTAGCCAACAACCAAAGGGTAAAAGGTTCCGTCCCGGACATGCCGACTGACACGAGCAGTTGTTTGTACATGCACGTGGTGAAACGTGTACACACATATGGGAGCGTGGAGCTGAGGAAAGCGTCAGCAGTTGAGCTGGATGGTATGCCGCGAGGCTAACGGTGCGTCACTACATCGCCACAAATAATGCCTCATGGCAACAAATATTAACGAGCATGGCTGTTCTACTCCTAAGTGTGCGTACATTTCGGACCGGTACGCCATCTTCAGAGAAGAAATACTCAAAATAATCAAAATCCGGAGCTTGCGTGTAAGGAACGGCATTGGTACCGAAGAGATTCGGAAAGAAGTTTAAAACGGGTTAGACGCGTACGAGCCTGTCAGATAGAAAATCAGAGGATAGCGGGGGCAAACATTAATATTTGGAGTAAATACTTCGACGTCGTGCTAATTGCGGCCCTAACGGTGATTTCTCGCTCCGGACACGTCATTTCGTCTGATTTCTGAGCTCCTTCCGAAAGCCAGGCAACGTTTCGGTACGAGTATTCCATGCTAAACATTGGATGAGAAATATTACAACGTCAAACCAAGATGAGAAGGCGATATACCATCGATACACCAAATATCATATGGACGTCGATTGGCTCTTTTAGACTTCCTTAAGTGAATGGCATTTGACAGGGCTACTCCTGAAGCCTCAGGCGCAAATGAACTTGATGAAAGGAAAATGTTGTTCTGACCGATGGCGAACTCGGAAGCATAGTCATCTAGCTTTCATCTATTCAAATGTCTTAGATTAATCGATTTCTCCCCATTGCGAGGCTTGCTTTGTTATCTGCTCCTACGGATCTCGAAAAAACAAGAGCTTTACAGCTGATGAGGAAAAGTCAGCTCGCGTGCATAGGCAAAAAGCCATCCCGGCATGCCGTTCGATACTGGTTGAAGTGGAGTACACGCAAACGTCCGAGTCCGCACCACATGGGTGCATCAATATATCCCTGTCTTTGTTTCTCCTTTCTGTGCTTGCATTTGTACCATACGCCGAGCGGCGTTGCATGAAAACAAGAACATTTGGTCCCCTGAGTATTAATATCCGATTAGCATGCGCCTACCACCTGGGTGTAAATTGACAAAGCGGGAAAGCGGGGATCAACTCAAGGGCAGGAGATGTGCGGACAGACGGAATTCTGCAGACGTGCGCCGCAATCAACTGCCTCCAACTAGATGTCCAAGTGACGACATCTCATTTCCGGCAAGTCCGAAAGCCTATGAAGATGTTCATTGCAGCTGGATTAGCATACGCCTGCTTATTGGTCATGTCTGCTTTGCAGGATGCGGGATGCCTGGTAGTAGATGAACGATCTTGGATTAATCGTAATCATATCGGATGACGGGACTTGAGAATATGGTGTCATACACATCCTTAATGCATCTCCTTTCACGAAGGCCGCCGAGACTCTGATGTGGTGTAGAGGTTCGTCTGGTGAATCCAATAGAAATAAAGAAGCTCATATAAACAAGCGACTTAATTTGATTAAGCCTTCCCTGTGCGAGAACGGACCACGGATGCGCCCAGTTACAGAATAGAAAGTGCAAAGAGTACAAGCGCATGCTCTGGAAGCTTCGCGCTCAGGACCAGCGAGAAAAGTGATTGATATGCAATTGGGTTACTTGAGCACATGCCCATGCAAGGCCGACCAGCTATTCTGTGGCATCTTGATAAGGCGCATCCATAAAAGGCGAAAACTCATAATAGAACAGGAGTTCGTGTGGATGTCCGGTGATACCCTAGGTCAGCTGTAGAATCATCTCACATCTTTTTGTTCCGGCTCATGACGGGGATTCCAAAGCAGTAGCTGCAAATGAACGGCTCGTAGCTTCTGACAGGCTAGAATACGGAGATGTGCGCACCCAGACATGCGGAAATTGTGGATGAACGCCCGTATTCGCGCATACTAGCGTCGCCGCTGCGGCGATACCTCATGCCGGCTCAATCAAGCAAAACCGAGGAGATTCGCTCTACGATCCTTTGACACGTAGGAATTTCCGTTTATCCCTGTTTGAACTTCGGCGGATCATCGACATCGAACACTATACAGATGTTGTATCACTGTACAAATTCCTTCAGAGACCGAAAGACACCAAGGAAACATCTAAGCCGATCGTCGATTTAACTGAATTAAATCCAAACATGATCCTATCTGACATTGGTTGCTGGCCGGACTAACCGAGAGAAAACCGACAGTCGATGAATAAGGAAAATCAGCTATTTCTAGTAGGTGACTTACAGGAATATTCTGGTGAGCGGAAAATATGCCGTGGAGGTTCCACACCTCAGGTTTTCATTTGTGAAATAAGATGCATCATGAGGCGAAGTATGTCCATAAGGTGAAGGATATTTGACCTTGTCTATCCGATTTATCTTATCTAAGATAAGATAAGTTAAGAGTGATCGACGGCAGGATTCCATTTCACGATGCGTGTTCCTAGAATGGAGTGCATCGCAAAGCAAGTCAAATAAAATAGGAAATAAGAGTACAACAAGGATTTTGTAAAAATTCCGCGCAATTAGTTGTGGTCGCGAGAGTACTGCAAAAGTCCCTCCGCTAGTCGTCGTACTTCTAAGTCGGCGTGTCTCTCAATTAGGAGTTGTAGTTCCCACAGATTTGTAGCGAAGGGATTGCACAACTGTGGATCATCGACGTCGGGTCGATACACACCATTGGTGATCCTGTCTTCGATTGACAACAACGCGTCAAGTTTCGGTTCCTTCACAAATAGACTCCGAACAAAATCTACCGTGCGGGCAGCAGTCGTGGCAGGGAAGTGCAAAGAGGCAATGAGAAGACGTTTGGCAAATGCAGCAGTACGCCATGGCGGTGACTTCGCGGATGGAGATCGCGAAAAGAATACGAGATTCAAGGCACGAAAGAGCATGTTGGCCAGAGTATCGCTTCGTTGTCCCTGTGCTGCTGCTTTCTTGTGGAAGACTTTCGTGCCGGCGACAGGCTCCTCAATTCCAGGCGTGGAACTTAGCGGCAGTATCAGGGCATATAGGTGATTTATGAAGTCTGTCAGATCAAGATTCAAAGCCTCTCCTGTGTAATGTCGAGCATGAGTAAGTAGATTCGAGCAACGTCCAAGAGACAACCAGTATACCTTGACCAGACAGCAATTCAAAGGCAGTGACAATGCAATGTAGACGATGGTGCATGTACTCGACGTCGGGAATTGAACCTTCTATTTCTTGCTCCGCGTTTTCTTTGGTCTCGATAGTATATGTACTGTGGGAGACGTGGTCACGGAGCACCTGTAACAGATCCTTGAAGAAGTCGATATTCACGAGATGCGCGAAACGTGAGATTCCCTGTAGCGCGGCAGGAAGGAGAGGGGTTGGCTTGTCACTTTTCAGTATTCGGAAATAAAGAACGAATAAAAGCTTGAGAGTTTCTGTTTGCTGTGGGAAACTCCGATAAATAACATTACTTGTACATTTCGACATTCTTACTCACCACAGACATGCGTTCTTCCAGATCAACCTCTGCATTTGCCTCACGCATTTCATCCTCGATCGCCTTAGTCTCCTTGAGTTTCTTCAAAGCCTTTTTACTAACATGCGGCTGTGGTGTCGATTTCCCTTTCGCCCTCCGGGCAGCCGCTTTGCCTTTGGACATGGTTTCCCCGGGCCTCTCTTTATCAGCCCTTGATTGTGATGCACGGATGCCACCAAGTTCCGTCTTCAGACGCAAGTCAAGAAGACAGAACATGACGTTGGGGTGCACGTTAAAATGTCGCTCTTTAATCATTCGGTTCAAGAGTCGAACGATTTCAAGTGACGCCTGACCGATCGTATCCGTACGAAAGACAAACGTCAAAGTCTTCAGGCATAGTTCGGACGACTAGCAAGATTCGTCAACTCCCGTTGAGCTATACATGAAGTAAAGTTGTGCGATACAGACCTCATCCCACACCTTTCTGCTGAGACGTGCTACGACCACAGTCATTAGGTTGACTCGGAAGTTAAAGTGAGTCAAATCGGACAACAATTGGCATATGCATTGTAAAGCGGACTCAGCGAGTTCGCTCTTTGCTGGAAACATTAAGCATTAGAAGACGAGTAAATAAGTATTTAAACAGCATACCTTTTAGCTCAGCTTCAAGTACACGCAAATAAGCATGATATACGCTCACAAGGCCCTGCTCGAAATCTCGAGTCCGCTGGACTATCTGGCTAACCTTCTCCGCTTTCTCCTTGTCAGTCAACGGGCGTATACGATAGCCTGGTACGATGTCCTTGAATACAGCAAGTTGCGAGAGAATAGCAAGTCGTCGAACCAGCACATCGTTGGGTACCGGATCGGGATGCGAGGGCGTGGAGACGTGCGGGAGGCAAAACGTGTGTAAACGCCGCAAAAGTCCAATCTGTTGCGTGGATAGATTCAGACATGCTTAATATCAGAATGATAGAATGTATGAAGCAACGTACACTGTTTTCTGAATCAGCGACAATGTCCTGGCATATGCTTGCAATCTGTTCTTTCGCTTGTTGCACTCTTGCCTTACGTGATTTAGTTGAGATGATATCAACGACTGCGGGTCTTCCGAAACGAGCCCCAGTCGCGACATCTTCCCTAACTTGTACGTTCTGTTCCTCCTTCAACCTGAGCTCTTCGCCTGAAGTTTCTTCTTCCTCTTGCCTTCGAGGAATGACCTTATGCACCGAGTGCACGACTTTCCCGTCCTGGAGCTTAATAGGTAAGCGAGAGACTCCTTTCTCATCTTCACTTGAGCCCCATGATTTTTTGTGCTTTCTAGGCATCGTCTCATATGGCTTTTCTTCGTCATCCGAAGCTGCGCGAGCGATCCTCCGTCTTGTCCGTTGTGAAGAGAAAGTAGAAGATGCAGTATCATCGCCGGAGATATTATCATCCTCATCTTCAGTTCTCAAACTCCAGGATTCATCAACTTCGCTATGTGAATCAACGGATGGAAGGTCGTCCTCTCTAGCGGGTACTCTCTCGGGCTTTGTGAGCTGATGTAGCCTCTCTTGCTCTCTCTTGCTCCTAGCTTTTTGTCAGTCGCTAGGGTTCGAATTGAAATGAAGAGCGATATGCACCTTGCTATGCCCTTTTCGTCCAGATGCTGCAGAAATCCTCCCGCAGCGTTCATGTTCTCAGCAAAGAACTCAAGTTCTTCTTCAGAGATCTCCGACCCCGTCAAGGAGTCATTATGTGGAATAGGAATGAAAGGTTTCTCGTATGCGTGATCTTTGCCTTTACCCTTGTCATTTGTTTTTACCTTCTTGCTGGACTTGGTACTTTTCCCCGGCGACAGCTTCGCCTTTTTTGAGGAAATCTACATCTGCATTGAGACAAAGACAACGTAATGTCTAATGTTTAGAAGTACCTGAGATGTGCTAGCCTTGCGTTTCCTTAATGTTTTGTTTTTCAGAGCCATGGAGGAAAGCTGAAAGCTGAGTACAGTGCGTTCTATCAGTGACAGTGACAATCTCTCAAATTTTGTGCATGCTCATTCGGCAACCTCCGACTGTCACGCGTGTCAACGCGTCAGGTCACGCTACTCACGCGTCTCAGAACTCAAACATTAACAACAACGACAATGCCCACTCATCGGGCAAGCCAAGTTAGACCAAGGGATCACACAGCGCAATCGGATCTGAAAACGAGTCTAAAACCCCACCATATCCCACTTCTTGGTGTCCTGTTTTGGGTCTTCCATCCTCAGGATCGGCTCAGGCTGGAACCGAGCGCCTTATTAGAGGTCTTTCGCGTCCTCATCAGTGAAATCTCTGAAGTAAGCAAGCCTGCACGAGCGCGTGTCTATTGAAGTTCATACCTCTTTCTAGGTTACTCAGCCTAAATCATTTTGTGATCTCTTGGCTGAGATTGATAAACGGCTCCCGATAGCTAAGGCACAGGCTGATGGCAACCTGTCTGAGAAACTGAGGGCACTCGTTCGTCGTGTGTAATCGCAAAGTTACGAGGTTCATGCTGAGATGATGTTTCTGTTCTAGCCCCCCCTTTTGAACTCGCCTCACCGTCTCACCGAATTCTTCTCAGGTTTGCATTTCTCTTACTTCCTCGGTCGATTTCTGCTTATGACATGCTTAGAGTTGACTCTGTTGTGGCTATCCGATGACGATGAGGTTATGCGCCAATACGCTGAATTATTATTGATATTTATACTCTTTTACCCATATAGTCAGTAGAGCAAGATCCACCTATAGTACGTTAAAGAAATGTGTTAAAATACAGGTTCTCAAGTGGCTTCAATAGGAAAAACGGTCATTGTTTGGTCTATTCTTAAGACGTGCATATCTTGCATTCAGAAAGCTGTCGTTCCTCGGGCTTTCAAGTTTCGTGGATGAATTTCAAGCATGGGCATCAGGAAATACAAGTCAAATAAAACGGGCGATCGCAAAAGATGCCATAAGAAATGGTAATGTAAACTAGTGAGCATTCAGTGCCCTCTCTAACTCGTGACAGATGATATCTTGATTAAAACCCATAACGACATACGACCTTCTGCTGATCCGGAATCATTCGCCGTGTAAGCCTGTTCCTAGCCATTGCTAGAAAACGTATGGATTTTTTGGGACCCTCAAAATCTTAGGTTTGACAAGGCTCGTGCAAATGGTGATGCACATGTGGCCGCAGAAAACGTTCGGCGGTTCTTCGAACAACGTTTCAATGAATCGACGGACTTGTGAGCCGAGTGCTTTTTTGTTTGGTCTAATAGTTCTGACGACATTACGCAGAGATCTTCGCCAGCTTGCCATATTCAACCTGGTTAGAACGCATATCTTCAATGGACATCTCTTAGCTGCGCGAAATGTCAATACCTTTGGTTCTTACTCTTGTGCACGGACTCATTGCATGTGTGTGTCATTACTTTAAACAGCTACTTCTGGAGGCTATTACAGTAGCACGAACATCCGGTGACAACATAGTCCTTCAGCAATGTATGGCGTAAGTAATTCATACATCGTCCATTAATAGAAGCCTGAATCTCATACAATGCGTGACTTACAGACTCCTACGACGTATAGAGGGCAGAACGAGATCACGTCGGGAGCCCTTGAACGAAATCCAAGCTGATATACCTCCTATGGAGGTGCTGAACGATTGCGGGAAGCTGTTACGTGAAGTACGTTGGTCCATGTTCACCTTCGTATTCTGCATATTCATTGCCATTTAGGCCCAACCGCTCGGTGACTGCTTTGAGAAAGTAGTCGAAGCATTAGCAGTATACGATAATGCCGGAGGATTCCGCGGTAGTCCAACGACTCTTGATGATCAATGGGCATTTCATGCTATGCAATCGGTCCTTTGGAAGTTAGCAGGTACGTGAAATTGGGGACAGCTGACTGAATTGTGGGCTCTAGATTGAAGTTTCGGCGTGAATAGGTTGCGAGAGGTTAGCTATGATTGAAGAGAGCATTGTCCTTGCTTTCACTGCAAGCGGAGGTCCCGACGACAATCGATTCACGATACTTCAAAATAGAGCGGCGATGGTACGTTAGAAAAGCATCTCGCAGACTCTAGTGACGTACTGGGACCTCTTCAGTATACAAGACAAAGCAAAGAAGTCGAGGCCTTCAGTATCCTTTTAGATCCCGAAACTTGGCGAGGTTTAAGCTTCAGCTTGAATCAAGTACAGTACTGGTCGGGAGAGATTTGGATAACAATGCTTCATCTTGCTACTCGAAGGTAGGTTCTTGTCAACTTATATTAATGCATTGCGCTCAAAGCGAGAAGAGGGCAAATTCGCCAAGCAGACGAATTCCTCAAACCCCGTAGACCTGGCTCTTTCAATGGGTCCACCGACCTATATTTCCTACCACTGGACAGACTGAATGCGCTCCCGACGATTGCTGGACAGCTGTATAGGGCGTTACAGATGAGGGTAAGTGCAAATTTCCACCAGATCGTTGTGCTTCGTCCTTAAGTCATGCACAGAAAGTAAACCAGGGAGCGTCGTCCGTGGATCACATCTTAAAGGCGTTGTGGCAGAGTGAATACCAAGGACGGTTCCGGCTTTATCGATTAGCGATGATTCTTCTGGCTGATGTCGGCCTTGAGTTCGGAATGACCGTATGGAGTAGGAGGCTGGTGGAAGAAGTATTGCCGCAAGTGCGCGTGCCATTATCATATGTCATACCGCATAAGACTAATAAGACCTTTGTAACGAAGCTGATTTCTGGTGAAGATATCGAACAACGAGCATTCGCATGCTTTGTTCTCGCTCGTTGCATAATTGCTTGCGCCGAAAAGAATCGTAAGAATTTATCTCTACCGCAAGTCATCCTGACCTTGCAATTGACACTCTTTTGTACTTCAAATGCCTTGCAGCGGAAGAACTGGGCAACGCAATCCCGTATCTTCAAATAGCAGAACAGGATTATCGCACTCTCGAGATTCACACCGCAGTTCAAGATGTCCTTTACGTCACGGCTCTCGTATACAACAGCCTAGGAGAAAAGGAGCATGCAGCCCGTGATGCCGCAGCAATGAGGCACATGGACGCGAAGAAGGAGCACATGCGGTTGGAGAGAATCCCAGTTAATGAGGGTTGGTCTGAGATCTGGGACCTGACTTGTGAGATATGCTCCGCACTTGCTCTGAGACAGTGACTACGTTGTATATAGCTGCTTGATTGTAATGCGGAGCGATGGTTCGATTAAAATGTATAGTCAATTTACATTTACAGGTATCTGCAGAGGCCGATATCCATGCCTCTGCGAACTTTCAATAAAGAATTTGCTGGGATCTAAGCATGGTGCAGTTGCTGAACAGAATCCGCAGAACGTCACTCCTGCAGAAGCCTGCTCATAGCGGTAAGTAAATCAAGAGCAAGCAACACGAACTTCTGACAATACTTAAGAAATATGCCGTAGTGAAGTTACTCTATCATTGGCCGACCAGAATTAGAGTATGCCGAATCGTTCGTATCAGACAAAATTATCATCTAATTCACATGACTATCCAAGTTGTCCAACACTCAGGGTCTAGAGCACAGCTCTGGGAATATAAGTCATTATCAATGCTAATTGCTCTCGTGCCTCCTCGTTCCCGGTCCTTCCATCTTGTCACATAGGTCTCTCGACTTAAAATGATGCAACCACAAGACTTCGTGCCAACAAACAAAGAAGACTGGGCCAAGTCCGATATTTACCACAATAAATTCCTTATCCCAGAAGATCCGGTACTTGAATTTGCGGTGAAGACTAGTCGGGACAATGGGTTACCGGATATCGCAGTGAGCGCTGCGCAGGGTAAATTCCTGAACCTCGTGGCACGGTCTATACGTGCTAAGAGGATTCTTGAGGTCGGGACGTTGGGAGGGTATGTACTTAATCAAATTAAATCGGTTAAAATAATGACTGAGGAAGCCGATTTCTTTAATCTCAGGTATTCTACGATATGGCTTACTAGAGCACTACCTGCGGATGGAAAACTCGTTAGCCTTGAGATTGACCAGCTACGTGCTAAAGTATGGTCCTTTGAAATATATCTCTTGATAACACTGACGTGGACATTGCAGGTAGCTCAGGACAACCTTGACCACGCTGGTCTTATGAACAAAGTCGAGATTAAAGTTGGTCCTGCCGCAGATACGTTGAAGGCACTCGATTCGAGTGAACCCTTCGATCTCGTGTTTATTGATGCCGACAAACCCAATAATTTGACGTACTTCCTCGAAGCAAAACGGTTGACTAGGCAAGGAGCCGTAATTGTGCGTTGTTCTCCCTGCTCCTCCAGATCCGACGTGTTCACTAAAGTCCTAGCACAGCTCGTTGATAACGTCGTTCGTTGGGCGAAAGTCGCTTTGGAGCCCGAAGACACTAATGATAGGAATGTGCTGGGAGTCCGAAAACTTTTGAATCACCTGAAGGACGATAAGGAGGTAGACGGGACAACGCTAGGCCTGGTCGGTGACAAGGGTTACGACGGTATACTGTATGCCATCAAGAAATGATCTCTTTGAGGCATTTTGAATACGAAACAGTGCAAGCAGTGCACCCAGGGAAAAGGACGGCATTATAATTCGTGCTAATTTGGGTAGAGAGCAGCGTGTTGCAATGTCTAGAGGGAAATTATTTTGTACTATAGATACGTACTTTTCAGGTGCATTTTACCGAGTTACTTGAACTGGGTACTATAGGAGGGTCATCCCAGCCAGCCTAATCATATATACAAATCAATTGCATCCTTGAGTAGAGACAATAAAATGACACGTACCAACACTGTGTATCTTTCCTTCCCTTCTTCGTCAACGACTTTTCGTCTTGAACCCTCGACGATGCTTGGTGTGTTCGTAAATCTCCCTATCCTCTCCAGAACATCCGCATCCATATTATATTTTCTTGCTACCCCTTGTAACTCTTCTCGTGAACGAGCAGCTTTTCTGGACTCCAACGCGTCAACAAGCTCGCTCGCTCGAAGACGGTTCCTGGGAGGTGCATAGGATGCTGCCTGTTGTTCAGACGTTTCTCTGGACTGTAGTAAACGCTTCATGTGGTCATCCTTGACGATCCAGTTGTCAGTTCCAGAAACTACTAAGTACCTGGAGTTGTCTCACATACCGCTCGAACCGCTGACATGTGATGGTCAACCTTGACTGGACCAAGCTGCTTGAGCTTTTGCATAAAATCAGGGTCTCCTGCATCCATTTCAATTGCTACCTTTGAGGTTGGAAATAAGCAACATTTGAGACAGAAAGTTCCTTACAGGCACTTTTAGTTTCACTAGCCATAGGTACGTTCTTTTTCGGAAGTTGTGACGGTACACCCCTGTCTGTCCTTGCCCCTGCCCAGGCCGCAGATGGTTTTGAAGGAAGCTTTCGTGAAACCTTTGATGATGAGCTACCCATGCTGGGTACGGTTGAGGAAGGGTAGCAAAACACGGGGTTGTCAGTGACGTATGTCGTGTCTCAACGCGCTTCGTGCTCCTGACTAATCTCCAGTATCACGAAGATCAGTTTCATTTGGCTCAATTTATTCCTAACGCTCCGTTAGCCAGAAGGATAAAACGCTACAAGCATTTGGTTCTAATTTACATTTCAAGGAGCCAAAGACGGAAAGCTCGATAGCAGGTGAACAATAACATCGTAACAGGAAAATGTAGAAAGACTTGGCGGATGGTAGAAAAAAGGAATCGAGGAAATGCAAGACGAGTCTACACGATGTCCTAGTAGGAATAGGATAGGTCGGTGTGTTTGAAGAATGAACATAAAACAGCAGTTTGATAGTGACCCATAGGTTAGATATCCTCATCCTTGTCTTCGATCTGCGAAGGTTTCAACATTCCGGGAATGCGCATCGCCGCACTACGTTCTTCCTCCGCCTTCCTCTGAGCTTCTGCTTCCTTCTCTTCTAAGAACAACTCAGCGTTATCTCCGGAGAACTCCTTTAGTGAGATGAGGAAGTCGCGCAAGGAGAGCTTGAAGCGGTTGATATCGCTGTGCAGCTCGCCAAGGCTTACGACGAATGCCTGTACTTGGGCCCTATGGAACAGTCAGTATGCAATAACAAAGACCACATATAAAAACGTACAATTGCATGTGCGGGAATGCTGTCTTGAGGAGGTTGGTGCAGTACTCGCGAAGGAAGACCGCATTGGAGATGTTAGGATCCGCCACCGTTGATGGGTCAAACAACGGCGCCTGGATTTGGTTCGTCTCTACTAATTGGAATAACCGTGCCAATAGCAAACTCTGTAGTTTGAAGCCGCTCTTGTGGTCCGTATCGGTTAAGACGTAGAAAATGTCCTGTGTGATACTCAGGAAGAACTGCTGGAAGAAAGCGTTTGAGACGGATTGTTCTGCTGCAGCGAAGTTGTTAACAACTTCAAGACAGACTAGACGACATCAAGTGAGGAACGTTATAGAGATAGAAGAAGGCGTTTCACGTACGATTCAAGCCCATGTCAGCAATATCCCGCATGGTATGCTTGATAGCCCAAATAATGCTATCCATAAACATCTTGAACGTTGGTGGAGGCAACCCAAGTAATGCTAATAAGTAGGTCATCGTCAGTTCTCGATCTCGACACGACACAGAGAAACCCGCAAACCTGGGAAGCAGTTAATGTTGATGGCTCGTAGAAGCTTGAAGAATCCGACACGGTGTTCAGGATACTCGGAAAAGTCCTGATTGATCATGCTCAGAGTTGGCTCGAAGACAGCATCCAGAACTGGAGGAATCTGTGGAGTAAGAAGTGGCTAAAAGGAGGTCAGCGAAACGAAGACCATACTTCCTCCAGACGACTTACCCCAAGGCGTGTAGTGATGGCGGCCATCACATTGAGAACTTCAGCATCACGAGCTGCAGGTACGTTCGCACTGTAATCCCCGAGAATTGCGTCTAATAATGGGGGGATAAAGTTGTTGTACACGGCATCTAAATCCTCCGCCTTTTTTATATAGGTCTCCATGAGCTTGAGGATTTCTTTTTTGACGGTGCGCAATTGGCGAACTTTCGGAGTCTTAGTGGCGATGAGACCTAGAAACGAGTAAAGGATATTAGAAGTAGAACGATAGGGTGACGTCTATTTCGTCACCTTCCCGAGCGACAGATTCGCTAATAATGCCGCTAACGGCCTTGTAGAGTCCAAGCATATCCATGAATATGCGTCCTAATTGTGGTAGGAAAAAGCTTCCAATCGACTGGCAGGCTGCAACATTTGTTTTGAGTACATTGGCGAGAATCTTGATGTTATCGATGCTGCTGAGCACATCCATGTTCTGCGCTGCCTGCGCCATCAGGGAATCCCACTACGGATTTATGAGCTAAGTTTGAATGATTGAAAAGGAAACGTTAACTTACAGCATTATTGGGTAATTCCATGAGCTTTGCTATTAATTTTTCCTGCTGCGGTTTATTCGGCTGCGCGGAAATCATGTAACCAACTGCCTCGTAGAATGTATGCACTTGCAAAGGAGCGAGATCGACGGTAATGCGGTGCAGGGAGCGCAGGATCTCATCCACGAATGGCTCTGTCTCCCCAGATTGCTGCATGACGAAGTGTCGCCTGCATTTCTGCGCGATCTTGATGAAAGTATCACAGGCCATATCTTGTACTCCTTCATGCGTCTCGTGCATAAACTCGAAGAGCTTATTGACCACAGTCTTCAGGAACTTCCAATGCGCTTTGAGGAAACGTGGATATTGGCCGACAATATACATGATGTTGGAAGCAACAATCGCCTTGTTGTCCTTTCCACGCTTCATTTCAACAAGCCCAAGAAGTTCTTTTATGACAGTCACGAGGAATCGCTTCTCCGTCTCCTCATCTAGTAAAACGTTAGTTGCATGTCGTAAAGACACCACGCTTCAACTTACTCATAGCTCCAGAAATAGAACCGATGGCCCAGCACAGTGTATTGAGGTTATTCCACGACCATTCGGAACCGTCGACTTGCTTTGCAAGCTTCTCCGTCAGGATATTTTCCGTGTCGAGAACGTCCAGATGTGTCAGATACACGAGAAGTTCACGCATAGACTTATAGAGGACAATGGTATCGCTCTCCTTCATGAACTCGCGGACAACTTCACCTTCGTCATTCTCCACGACGAGGACCTGGAGGCATTTACTGCGTCAGATATACTCTTCTACAATCAGGCGAAAGACTGGACTACCTCTTCCGGCTTGACCATCTTTTCAATAACAACCAGTCGAAGATTCGAAAGCACGTCACTGTAAATATTCTTCCGTAGGTTCACGCTATTAAGCATGGAAGAATTTCCTAAGTTAAGTCCCATAAGGAGACCCGAGTCTCCAATAGGTAGACTCTGGATTTCCTCATACAACTCAGCGACGAGCTTTAGCCAATACTCCAGACAGATCTTGAAGATCTCCCGTTCGTCTACTTGAGAGACTTTCACCATGTACAGGTGTGCGTTCAGGAGGACATCGCGGTTCTGCTCTGTCTCGACAGCTCGGAGGTGATTTGAGAGGAAATTGGTAAGGAACAGCGCAAGGTTTAACACCAACTCCTGTCCAGAGTCATTTGCATTTGCGTATGCTTCAGCGATATTGGTATTTGGTGGGATCATGCGGTTGACGGATGTCATGACCATCGCAAACAGAATGACAAACTTGGGGTCGTATTCCGGACCTACGTTTAAGGCAGCAATTTCCGCTAGGCACTTCAATGTGACGTTTCGAAAATCGGCAACTTCGAGGAACTGGCATACCCATAAACGTCATCTCCATGAGAATATAAATTTAACGTACCCTCGTCATTAGGAGATCAATTATAGTTGTCTCAAAGATATAACCTAGTGGGATCCAGTTTAAGAAACGTAGAAGCGTCTCCAAAGTTGCTCTGATGAGTGACGTTTTCTGCGCCTCCTCGAGAATTTCGGAGCAGAGTTTGAATATCTCGGAGAACTCGCCGCACATCTGGTTCTTCAGGTTCTTTGTCTTTGCCTGGGTCATTTGTTCGGCCGAAAAGTCAAAAATCTCCTCGGACAGAAGTTTGAGAATAACCATGTTATTCTCGCAAAGGGACAGGTTAGTCTTTGACGACTCGACAAGTTCGGGAATAAAAGTCGGCCAATTATGTGGCCATTCTTGCTTCAAAATCTTTTGCGAATTGTTTTCAACCTCCCATAAAGACTATAGAAATAACGACGTACTTGAACCAATGCCAAGTTGAGCTTGTTGACATATGATTTCTCTCGTCTCATTGTTTGCTCATCGGAAGAGACTTTGACGACCACTCCAACAATGAAATTTCGAATCCCTGTGTCCGGAACAAGATAGGAGTTAGGTATAATCTCAAATTAGAACATGGTGAACAGTTGACCTTGTCGTTGACCCTCTGGAAGCATCTTCCATCGAGTTTGCACGAGCTTCTCCAAAATTTGTAGACCGATGTACTGTTTAGCGTAGATGACACATGAGCGCTTGAAGACACAGTATGAAAAGGATTGGAAACGGTACCTTGGACTGCTGGAACGAGCAACGTTCTAAGATATCCGGGACACGCGACCAAGAGTCTGGATGTTCTTCGAATTGGGTTAAGACGCGTTGTGCCATTTGATGCTACAATATCAAGCCACAATAGATCAGTTCTGGCACAAATCACGAAAGTTCATCCACACGCACCTCGCTGCCTGCGCCCGAGTAAAAGGCCATCACGACGCGATCGAGGAGCTCGACATCGAATGGTTCCCGTGAAAAGTCGAGAAGGGCCTGACGAGGAGCGGTTAGCACGACGAATACAGACGAGCCCGGCGCATTCAGCCAGCGGTCGGCAAGCAAAGACCTCAAGACGTACCTCCATGGTTGTCGTGTACGCGATTAACGCGTTTTTAGGGCGTCCTACTTATACGGGGTACAAAACTAAGTTGCGACGTCGTCGGCGTCTGCAACCAGTGCGTGTGGACGTTGAAGACAGTTAAGCCAAGGGTTGAGGGCCACGAAACGTGACCAAAAGCCGAGGTGGATTGGTGATCGCGAGCCTAATTTGGAAAGCTGCTAAGGACATGACGCACTGCCATTTTGCTTTACTTTTTTGCTTTTGTCCCTTTTTCACGTCTACTCAGTCGGACTCATCTAGCCACGCATCCCACGCCTATTTTCCTGCACTTATGCCGGAACATGGTGGGAACAGTGGTATTGCAAGGCTTTGACGCTATTCCTGACTCGGACAATTAACAACAAGCATCGTGTTTCGCTTACATATGTTGACACAATAAGAGACAATAGGATATCAACAACCAGCAAGCAACGGATATAAAAAATACACGAATGAGAAAGATTGCATCAGCATGAATCAGAACATCGAATATCCACGCGTCCAACTGCTCTCCCGCCTGGCATCGTTCGTAACCGCTGTCGTAAAGTCGTTCAGAATAAACAGAGGTAAGGTATCAACTGTCCGTCAGGATATACGCCCAAGCCAGTTGGGTATTATAATTTATTGCCTATCTGAAAGGGATTAGCCATAAATCGCCTTTGGATCAGAGTGATCGCTACTCACGATGTGGATGTTTAGGATATGGTGCAGAACGTCCTGCTGGTCGTACCCCACTCCTCGTCGCGTGGTACGTCGCTTGCCTCACTTTCTCGCGCTTGGATAGGTACGTTCTGAAGGGAAACGATGAGACCTCTGATGTCCGTGAAGGAGTCCATAGTACGCAAAGGTAGAGACAGACAGAAATATTGATAAGAGAACGTGAATGAATGTCTAGTAACCTCCTGGGCGTGTTGGTATAGCTGGTGAAGTAGCAAAGCATGGCGCTCCTTTTATACGCAGCTTGGTAGTCAAGGCCATAGCTAGCACAAGTACGGGACAATAAAAAAGTCAAAGGACCTGTAGGGCCAAAAGCAAATTTAAGCTACACGTTACCGAGTCACCTTATTGTCAAGAAGTAGGCGAACGAGTTCGAAAGAGCCAAGAACAAGAGCCGAAACAATGCTCGTTCCGAGGTACCCGCAGTATTTTCGAAGCAGCAGGTACCGTCCACACCATGGAGTAGCCGAGCGGAATCCGTTACAGCTCAGCAGTCTGGTTCCGTCTTTATGCATGCAAGCGCCAGACTGATTGAATATTTAGATCCGCGTTCCCTTTAGCATGCCAGGTGCAAGTCACGCAAAGCTCCGTTCATGTAAACATCACAACCTCGCGGTGTTAAGGCCTGCATTACTGCGCCTCTGCTACCAGAGTAACCACCGTTCATAAAGCATGTAGGACCTAAGCAGTGACGTGTACAAGCTCAGGAGTCAGGGTCAGTGCGGACTCTCGAGTCTGACTAGTGAGAGGTGGTTTAAGCTGAGGAATGAGACGCAAGTGAAGAAAACAGGCACAATTTTGTTGAAATTTTCATGGCCAAGGAGTCTTTTCATGCCAGGCATGAGTCTTCGTTGACCAATGTTCCAAATATGAACAATTAGACTTTGATCACGTGCGTGCTATAGATCAGAATTCGCCTGTGCCTAGGGCAACATGCCTGCCATCGATTCTCCAAACACCCTGTCCCATTCATCAAAGAGCACGACGCGCAATATAGCGGCTTCTACAAGTAAATCAGACCTGCGCTACAATGTCCGTCTCTCAAGAGACGGCCAGCGCTGGCTCTCGTGCTGCACGTGAACTGGGCGATCTCCTCGCCAGTATCGAAGTACGCGCGGACTGGCCTGTTGTTGAAACTACGGCTCAAACTCTTGCAAATGCATTGCGAAATCGAGAAGGTTCAGGTGAGGTCTAAGGGCATGCGTTCCCCGATGACGTGTCGCAAATTGGAAGATCGTGCTGAGTCTTACACTGCAACTCTAGTTGACGAACATACAACACTGGGAAAGACTCTGTTGCCACAGACTCTTACCTCTCTTCTCAAGGTCGCACTTGAAGGCTCTCGAGTTCCGGATGATGCGCATGCAGCAGCTGTCTTGGAACTCCTCCGAGTTGGTGCAAATTTATGCATGGACCACAGTGCGCGTTCTTATCAAATATATGCGTTTCGATACTCATACAGCTGTTGGTAGACGAGAATCGCGGTCATCTTCTGGACTCCGGATTTCCTCAATTAGTTGTTTCGCTATTAGAGGGCTATGCTGAATATCTCCCCGAAATACCCTCATACGAGCCTTTTTCCCTTTCAAACGCGCACCTGAAAATAATCAAGACTGCGGTGGGAGCCCTTCTGAATCTTAGTCTGGGATATGGTGAGCCACACAGTACTTTCTCGCTGTTCTGACGTAATTTTAACAAGGTGACTAGAGCCTATACAGACTCGACTCATTTCTCTCGAAACTCCTGTGACACTTCTGCGTCTCTCCATTGCACTCTATCCGCCTGGAACATGGCTTTCAGTAAAGGAAACTGGCCCCGGTTCTATAGATGCGGAAAGCTGGACACTAAGAAAGGGAATCACGGAATGGTCCTGGAGGGCCATCTCCGGATTGAAAGATAATCGTATGCTTCTTCTCGCTCATATTAATCCCCACGGGCGTCTAATAACGGTTCCAAATCTCACAGAAGTGCAGCAGCCACTCTTTGGACCTGAGTCACTACCTCACCTCGTGGTTCCCCTAAAGGCTTTCCTGCCACCGTTCCCAGTACCGACCAACTCCTTATATTCCGATATAACGACTCGAAAGGCATTGCTAGCAACTGACGTGGAAGTACTGGAAGAGGCTTGCGAGCTTATAGAGACGCTGACGATGGACATTGAAGACGTTCGGCTTGCTCTTGCACGTGGCATGGCCTACAACGAACAGCCACCGTGTTTAGCGCTCATGCTCGACTTTATCGAGTCAGCAGAATACGCGACCGGCTGGCAAGACTCCGGGATACCTCAAGAGGAAGTGGTCCGGTGGAAACACGCCCTTGACCTCTGCAAAACTGCGATCATTAGATCAGTTGTGGAGATCTCAGGTGAAGAAGACAATCTAGATGTCTTATGGGACGACGCAATGCCACAAAACGGGTTTGTCTCGCGTCTGATAAAATGGCTGCAGCCTACACAGGATACCAGCCCAGGACAAGTGCATGATGACCTTGTGATCTGTGGAACTCTCAGCCTTGGCAACTTGGTACGACGAGGTGAGGCGCCTATCGGCCTGAAGCAGAACAAGAAAGGTTACTCATCTGTTCTGAAACAGAGAATAACTCAATTGCGCTTGTAAATGCGCCCATATCAATTACACCACATCTCGTTAAATATTTAGCGCCGGCAACTGACCTCAAGGTGAAGCACGGTGTCATTGGGCTTCTGAAGCATCTCGCCCAGAGTTCTCCGAATCGGAAGGTTCTTGGTGAAGCGCACGTAATCGAATCACTGCGGTCTTGTGAAGTGTTCAGCGAGAACGCGGACATTGCAGAGATTGTTCAGATGTCTGCAATCAATCTTGCAAAACATCTGTGCACTCATAACGGTCTGTACCACCGCATTTAGTAAACTATAAATAGTCAGGATTAACCTACATCTACTTAGTGGGGAACGCTATTATTTGTGTTTTGGATGGAGCCGATAGCCAGTCGTCTGTGTCGTGCCTCAGCCAGATCCTTGCTCTTTCACAACGGTCGGACTCTGTGCCTGTCAAGAGCGAAGGTGCCCGTGTACTGGTTAATATAGTCAAGTCTCTCTGCTCGAGCACAGGGGACTTGAATGAACCCCGTAGGAAAGCTGCAATCAAAGCCGTGACAAATGCCGAGTCCGCCACCACATTGGCACGTCTGCTTGGGCGAAGCAAGAAACATGTCATTCTTCTAAACGAATCCATCGTGTCCATGTGCCTTTTGGCGCTCCAGTCTGGAGGAGGTACGTCCGATAATAGTGCATATAACTGTTCTCTTTGCTGATCCTGTCTTATAGCCCTCCTCGTGCTTGATGCAGTTGTTGCTAACTTGCCGAAAGAAATTCCTCCACCGTCAAGACAAAACAGTCTCAACAGCGAATCTGTGCCTTCTTCCGGAGGTACACCTTCTGCACCGGTTACCGCTCCTAAGACTGCACTTGAGGTACTAGTCTCAATCTTGCAGAATCTTGAAGGAAGGATTCCTGCGGAATTGCGTGCCAACCTCTGCCAGCTCCTTGGGGAGATTGGCCGCGACAGTCTTAAGACTGAATCGCTTGAGCACCACGAGAAAGTCGAGCAGGTGCGCCAAGCGTCACGCGACATGCTGCAGTCGTTAAAGGGCAGCCCTGATTCCCTCGCGCTGAGCGCCGCAGCTGGCAAGGCTCTTGACAGCTGGTGAGGTGAAAGTCAGGTTGGAAGGCATCGGAAGGACGAGTATCTGACACGACAATCTAAGGATATTTGTTTACATCTCGTTTCGTTCATGTGTATCGTGCGTGCTTCACCGTATTTTTAGTCCTGTGTGTACTTGTGAATGTATGCTATGGATAGTGTTCTTTGCTTGTTATCTTAAGGTTTGGAGCATTGGTTTTGCTCACCGTCTTTTGAATTTGATAAAGTCAACCGGTTGTGTTATAGTACCGGCCCGGCATGTTCGGTCGCTATATTGATCCGTGTGTTCAACGTCCCACAAGAATGGCATTTTAAATACCTTCAGAGCAGCATGGTTCCATTCAACCTGTTTATCGTTCTCTCACACTCGCTTCTTGTTTTTCACTACCATTCACTGTTTTCCTTGTCTTGCTATCCAAAAAGTCGAATGCTGCTTGGCCTTCATGAGCACATTAACCAGCAGCATCTCGGACGGCATCGCGACATTAACATTTAATCGACCTAGGACACTGAATGCAATAACCAGAGAAGGTCAGTAACGTGTATTCTAGCGTCAGAAAACCGAATGGTTGTACAAAATCTAAGGCGTCTGTAAACTACGGTTCTTGGATGCGTCGTGCACGAAACCAGATTACACTGCACTAGCCGAGAAGCTACGTGAGATTGATGCGCGAGAAGATGTCGTAATTACGCTTCTGCAAGGTGCGTTATCTTCTATCTGAGTGGTTCTGAGCGTCTTGATCTATTATTGTCACCAATTCTAACAATCTTTTGATATGTGAACAGCTACAGGCAAATGGTTCTGCTCGTATGTTCCAACTTTGACATCAATTCATTTTCCACAAGTCTTTGTCTGACAAATGCAACCGTAAAGCGGGACGGATGTGAAAACACGAAACAACAACCAAGAGGAAATGGTGACTATAAGGGAGAATTTCCTCGGGCGCGTTGCTCGACCAAATACTGATTGCAGCAGAGCAGTAAGCATATATGATATTTTACCTGAATGTTCATGATGTCTATACGTATAATACCCTATCTAGCTGTATACTCACAGTAAAATCCTCGTTGCTGCTCTCAACGGGCCAGTTATGGGTGCGGATATTTGATTCAACCCGTTTGTATAATCCCAAATAAATTCTCTACAGGGATTGCATCAGGTTCGAACGAGTCCTTTCGATAACTTCAGCACAGACTTGATCAACCCGACCAACAGCATTCCTGGGCCATTTTGATTTCATTTATTGTATGCCGGACGTTTGGCTTTCAGTTCCGTTTTCATTTGTCGGTCAGTAGTGGCTCAACAAAGACATATAATGTATTAATTTAATATTTCATAGGGATTATATCTGAGGCAGGTTCAAGTGTCAGTTTTGTGAATCGAAGTAAGAAGACCCTTACGTCTGCAGGAGGCTTAAAAGCTGGGTCTAACAAACTATCCAGTGGGCTTGTCTAAGGCAAATGAGGCCCTCATTTTTGGAAAGAAGATGGAAGCAGATGAGCTCCTCGCTTGTGGATTCGTGAAGTGAGATCGACTTGACCGCATTCAAAATCAATTAAAATGGAAGACTGAAACATCTTTACAGTAAAATATTCCCCAAGCAAAGCTTACTGCAGCATTTGTTAGAGCAGTTAGAAGGTCTTGACCCAACTGCTGTACTCAAAATCAAGGAGCTGATACAGTACGGAATAAACGAGAAGAACTCCAAGGATGGGACAAACCTGCGTGAAAGTTATGCACAAGCAGAACGCTTTGCAAGCGGGACACCTACACAACGGTTCCTACAGATCGCTACTAAGCAAATAAAGCATAAGCTGTGACTTTCTGTCTCGCATTAATAAATTTACGAGTTTAAGCATGTGCCGAACGGATGAGTTAGAGTAATATGAGTTCGGCTATACTAAATCGAGTATTCCGAGTCCCAGAAGGTGTTTGTCAGCACGGATAACTAAATGTCCGCCTTATCCCAATTTAGTCAATTTACTCTCACAGAGTCTCACTAAATCTCAAACATGCTCAGCAACACAGACCCGTTGTCGGTGTGCTTGATTCTCGTAGTCCGTCTCGGAGCTGTCATATAAAGCGCGGCGCCGAACAGTCTAGCATCATCTCGTCTCCCCTCTTGAATGCTTAAATACCTCGCCGCCGCATCATTCGCTGGTCTCGTAGCTCTCTTCCTTACTTCACCTCAAATCCAGATTTACTTACAGTCTTCTGTTGACGCGTTCAAGAATAGGAGTTTATACTCTATTATGGCTGCAACGTCTGTTTCAAGAAGGGTTGTCAACAAAGTTCTTGCGATTGAGCAAGAGGAGGTGCGTTCAACGTTTGGCAATCATTGGTTAGCATCTGCTCATGAGTGTGCTATGACAGGGTGCTGGTGCACGAGTTCGAAGGTCTATAGGCTCTGCGAATCTTAGAAACTTGACACCTTTCCTGATGCTTGACCATTTCCATGTGTCTAAGGGTGCAGTGAGTAAAGGAATCAGATTAAACACGCATACAGCCAGTGAATCCATTTCAAGGGTTTCCCAGATCATCCTCACCGTGGTCAAGCAACTGTGACTTACATGCTTGAGGGTTCGAGTCAGCATGAGGATTCAGCTGGACATAAGGGAACTATTGTTGCTGGTGGTGTACAATGGATGTGCGCTGTATGTAATGTTTGCTGAGGTTTATATGTTAAAGCGATGACTAAATTCCATTATGTAGGGGAAAGGAAGTAAGTCATTCGGGTGTGGAAGGATAATCGTTCTGTCTTCTAACGAAACTGTAGTTATCCATGCTGAGATGCCAGTCCACGCTCGTGGGGAACCTGAGCCGCGCGGTCTCCAACTATGGGTAGACCTACCAAAAGAAGTACGAGTTATATCAGTTACGACGATGCTTGCCTTACTGATTGTCGCTTAGTTTAAGATGGTAGACCCTTCATACCAGGAGCTCGGTCCTGAGGGGTACGTCGAATTGAGTCGATTGTCGAGGTACACTTTGTTCTTAGTGCTGAATTGCTAGAATTCCGACTTCCTATCCGGAAGGACCTGATGGAGGAGTTGAGATCAAAGTCATAAGCGGGAAGAGCTTCGGCGTCGAATCTCCTGTACGACCACTTGGCGGATGCTGGTTCTTCCACGTGAAGTTTAAGGATGCGCAGAAGACGATTTTCCATGAGCTTCGTGGGTATTGCCATACTTATGAAATCTGGATGTGCCTTACCTGCTCTCCTTTTAGCCGCTGGCTGGACGACTTTCTTCTACAGTGAGTTAGTTTTGAAACTACCTGTTTAGATTGGTCTGGGTGACTGACTAGGAATCGATAGTCCTGAAAGGTTCTGTGAAAGTCGGAGAATCGCAGGACCTGCCAGTCGAGGCGTTCCACACAGTCGTGCTATCGCAGGCTCAAAACGAAACAGGCGTCCAGCTAACTGCTGTTGAGGACAACACTGAGCTCATTCTTGTACGACTCCTATCACTCTCACCTTCTCTGAGGAAATGTTCTGATTTTTGTGTTGTAATGGAATGAAGGTATCTGGTGAACCATTGGATCAAACCGTTGTTCAGTATGGACCTTTCGTCATGACGTCCCGTGAGGAAATCGCAGATACGATTCGAGATTGTAAGTGTTTTTCTTCATACCTTGGATTTGACTTTTCTTTTACCGGACTATTTTTCCCTTATAGATCAACTCGCAAAAAATGGATTTGAGAAAACGCATTCGTGGAAGAGCGAGATTGGTGGTCTTGCCTAATCACACTGCTATCTGATAATATTATCTACGTATTTTCATGTTCCTTGTATGAGACGACTTGTATATTTCCAAGAGCCTGTAAACATATAGTATCTACGAGAAATCTAATTTTCTGTTTCATATCTTATGACCGTCGTTTATCTTTTGGACGAACACCATCTTCTTCATCGCTCTCGCCGACGTCTTGCATGTCAGCCCAGACATCCTCGTCCTCGCCATCCTCGCCTTCACTATCTTCGTTATCTGACCTGCCTTTCTTTGCCTTTGTAACGTCTTCTTCACAGCAGACAACCGCAGTCGGGACAGATTTCATGTATAACGTGCCTACGACTTCACCACGCTCCTCCTGTTGAGCACCTGCAACCGATGGAGGTGGGAAAGTAGTATGAAGTCGGAAGAAACGGTCACGGCAGGTGGAGCCGAGGAGCCCGTCTGAGGAAGGTGCAAGAGACGTCACAGCGCCTTGAAGTTCTAAGAAAATTGTTATTATTGAGTGAGAAGTTTACGCTAATGAAAAATTTAAAATATTATAGCGACATACTTTTGTACGAGTATATCGTCCTGCCGTTTCGAAGATCTAGAGCTGAGAGATTTGTCCCGTTATCCGCTACGAAGAGCTCGCTGTGATATATTGTGTTCAGTTGCTACTCAGTGCTTGCGCGGGTGGATAAACTCACTGCTCTGAAGTTCCGGCCTGGACGACGCTTATACCGCCTACTTTGCCAATGCCCGCCCAGTTTGCGACTGGTCTACGCGCTGCTCGAGTGTCGTAGCGCCTGACGTCGCCAGTATGTGTCCCAGTTACCAAATGCACGTTGGTACTCGCTGAGGCGATGTTCGAAGATAGGTAGGAAAGGGACGTGATGTGAATTGGTTGGCGCAAGCTTAGTGAATCATTTGGAAGCTATCACAGTTATTATTTGAGCTGGGGAGTTAATTCATATGAGGGTGTAGTTGTAGCGTACGTTTTTCGCTCTCCATATTTCTGCTGGGAATAAGCTATCTCCCCGTTTTCTTTTCTTCGAATAACTAAAGTTTCGATCGGATTGAGAGTCTTCGCTTGGGGAAAGGTTGGTTTCGAAAGCCCGAGTTGTATCCCATACAGATAGGTCAACTTCATCCCCTCCGTAAGCAAACGAGGAAGCGTCACCGGATAGCTTCCAGTCGCATAACCGTACAGGTAAAGAAGCCTTTTGGAAAGATGGAGAAAAAGTGGGCACGCCTTCTTTACCAGATTCCGACGCAGAAAAGCCAAGAGCTCCATTTGAGGTACACCAAAACAAGCCTCTGCGCAGCAGAATGAACAAATGTAAATGGGAAGTAAAGTAGCGAAATACACACTTTGGGGAGAGATCAAGGCCAATGTATCTATGATCTGCTTTAAATCGAGGTTCAGACCACTCTCTTAGTGTATCCAATTTGTCGTTCTCAGGGTTCATTAGGTATGCCGAGAGAGCTCCACTAGATCTTGCGGTAGCAAGCTTTCCTTGAAGGACTTGACATGAGCGCTAGCTCATCTAAGTAAACAAGTGCACATACCAGAGTCCTTCCTGATACATATTGTATAGACAGCCTTTGCACTCCGCTGTCCTTTGCCTTCCCAGCAGCTAGTTCACCCGGATCAATTTGTGCATGGGAGGACGGTGCGTAAAGGATGCGGTCCTCGAGCTTCCAGGCACTGTCTGATTGTGGATCCCGAGAACATGATACTGATTTGATCTGGCCTAGCTCGTCTCCAGTCAAGAAACAAGGCATTATGATGAAGGAAACGAGAACAACGAGAGCAACAGGAAGTGAGATACAAAATTCTGAGGTGAGGTTCCAAAAAGAAATTTCTAGTAATGGCCAAATTTGGAAGTGTCAGGATTCTTCACACGTGCCGTCTACTCCCGAGAGGCGTCCACACTTGAGGCTTTACAGTGCACACCATGGACATTCCTCTCAAAGAGCTCGACAAACTCCAGAAGCTCACAAGTTTCACTTCTACTCCTCCAGCGTCAAGTTCTACCTTTCCTGTCCTTGCGGCATCCTCACTAGCGAATGGGAAGGGAAAGAGCGTCGGTGTAGCTGAGTCACTGGACGGTTTATTGGCGGCGTTACGCGACGTGAAGGAGCGGGTCGAATCAGGTACAGCGAGCGAGCAGGATGTGGCGAATATTGAGAAGATAGTGGAAGAACGGAGAAAGGAAATTGACGAACGGCAGAAGGAGGTTCATGCCACATTGGGGCGTATTGGGAAAGCATTAGACAAGGTACCGTGTTTCTCCGACTAATCAAGCTCAAAGTGAGGTATTGAGAATGCCTACCATATGTTTAATCCAGAAATTTGCCAATCCTGTACCGGAGTTGCCGCCTCTGTTCACTTCTGCGGAAGCACAAGAGGCACTGCAGCGAACTATTGCTTTGCATTTCCTTCGGACGGGTCAATTTGATACCGCTGAGGTGTTCTTGGATGTATGTTGTACAGTTGGTTATCAGACGTATTAGTTGGCTAATGACAGCTATAGGACTCAAACATTGACATTGCTCCGGGAACTACAGATCAATTCCGAGAATTGCATGAGGTTCTGACAGCTCTTAGGAATCAGGTTATACAGCCTGCATTATCGTATGTGGCTTGGTTCATACAGCTCAGCTGACTGCTCACACGAGTATGCAGATGGTGCTCTCGGAACTCAAAGTTTCTGGCAGAACGAAACTCGCCACTTGAGTTCCATCTACATCGTTCCCAATTCATGCGATTACTGCTCGCATCAAATCCTCCGAATGAATTTGCGGCCATTACCTATCTGCGAAAACGTATGGCGCACCTTTGGGGCGTTTATGATAAAGAGCTTCTTCGTCTATGTGGCTGTTTCACGTATCAGTCCTTAGCAGACCTGCAGATGTCGACTTATGCAGATCTTGCGTCGCCGTCTCTACACCTTGATCTTGAGCGTATGTTCGCGAAGGAGTACTGTGCGAGTCTTGGCATGAGTCGGCAAGTGCCGCTTCGTGTTGTTGGTGATATTGGCGGAGGAGGTGCGTTAGCTCGTATAGAGAAAGGAAGAAAGGTGATGCGAGAACGAAAGAGTGAATGGAGCCAGACAGATGAACTTCCCGTGAGCTTCGTACTTTCTTCTTCACATTCTGCTCGTCTCAAGGTATCTCGTGTTTAGATTGAGATACCTCTTCCACCGGAGAATCGGTATCATTCCATATTTGCATGTCCTGTTTCCAAAGAACAGGCAACACCAACGAATCCACCGATGATGATTACATGTGGTCATGTCATTGCCAAGGACAGTCTGGCAAAGTTGTCGAAGCCTCAAGGGTATGTGCCATGCTGCGATAAATTATCGCTTTCTTATCCGCTGATCCAATTTGTACTGCAGGAGAGCGAAGTGTCCTTATTGTCCCCAAGAGTTCCAACAGAATACCGCCCTGGAAGTGCACTTCTGAGGTAGTATATTGCATTATATAACATCCATATTGAGACGTTGGTTTGTTGTACGAATAGATGTATTCTCTACAAAATTTATAGTCATCATTCCCTTCTCTGGAATCAATTGGATCAAAGCGGATGAGAACTTGGAGCCACTTCTGAAAGCAAGCTAGTCGAGCCAATATTGACGGTTTTGGACATTATTCTAGCCTTGAGAAGCATCTTCTGCGCTATCTCCTATTTATAAAATCATATCATAAGAGGTTATCGATGGTCGAGAATGCCGTAAGTGGGCGTAAACGCGTAGGGCGCATATGCTGCTTAAGTCCTCGACGCGTCTCCAGCGTCTACGTACGCCTTCCTGCCTTCTACCTCGACTTTCATCCTTCGCCTCCGTGCCTGTTCCTTGCGTTGCAGTTATTCCTTTCATTTCTTGTCACGCCTCTAACAGCGTATCATATGCGTAGTCCGATTTGTTAGCTCTCGAATCGTCATGCCTCTTGCACGCTGTAGGGTCAGTATGCTATCTCACTGCGTACCAGTAAAGGCGAAACGTGCAGAATGCGCTAATTGCTCGATTTATGTGGACCCTTTTTCAGGAATTCGATGATGACGGAAAAGCGAGACTTCGAGGCTGTCCGAAGGGACGCGATTGTCTATTCGTGCATCCTGACCAGCCTTTATGGTCAAAGGCACCCAGACGTGTATGCATGCAAACGACGTACTGTTATATGTCTGATAGCTAACTTGGTTCTCGGTGCTGCTAAATATTATTATATAGGATCCTCCGCCACGTAAAGTCCCGCTTCCGGGTGGGAAAGGCCGTGGTGGACCTCTGTCTAAATCTTGGGATCGGGAGAGGATCGGGAGTAATAGTATACCGATTGGCGGTAGATCTGAGGAAAACGCTCAAACAGACTCGGGATGGGGCTCGAACGTGGAGTTGAACGTGGGCTCTTGGGGAGGATCATGGGGAGGCGAGACTAGCAAGGGCGAGAGTGGTGCGACCGATGACCGAGGTTGGGGGAAGGGATGGTGGAGTAATAACGGTACGTTAACGGTTACGATATAGTGTTATTTGTTCTAAGAAGTAATCTTGCGTCTCCACATTAGATACCGCAAAAGACGACGATGGAAGTGAGTACATGCTGCAAATTGTTCTCACCATCGGCAATATAGTCTAAATACCGTTGATATTGAAGGTAAAGGCAAAGGCAAAGGCAAAGGCAAAGGCAAAGGCAAGGCTAAAGCTACTGAATCAACGTGGGGTGGGTGGGGGCAAAATGACAATGATTCGGATAGTTTTGCTAGCTTCTGGGGGAAGAAGACGTCAGATAATGCGGAGGGATCAAGTCTCCGGGGATGGGGAGCACCAATCAGTCCGAAAACAAAAGGTAATGGTGCATCTGGTTGGAAGCTGCCTGAACCAGCCGCTGATGCGGTTGATACCGATCCTGCTGGTCTGTGTATTTCTCATGCAATTCTACACGATCAAAGTGATAAACTGTGGTTTAGCTTCTTCATCATCCCTCGGTGTACGACGCGCAAGTGATATCGACGTCGCGGATCCTGCTGCAAAGAAACCCAGGACCAAGGGCCTCTCAATTCAACCACCTGCAGCTTCTATGGATGTGGATGTTGACTCACCGCTCACCTCTATACCGGCTTCGGCCACCTCTGTACTTCCTCCAAAGCTCCTCGATTCCCCTATAACCACTTTCAGTGCGGGCCCTTCTATACAGCGTCAAATGACACCTAGTGCGATAAGTCAGACGAGCAGATCAACGTCGGTAGGAGTCATTTTTCCAACATTCGCAACAAAGGAACCTCGAAGTCTGCAGAGCATTTCACATAAGGAGGCCAAGGACATTTGGAAAGAATATATCGAGTAAGTGCCACAGTACCATTAGACGGCGTACATGTACTTACGAAGCCTGGTGAAATAGACACATCTTCCGGCTCATCACGACACGCACAAAACTAGAAGAAGGGAGAGCTTTGCTTCAAGACTATAAAGCAGCGCAGAACTCTCGGATATACCAGAAAGTCGGGAACACGGGCGTGAACCTGTTAGAACAAGCTAGCCAGAGTTTGAAAGGTCGCGTCGAGCGAAGGGAGAGAGATTTTAAGAACGCGATGGAGAGATTATGTGACTTCGAGGAGGGCTTTGAGTTTCCTATGCACCTCATTCTAGATCGGAGAGAAGATTCGAGGAAGATGAAAGAGGAGCTTGATGGTGTCAAGACGTATGTTGGGTCCGTAAAGGATTGCGTTGACAATATGCAGCAGACCGTTCGTGATATCGTAAGTTCTGCTTTCACCTATCTCCGGCCGTTTCTTTGACATAGTGTTTGACATTGATGTAGGATTCTCGGACCCGCACTGCTGTTGCTCAGCCTACACCTGTACCAGCGTCGCCGGTCCCGGACGAAGGAACAAAAGCTCAGTCTAAAGTATTTACTGACAAAGATCAAGAAATAGAGGACCGACTTGTCAACCTCGAAGAGAAAGTCTCAGAGTATCAGCATTCTTATATAGAGACCCGTAATGGGTTGTATGCGAACGCCGATGACGTGATTCAAGAAAAAGTAGAAGAGATGATGACGAACTCACTGGAATCATGTATGGCGGGTCTCTGGGAGAGAGCTGAGGAGGCTGAGGAGAAACTGGGTTCTCTTGACGGGACTTTGGATGCTCTGACTAGCAGGACCAAAGAGATTCACGAAACTGTCTACAAGGTCAACAAGATGACAGCCGAAGAAAAAGAACGGTTTTGGGAGCCTGTCCGGAATGTAGGTATTTTCAAAGGATTGAAGTATCACGGATGCCTGACTTCTTTCCAGGAGCAAAGGACATTTGTAGAAAAAGAAGCCGATAATGCCGCACGTCAAGAGTTAATAGATAGATCGGCAGATGGTCTTGCAAAAGCTCGGGAAAGGCTACACGCTTTGGAGAACTCAGGAACACAAATCCTCGACATACTGCCTCTACACACTCTCATACCAGATCAACAGCAATTTAACCAACTCGTAGAGATGTTCGTTCCAGCGATATGGGCAGTGCTTCAACCTGACGTTAATGTCGCTAAGGACAACATGAAGTCGGGCATACTGGAGATTGTCCAGACGCACGTTCAAAGTCCGTTCCAGGAGTTTGTTGCTATGCTCGCTCCTGTGTACAAGGCTTTTCATGAATTGAATGGGAGGGTGGATCCGAAGATGCAGAGGCTTGCGGTTGCGGCGGCTCGGTCGGTGCAAGCGTCGCCTCAGATGGCTGATACTCGCCTGCCGGCTCAGGTCCAGACATCTCATACCTAATTGTGTTTTGCATCACTCTGTTTTTTTCTTTCATTATCCACCTATCTTGTACTCTCCACTATTAGCTTTATTATTTTATTATTTTTTGTATATACCGAAGTTTCGCTCCATACCACCACACTGACTCATTCTGAGCCGAACTCTTTTCCTTCTTTTGTCTGTGTGTATTACTGAGGTCCTCAGGTGGTATTTCTTGTTTGTTTATACATTTCCAATATTAGCTTGCAGAGCTTGGAAGTGTCAAAGGACAGCTGAACTAATCCTTTCCTTATGATGGACTTACTCAATAACTTGTTTTGTCTTGCTTTCTGACCTGGAGGAGCTTCTTTCTGATATAAGATGGTCCGAGAATTATGAGGCTTATGCTAGCAGTGACTTTGTACTTGTTTGCACAAACGTGACATGACGCTAGGCCCTAGGATGGATAGGCTTATCCGTGGATCCATACCGTGGTAATAATGTTCCCACGGTAACTGTACCACGGTAAAAATTCCCACGGTTACCGTGGTTTTTTGTGAATCCACTGATGAAGAGTAAGAAAACATATTCTTCCTATATGCACTTCTTTAACTCTAAAATTTGTAATATATTACTTTTTGAGTATTTAGAAGGATGTAATAGTAGAAGTGCTTCTATTGATAGGGAGTGGAACATACAAGACTACTTGGTTGTTGTCTTTCATTGTGTGAAATTTGTTCTTTTGTCACGTGCTGAGGTGTTCACATTGCATTGTACTGAGTGGATACTGTGGACTAGGGTGAGAAAACATTTACTTTTATTGTAGAAATAATAATTTATACCCAGATAACGACTTTATTTATTATCTAATAATACATATTAGCTGTATACACTTATATGTAGAGTGAAACATGTGGTTTCACTAGTAAGAATCAAGTATATAAAAATGCTTTATTACACCCAGTCAAGTACTCGAAGATTGGCACGGTAACGTGGATTACCGCGGTAACCGTGAGAATTTTTACCACGGTAAGAAAAAACCACGGTATGGATCGCGGTAAGCTCGGATGGTTACCATTCCAGGGCCTACATGACGCGACGCGTCTCCGGCACGTGGTCACCACGCAACTCAAGGTCCAAACAAGAGTACATCTTCGTGTCAAATAGTCTGCCATAGTACAAGTTTTAGCTGCTCTTTAGCTAAAGTTCCAGTTTGATGCTGTACTGGCGATGTCAGCGTTTCTCCCTCATCGTGCCTCTCCATGGCCTTCTCCGAGACCTATCCCGAAAGGACGCTTGGCGCATCTCAGCTCGATGGACATCACTACGACTAGCGCGACTTCCTCTGTTTCTGCTGCGCTCTCTGGGCTTTCACCGAAGGATGTTGAACTAATAGACGGGATCATCGAACGATCGCCTCCATCGGCTACCACCTTCCTCACAGTCTTCAAGGCATATAATGAAGTGCTGCATGAACGTGGCATGGATGCTGCGAATGACGTTGTTTATTATAAGATTCTGCTGAAGTTGGGCGTTGTGAAGGGGAAAGACTGGGGTACGAAGTGGAAAACAGTGAAGCAGCAACAAGGATACGGGTATGGAAACGTGGACGCGAGCGTGGACGAGGAGAGCGAGACATCGAGAGATGAGAGCGTGGCTGAGGTGTCGCAACTGCTGGGTGGCATACGAGATGACCGTGCACAAACGCGTGATCTTTTACCGGCTTTTCATCGGCATCGCGTAGGACCTATGCGTCCTAGTTCGAGACGTCCCGTGTCGGCGTATGGAGTTGATTCTGTCACGGTGCATTCGCATCGGGACGACAGGTCGGAGATCACACAGACGGAAACGGAGACAGACACGGGTGCGGAGACAGAAACGGTCACGGACGATACGATTGAACGTACAACGGACGATCGTGATGCTACCAGCTCGCCAACAACGCTCATCCAGCGGGCAAGCGATACGAAGGAAAACGCCTTACGCTTGTCCACTGAACCGCCGTCTTACCCGCCTCTTCCGACTGTCGAGCAGTTTTTACCTGTACATGCTAGAAATATACGCTCGATTCACCATGGTAGATCGGAACTATCGAGCGAGGTGCAGACCCGTACTTCGACTCCGCCTCCACACAAACTTCCCCCACGAAGGCAACCCTTCCAACCCGCCAGACACCAAAACATTATTCCGGCGACGCGTTTACCTCCGATAAAAGCACCAAAAAAGCAGCCATCTCATAGTACTAGCGTCGATGAAGAGGACACTTGGAAAAAACTTCGAATGATTCGGGATGAGAAAGAGGCAGATAAGTTCCGAGAGGTTATGTTAATTGAGCGATGCTGGGGGGTTTGGAAGGGCAGCCTGCAATGGCTCATTGTACGTGCCTTAGTGACTCGTAAAGTTGTACATTCTGATGGACCGCTCTGCAGACAATGAACGAGAAAGTTGACGAAGAGCGCGACAAGACACTCATCCATGATCACCTGCAAAAGTGGCGAGTTAAGTTACACAAGAAGCGATCCGAATATGACCGGATTGGACGACGTCATGACAAGTATCTCCTGCGCGTTTCATTTGCAAAATGGAAGAGCCGAGCAGCCTCAGTGCAAGTGACAAAATGGAAGGAGGACATGCGCAGGCGTATGTCACTTATTAAAACGAAAAGGGACCAAAGAATACGAGCAGACGTGTGGATAGTGAGTGGAACATTTTTTTACTTGAATCTTCCTGATATTGAGTAATTTTAAGAAATGGAGGCAGGTTCATCAGTATGAGGTTGCTGAATTGTACTATGAGCGACACTTGCTCCGAAATACGATCCGCAAATGGAGAGGCAGGCTCTTCAATCTAGGAAATCTCGAAATCGCCGCAGACCGGTTCGGGCAGTCACTTGAGGATGCCCAAGTAGCGCGTGTATGGAACTTCTGGAAGCTTCAAGTTGACCTCCGCGACGTGGAGAGGGTATTGAGAGCTCGTATGGACGCTCGAATAAAGGATGGTGCAATGCAGACATGGAAACAGAAAATGTAGGGGGAGCGATTTTCTCAAATTCTTCTACTAAATACCTGTTCTAGGCTTGAAAATCGTAAGGTAGATGCATACCATGATCGCCTTATTAAAAAGCACTTTTATCGCACGTGGAAGTCGTCGTTATCCAAGCAGCGCGTACGGCCTTTCTTCTTTTTGCAGTCCTTATCTGACCCAGTGGTCCATATAGGCTCTTATACGCAAGGCGGACAAGTATAAGAACCGTCAAGATGGGATATTGATTATGGCTGTGTTTCGGATGTGGATGGCACGAGAGCGCGGAATGCTTATGGATCGCGCCAGAGGCGGGCAGCTGTTGCACTCCGTTTGGGCGGTTTGGAAGTCGCGCCTTGCAATTATACGTGCAAACGAAGGTTAGTGGTTTTGCGTGTAAAAATAAATCGTAGCACGAATGACACTGCTCCACAAGCCCGAGCACTGGAGTTCCGAAGTCGACCTTCATCCGCATTAGCCAGTGCTGCGTTGGTCCGCTGGCGTCAAACGTTGCTTGCACGTCAAAACCTGTTGTCCCAGGCCCGACAATATGACCACGATGTTTTGATCCACAGAACACTTCTTGTCTGGCGCGTGAAGCTGCGAATCAGACTCAAGATGGCCAAGCATGCAAAAGTGGCAAGAAAGTACCTTTTAATGAGGCAAGCCTGGAATAGGTGGAAGGAGTTAGTGGAAGAAAAGAGGAGAGAAGAGAAGTTGCAAGTTTTGCAGCTGAAACTACAGAGAAAGTACTATGAAAGTGAGTCTCAGCTGTAGCTTGTTGCGTGCTTCTCGATTGACTGTCTATGTTAGGATGGCGTTCGATATGTGTTCGTCAACAGTACCATCAGCTTGCATTAAAACAACTTCAAGTTGCAATCTCTACAGTGAGCAGACTTTATCACGGTCATGTACCCTCCGATTTTCATGGACTGTTCCCTTGATTAGAGTGTTCTGGCTAATGCACTAAGCAAATGGACTAACCGCGTGATTGCGATAAAGCTTCGAGAATTGGAGATTGTCGAGACACACGATCAGAAGATCCTGAGGTGAGCTTCACTACACTGTATATTTATTGTTGTAACAGACGATTCTTCACAGCCTGTGTTATCAGAAGTGGAAAGCTGTCAGCAAGCGACACTCTGATGATTTGAGATTAATGCAGAGCTACCAATATGTGAAGCGGGAAGGTAAGCTCAGAACAATACGCATTTATTTCATCAGTGCTAAAAGTGCAAATAGAAATGATGCGACGAATGTTCTTTAAGTGGCACGCAGCCGCCAAGACCAATCGTCATCGTAGGATTGTGCTTCAAGAAAGGGAAGAGGAGATGAAGTTAATTATTACCGAAAGAGCGTGGGATAAATGGCGCGAGAGATATAAGGCAGAGCGCCTGCGGCCTCTAGTAAGTTCTCACACCTGTCTCTGTTGTTCAATTCTCACCTACCCCCGATGTACAGGAGTATAAACTGGCGATTCAACTCGAGAAGAGCCGTTTATACCAAGTTTATCTGATTTGGCATTCCAAGACACGGGTAGGATTCTCCCTATTTTACTCGAATCTCGCAGCCTGATATGACGTTTCATAGTCTATTCCGGCGATACAATTCTTCTCTTCGCGTAGGAAGGCTAAGTTCTGGCAAAGATGGCGTGATACGATGCCGAAAGCTTTGCAAGCCAGAGAAGCTCGTGATCATGACAAGCAAAAAGTTCTGGGTATGGAATTAAATAGATCCGTATTGACAATGACTGACATCTCTTCTAGCGCGTGTTTTGGATAAATGGACACAGGCATACAGAACAAAGATTGCTCTTAAAGCGGTCGCGTAAGTCTCACATAGTTCATTTCCGCTCTAAGACAAAGTTTAAACCTAATCATTGCAATAGACGCGCAAGATACCTCCGTCTCCCCAGTGGTGCGCCTCGCCAGTCCCTCCCACTTTCTACTGCATTGCATGGAATCCTACGTTCCACGCCTTCCATTACGTCTGGAAAGGCTACTCGTCCAGTGAGCCCAACTCTGGGCGATCGGTATTCAGAACGTGCTTTGTCAGTACAAGAAGACGACTCGGCAAGCAGGGCCGGTTCCACAGGCGCTCCAAGGAGGCGCCTATCAGCGTTACGGGCCACAAAATTGTCATTGGCAAGACCGGTCTATAGTGTAGCAGATGCTCCAAAGGAGAATAACGCGGACGTATGGCGCGAAATTCGTCGTGCACATAGAAGACCCCGGAGCGAGGGACCGTGAATCACCGTTTCTCTTGCGTTTTCGCTTTTTGCTACGCTGTCATATTGGAATTGTTATTTTTATTGGACTAAATTATTTGCTAGACCGTTAAATTTCTTGCTGTGTATTGCGCTTGATGTGCTGCTATGTATAACAATGGATCATTCGTTCAGTACCCTTGTTATGGAGGATCGATCGATGTTCCATTCTCCCGCGGTCGGGCTTTGTAGACGGCGTTCTCTCACTGATGCGGGTTTACTGAGCGCTATTCTACTCTAAAATTCTTCTGGATTTTATGCCTGCCTATTTAAACTAATGACTCGAAGGCGTACTTTCTTGTTACCTTGAGCGTTACTGCTCGATCCTTCAGTGAGTACGTGTCGTCCTATCGTTCTGTTTGTTTTCTGACTAGGCTGGCGCTACTGCATATATGCATTGTATTATACATTACCAGACAAAGCGACGGGTTCTCATGGGCTCTAGGAGAGTAACAAAGCGCTCCAGAGTCATTACGAGGTCGAGTGGGTACGATCCGTTTGATAAGTTCTACTTATCACTGACAGGACGTTGTTAATGTTATTACGGTGTTGCCATTGCTACGTATCCAAAGTGTCCTCCACGACAGCGGTAGCTTCAGATGGGGATGAGTCAGATGTAGAAGCTGAGTCAGATGGTGAGTATGAACATACGATTTCTCAGCCTCGCTTTCTCGCTTCACGATTTCAATGAAGTACCTCTTGAACTGACTATATGCTTTGATACTTAATAAGAAGAGTCGGATGGTAATGGTTATTGCAAGCGTCCTATGACCAGAAGTGTGTATAAAAGTGTTTGACTGCAAGCTATCATTCTCTTATTCCCAGTGGACTATCTATGCTGAATGATTGATGGGTAAACGCCGTTCTCCACATATTGCGAACTAGAGAAACAAGTGCAGCGGCGTTCGTGGATGCACACGCAAAAGAGAACGTTACGCCCTCGGCCAATAGGCAAGACGACGTCTTCGGGTGAGTGATTGTATGCGCGCTGGATATTGTATGAATTGACTTGTAATCGTTAATGCTTTAGCTGCCAGTGCGAAGAAGCAACCAGAAGTCCGACGAGAAGCCAGCAGTGAACACAATACTACCGAGGAGAGCGACAGTTCCGTGATACGATCTGAACCTCGCACAACCAGAGCTCGTATACGTCGCAACGAACTTAAACTAAATAACTTAAAAACAACTCCTTCCAGTACGTTCCCCCATTATTGTATCCATGTGCCTAGATTAATGGCGGACAATTCTCCCAACTCCTTCGAACCAATGTTACAGTCTCTAGCAGGACAGTCTCGCATGGGCATACAAGGAAGAGGGATAGAAGTGAAAGTCCATTCATCGAGCCGAGCGACGAAAAAGAGCTCTGGCGTATGCTAGATTTATATGAGGAACACACAGTAGAATTGGCCAACTGTAAGTTGCTTCCAGCTTTATGACAGTCAGTTCTGACTGTCACTTTAGTGTACCAGGCTGCCCCTGAGAGGATGCATCAATCTTCCAAACAGGCTGGACGGACTGTGAGGAGTAATACCAATGTTGTAGGGTGTGATGATTCTACTTCTGGTGAATCTCTTTGTTTTATATCCTACTAGTGCCTAGGTTAATATGTGTTTTTTGTAATCCCTCCTTTGAATCAGTCTCCAACAGGACAGATTTGCCTTCACATACAGGCGGTAGAAGGGAGAGCCTGTTTGTAATATCCAGCAACAAAGAAGAGCTTTTGTATATGCTAGAGCAAGCCAATGAACAAATGAAGGAACTAACGAAGAGACTAGCCAACTGTGAGTATACTCTTCTAGAGTCCATTCTTATGTAAAACATCTTAAGAAAATCAATTCTAACAACACAACAACTATGTCAGTGAGACAGGCTACTTCTGAAGGGACGTGTCGATCTACTAAACACACTGGACAGTCTGCGCAGGCACGGAAGCATTGCACAAGCCTTCCTCTGGATGCGTTCATTGGTGACGCTACCTTCGAAAAACACGCTGAGATTGAACCAGCTTCAGTACAGTTAAGGAGGGATATCGTCAATCGAGAACTCCAGCACTGGGAGAAATTGAATAAGCATGGCAAGCAGGGTGCAGAGGAGTTGATGAGAAAACTTGGACTAAAACTCTCGTGAAGGAAGGGCCATAAGAAAACTGGATGGAAAGCATAGTGTCTCATCTACTCTCAAGGAAGCCAGCAGCTTTTGCTATTACAATAGTATCTCTGCTCCATTATCCAACAGTTTGCAACGATCGTGATCCCCAAGCAAATAACATGATAAGGTTTAGTCGTCTCCTTTCCCTCTCTTCAGGTCTGCCTCCAGGTTAGTAGCCTGAGTCATCAACTGTTTGATCCTCAACCATTCGGTATTGATGATACCACGCTGGTCCAGCCATTCCATGACCTGATCTGCATCTGAAACGTCATCTGGGGGAGCGACACTGCGCGGATATGCAATCCTAACAAATCCACGACCTGCACTTGAGAGTTCTTCGACTTCTCGCAACAGTTCGCAGAAAAGTTTGAACTTTCAAGAGAGTATGGGCAAAATTATCGACGCGATTGTATATGATGTACTCACCTCCCAGTGGCATAACTCATGGAATAACTCGGTCCGCCGAGCACAGAATCGTCCCAAATTGAATTCAGGGGGCCGGTGTTCGTCATCGCCGTCTGATTCATCGCTTGAGCTTCGTGATCGATTCTCCTTGGGCTAAATGTTGATCCATTTAAGATTGCACCCTAATAATTGCATGAGTCATGCATACCTCAAATGTCGTCCGATCATATGGATCTCCGTCTAAACGTCCCATGAGGGTTGAAAGACGTCCACCAAGGTTACATGCATCGCAGTGCGGAATCGCGAAATCTAGATCGTGCAAGGAAAAGTTTGGATACGTTGAAAGAGCTTTCTTATAGTCCGTACGCCAGACTGAAGATACGATTGAATCTCGGATATCGCTGAGTTTTCTTCGCGTTATTGACAAAGGCACTGAGAAGTACTCATCTGTGTAATTCGATGTATCACAGTTGAGCATCTTGTTAGTTATCAAAGTCAAAGTAAATGAGCCAGCTGACCACTTGTAAGTCTTTCGGCTATCCGTGATCGAGCGGCAGGCGATGTTACTGCAAGATGCACTAGGTACTGGCAGACAATCTTGAAGTGATGAACCAGGTCTTGATGAGTATTCATGCTGAACAATGCAGGAAGAGCCGCAGTTTGTGCATCCGCTTCGTCGTCAACAATGAAATCGTCGATTTCTCCTTCCAGATCGCTGTCCTCGTTGTTTTCTGACAGTGAGGATTGGTCTCCATCATCTTCGATGTGTGGTCGTGCACCTGGAATAATGCCATCTCCTTCGCTGCTCTGCTCATCGGATTCACTGGCTGCTAATCCCAACTTCTTTTCTTGAAGAAGCTATCATGAGTAGATAGTCTTCAAGGGCTTAAATAAAAACTAACTTTTGAGCCTCTCAAGATTCTTCAAAAATTTAGTTTTCTGTGATTGTTTACCTCGAAGACGGTCATCAATTATTTCTAGAGGCAGGGAAATTACTTCTAAATGCCTGTTTGTGAACACGCATTGTGCTCACTATTTTCATCAATGCCATCCATTATATCGTCCTCATTGTTATCGTCGGAATTATGGGACGAGGGCCTTCTTCCTCTCATTAGTCGTCGTTTCCCCTTGTGATGCAAGTCTACCTCAGAACGAGATTCATCCCTTTCCTGTTCACTGCCCCTGCTAGGCCGTCGGTGAATCCTTCTGCTTCGCGAGCCAGCCTCACCCGTGTCTGAGTCCGAGTTTAAAATTCGTTGGCGCTTTGAAGAACGGACAGGAGACAAGAGTTCTGCTTCCGAGCTTGAGTCTCCAGCTACACTAGATTGTACCGAAATCGATCGAGACTCAAATTTAATTTTGCCGACATCACTACTGTCACTCTCTTCCTCAACTGCCGGAGCGCGTCGTTGAGTTCGTCGCTTAGTTGTACGAATTTCTGGAGAGTCGAGGTCTTCAACTTCGGATTCCGGGTCTTGCTCACGGGCGGATTTCCTCTTCCAAGTCTGACTTGATTTCCCCCTGCTTACAGCACTAGAAGGAGGAACAGGAGGAGGGCTAGAGGAGAAGTGTGCCAATAGCGTTTGCTGCTTGTATTTGGCTGACTGTCCTCGAGATTGAGTGGATTTGGTTCCGCGAGGCATGATTGCTAGAGTCAAAGAAATGAGGCTGAGCAATGAACGGAATGGCGACGCGCTACGTCACAGTCACACTGTAGCGTGATATTCCTGCCACGTCTTCATTCATTGAAGTATTTCAGCGTCTACTACTACATCTTCAGTAACGACGCAATCATGGTACGCCTTAACTAGACTTTGCGTCATGCACTTTGCTGACAGAACAGTAGGGATTCAGTGACAAGGCTCTTGGTGGTGGGATGATCCTCGTCGCCATCTTCGTCTTTACATATTATACTACCTGGGCTATGCTACTTGTTTGTCTACCTCTACACATTGACTGTCAAGAAGCTACTAAGTAATGAACTTGTCTTTTGTTATAGCCTTTCCTTGACAAGTCAAATCCACTCCACGATTTGTTCCCACCTCGTGAATGGGCTGTCCGCATCCCTGCTTTCCTCTTCGTTGTCGGCCTTTCAGGCATTGGCTCTTTCATTGGTGTAACAGTTGTGAAGGAAAATAGGAAGAAAGCTTTGAAGGCTCGTCAGCGAACGGCATGACCCTTCTATTTTTCACTCTGCTAGCAGTATTTGTACAATTGTATGTTTATTAATCTTACTCCACGTCAGGGCAAACTGATGGATTAGAAGCGACCAGTTTCTTTTTCTATCCGTTAGGAGTACGAATGTCTCGTTTACTCTTGTCGGGAAGCATACGCCCGAGCTCTCGCCTTGACTCCAATGCGTTAAGTTTCTCTGCGGCGACAAGCTCCTGTGTCACCTGTGCGATCAGCAAGGCTATGGGTACCTCAGGTGGAGGCTCCGAAATGCTCTTCAGTGAACGAGCGAACTTCACAGTATAGCACATTAATTATTCGAGCCTAAGGCGAAGAAAAGAGTTGAAACACACCTTGTTGGCGAAGGACTCGCCTTTGGCTAGAGCTTTGACCCGATTTAAAGTCGCAACATGCGAGGTTGACTCCAAAGAGATAGTTGAGCGCATCGAACGCAGGAAGAGGAAAATGTCAGCAACAGATGACCACACTAGATTCGCTATCGGCTATTCAATTGTTAGTCAGCTTAGAAGTTGTATGTCTTTGCTTTGAAAATGGGCGCACCATCACATCTCCGACTTCAGTGTCCGACTCTAAAAGGTTCACTAATCGTTCGAATGGAGGCCATAACTCGTTCCAAACTAGTGATGCATTTCGGTCCTCCAGCATGTGGTCCGCAGCAGATGGCATCCCATCATTCGTGATACGAGCCTCCTCCGAACAGGTACGGGAAAGGAGCAGCCAGAGCTTGATGGCAACGTAAGCTTGATTGACATCGGAAGCTGTCAGGTCAGGTGGCAACCCAAAACCTTGAATTTGTGCTCGGAGTGAAGAATGATAGCTGGCGGAAAAGCTACTGAGATTATCAAAAAGTTGAGCGGCAGGCTTCCACTCTGGACTACTTTGCAGTGCCTCCAATACTAGCGCATTCCACGCTCTGACCGTTAATGTATGCCTATTGCTCCTCTGAAGTGCAATGGTCAATATACGTCCGGAAATTTCTGATAGCATACAAGTCTGACCTCAGATGCATTATCACCAAGATACCGGTACAAGAGGCCTCTGTCAACACTTCCGGCTCGAAGGATCACTGTGCTTGCAGACCGGGATGCTTGAATGCCATACAGGGACTGGATGTCTGAAAAGCTTAAGTTCTGCAAGAAGAATAATGCATCAGCCCCTAGGCGACTGAGAGAACCGCTTGACAGGTAATTTAATCCAGGTTTGCATAGTGACTGGTGCAAGAAATTGTTCCCTGAGCCAGGCGAGACGTTGCTTCATAAATGAGAAACATACCTCTACCATTGTCTTCAAAGTCGTGGGTGTGACTCGGCATTTCCCTCGTAGGCCTTCGGACAAGATATCCACTACTACGGCAAGGATGACGTTGCGATCTTGTGCAGATGCACCAGGTTCAGAAGCCGTCCGGCGATAGAGTGCGGAAGTTACTTGGAGCAGTCGGCGCAACGATTGTTCATGAATGTCAAACCGTACTAGAGAAATCCGTACAGCGTTTTCCAGGTGGGGCAGAAGACCCTGTGCAGAAACTTATTAAACACGGAATTTGCCTACCAAAGATCTATGCAAATACATACTCTGACTTGGGCCTTGTTGTACTGAATTAGTGTCGCTGCGGCGAGAAGCAAGGGGTTCGGGTCAAACGCTTCATCGGACAGCTCGCTAGCATTTCGTAAAATCGCGACGATGCTCTCGCCGAAATCTTTATGCAAATGCTCAGTTGGTCATTGGATTTGCAACAAGAAAAGTTCCACGTACGAGATAGACTGTCCGACGAAAAGCCCTGGAAGTGTACATTTTCGATGTATTTCCTGAAGTTCTCAATGATATTCTTGCGACCAGGCTCGTTCTGCATGGCTACCATGAACTGTAGCGTGTCTCGAAGTAGAATATCCGGTAGTAGTGCCTGTGCGTCGACGTTACGTGCGTTCCGCGCCATGACAAGTCGAAGAACGGAGAACATTTCTGGAGTGAGGGATTGCTGCAAGAGACGATGAGCGATCTTCCATTATTGAATATACTCAGGACGAAGCAGACCTTGCTGAGGTTGTAAAATGTGCCCGAGTGCCTGGATTTGTTCGTTTAATATCGCAACAAAACCGAGGTATGAGACAACTAACATCGTGAAAATATCCTCCAGAAGAGATATAGTCTGTCCAACTAGGTAGTCATCTTTTGTTGTTGTCGACGCTGCGATGAACTGGATTACGTCGGTAACTTGATGTCTAGATAATTAACGTGAGGCTTCTGCTGTCTTTGAAGAAAAAGGTACCGTACACGAGGAGATCTCGAGAACTTGCGTAGTTTAACCATCGTCTGCGATATGCTTGAAGTGCCGTAAGAACAAGCTGCTTCAGATCACTTCCGATCTCCTGCGAAAGAAGGTAGGAAACCCGCTTCACTGTCCTGCGGACGGATTCACGCAGATGGCGCAGGGGTATGGCTTCTACATCGTGTTTGTAAATGACGATAATAAACGACTGAAGCATCATCTTTGCCTGCGGATAAGGAAAGTCTGAGAAGCTTTCCAGCATATACTGGAAGACTCCTAAGAAAACGTCCACCACAATGGACCCCACAAGAACGGGATATGTCGTATCATCTTCTGCCCCACTTGCAATCATAGCGGACGGTGCAACGTCGTAAAGCCGATAAGCGTCCAATAGCGTCATCAAACCCTGTATGCATGGTAAGGCGCTTGAATTGAGTGCCTTTAATTCGCCAAACTGCACATGGAACGAGTGGCCGCTCGGTGCGGGTACGAGACTAGCTTCCGAGAAACCGAAAAGTGCGACGAGCTGCATCTTGATCTTAAGATAAGAAAATATGTCAATGGAAACCCCGTCCGCGATCATCTGCAGGCTTAAGAGAAGCAAAGAAGCCTGAAATAATCAGCAGTTGCATACGCTTTTTTAATAGCTATTCGGTGCTTACTTGTAGCATCGAAGCATCCGGGTCCCTATTCTGAGTAGTCTCTGTTTTCTGAGAGGATGTTATGCCATACATAGCCTGTATCTCTCGTAAGCGGCCGTTCGTCCTTAGGAAGGCACGCAGCATACCAAATGAGCAGATATACCAGTTTCGTCGGCATCAGTCCTCTGTAGAAACTCGTCATCCATAAGCGTCTCTATCACGACGTCCCAAGTTAAAACTGCTTGCGGCTAATTAGATGTGCACAGTCAAAATTTTGAAGAGAACTAGCCTTTCCACGTCGGAAAATGTGACCGGAGTTGCAGAAGGAACGACACCAACTCCAGTCGATCAGAGATCGGTGCATGGGACAGATATTCGCTGAAGCAAAGTGTAATTGCTTGCTGATGCACTGGCTGGAGAGTCTGTACCCATGCATCAACAGCCAAGCGAATCTCCTCCTAAGTACACGACGACAGTTAAACGAAATATCTCTTATGATGGATCGAGCAAGGGAACCCACATGTTCGCTTGACCATAAACAAGAGAAAAAGCGATAGAATATCTCCATCACGCTGGACCGCCACTGCCTACCTTCGACGGTAAATGAAGGCTTTGCAACATCGAGTATAATCTGAAATAATTTTGTTGCAGTAGAAAGTCTTGAGAAAAGGGTTAATCTGTCAGGCCTGCAACTGTTTCTCAGCAGTGGGTTTAGATTCATACTGGGTCTCCCAATGATCATCCTTCCCAAAATGTTCTCGCAGGAGCTCCTCAAAGTGCCTTGCGTCCACTACTAGGACTCGCAAAAGCAAAGTCGACCTGAAGTCATTGACTTCAGGTATTTGCATGTCATAAACTTTCCAGGCACTGCAAATAAATGTTAGCTTTAATGATAACAAACCGTCATGGGAGAAACTTGCCATCGAGTCAAGAAGAAACTATTTCTCAAGATTATCGCTTCTAGCTCTTGCATAGAGAGTAGCGATGACTCCGTAACAAAGCAAGTAAGAGATTTTGCGATTAGGCAACGTAACTCATCCGTGCCTTCTTCCACATATCGGGCCAGTATTTCAACGAAATCGATGTCTTCCAGTGCTGGCTCCGTCGAGAATGACGCTCTCTTAATAGCCTTTCGCCTTAGGACCTCTCAGAAAGCTGCAGGTCTTCTCACATTGACACTTGGCGTACCTTGAGAGACCCTCAATGTCAATCTCCTTTACCAGACCCAGTTCTTGCAGGCGTGGTCTATCGCACCCATATAAAAGAAGGAATGAAGAGAGTGTGAGCCGAAAGAAACGATCCCTTGCAATACGATTCTGTCAATTAGATTCGGAAACCAAGTTTAAGATGACTTACAACTGGTCATTCATACTGTCCCTTTCGAGCCGTGCGAGGATATAATTCACGAATCTGTCGTGAAGATCCGAGATCAATCTTTGCAGGTCCAACCTCCCAAGAGATTTGATCCAAATTGACATGAAAACTGCCTCTGCCAGTTTCATATGATCGTCAAATGGCGCATTCAGGTCTCGTGCCAAGGCAGATATCTGCAAAAACGTGTTTACTGGTATGTCAACTCCCGATGATGCAAATATGCAGAGCCAGTCAAGGCCTTTCTTCAACCCGTCATAATCACGAGCTGCAACATCTGTTACAACTCTCCAGGGTTCCAAAAGAGGGGCGTTGACATGTTCAAAGCTGGTGACGGTAGCGTCAAAAGCAGAAGTCCAACGCGCTGTTCCTTCAACGTCTCGATTAAATAGGCGAGGTAAAGTAGGCAAAGGCTATATATACAACGTTCAGCTAAACTTCCTTATCATGAGTACCAGAAACTGACCTTGTAGGACGGCAATGTGCTAGGGAACACTGTGAGCCATTTTAGGAACAAGTCATCGATTACCGAAAATGCTATGGTGGTCTGGCTAATTTTCATAATGCTCCTTAGGACCTTATCAGCGCAAAGGGGCAACTCTCCCTATAATGTCAGATTAGATTACAATACACAAAAGAGTATTTGTACACGTAATATACCTTATCTCCGTGAGATAGATTAGCAGAATCCAGTTCATGATTAAGCCAGGCAGAATCCATTGCAATACCCGAAATTGTGTCGAATAGAAGTTGTGCATACGTATCTGGGTCCTGACAATGTATAGCAAACATCCAACGAGTTGCATATTTATCCAAGAGACTTTTCCTACAAGCCACATAGTCACCGCCGTTGTTGACTGAACCGGATGATGTTGAGCGCGACGGGTTGTTATTAGGCCAGGCATGATTCTCTGCTGCAGAGGGTACACCGGGAAGGCTTTTGTTCTTTGCAATGTATTCGCGAAGAATGATGACGAGATTATCGTCCTTCCGGGAATTAAAGAAAATGAGCTGAACTTTACGTGCAAAAGCAAAACTAAGGAATTTCTAACCTCGGATAAAACCCATGAAAGTACAGCCCTCATCAGCCTAGCTATGGCGTAATCTGAGGCCATACCGTTCGGCCATAACTTACGGGTGAGTAGAAGGAACCCAGACTCGTTCACCGAGATATCAAGGTCCTCGAGGCACGACTCAACTGCAACGATCAGAAACTCGACGTTTGCAGAGATATCCAGACCAAGAGGAAGAGAAAATGAACACAGTAACTCGCTCGGTCGATCACAGGACGTGAAGAAACCTTCGGGGAGATCCATGCTGTCGAAAAAGCCTATGTGTCGCAAATGACCAAGCATGATGCACGCAGCCTGTACCTTTTGCAGGCCAAAGCTTCCTCCGAGGACATCTCGTATATGCGCTACTGAGACCACTTCCGCTGGGTGCATGTCCGAATCTCCCGGCAAATTATCTTCTCCTGACATCGCTGTGACACGCAAAAAGTCATCAACGACTTCGTCCTCTTCTGATAAAGGGGACTTGATGAGGGAAGTTATAAAGAGGAGGGTTGGCCAATCAAAAAGGAAAAACGGAAATTGACGTGAATAACCATTTCTTTGTAATAAATCTTGAACTACGACCGAGGAGCGTAGACGATCCGACAGCAGATATGCGTGGTATAGCTTCTCAAGATGCTGTAACTCGAAATTGTCAACACCAGCTTGAGTGTCGGCTGTTGACGAACGATCCCGTTTCACAATAATGGATCCAGAAGCGATCCCGTATTTCAACAATTGTAACTGCGTCCATAACAAGGTCCAGAAAATGGCCACTTCTTCAAACGTACAGTGTAAGATATCCTGTTCTTGCAGAAGGACCTCGCGATAGAAATCGAGGAATGACGATCTGAGGTCCGTCCAATTAATCGTAATTCGACTCGAGTCTGGCTCGGAGTGGCAGACCGGTAAATGTTCAAATGAATCTCCATGCAAGCACGATTGATGCACATATTGGTTGCATGCCATGCACCTGTAACCCTGGGCAATGTAACCCCAGAGAGGACGACGACATGCCCCGCACAAAGAGAGCGTAAAGACGTTGACAAGTCTGAAAGCGTGGTGGCCCTTATTTACTATATCAGAATCGAAGCCGGACCGCCTAGGTCGGACATAGGAATACCGGTGCACAGCGACTTTTTGTGTACTCGGCTCACCAAAGACCGGATAGTGCGCAAGATAACTGCCGTCCGGAGAATCGTAACAATTGGAATGAACTGCACACATACAAAATGGACAGAAAAGTCCGAAATCGCGTATTTGTTTCACGCATACGTGGCAATCATGCAAGGATGACCCCTCAAAGACCACCGACGAGGAAGCAGGACTGAAGTGCCAAGGTACAAATTGATGATAATGTGGATGTATGCTACTTTGGCGGGGACGATATGGGTCCGTCTTCTGTAGTGTCTCCGAGTGTGAGTGAACTGGTAACGGCTTGCTGATGCTCAAGTGACCGAAAGCTTTTGGCCAAAAAGTCAGTAAGAGGGAGATGGCTAGTTGTCTTGATCGCGCCGAGTGATAAGCCACGACTTGCAACAATTCAAGTGGCGTGTCTGGCTTATATTCCGCGAGGAAGCAAAAGAAAGCCTGAAGGCGGTGACTCAGGGTAAGATCTTCTGTTGTCAAATCCACGTTATCGAGAATGGCAGTCAAAAGTGGGCCTACAACGGATGACAAGTAGTAGATCTCCATTGACTGAGCTGGAGCGGAGGAGGCCAAAACGCCTTGAAAAGTTAGGTTCGGAGGTGTCCATCGCTGCCAATCTCGAAATGACGTTGGCCCTACGAAACTGCTATCTTGCGCTTCATCGACTTGGATGGCGACAATTGGAGCATCAGGCCCGTTGTCAGATTCTGGTAGCTTGATATCAATAAAGAGGTTTCGAAAACTAATCGGAGGTGGAAATTACGAACCATCATGGTTGATTTGTATGGCTGACGCAGCTAATGACCCAGTCTGCAAACTGCGAAGGTTGTATAACATCAACCTAAGCAGGCTATCCTCAAAGAATGTCAATATTCGTCTATGCATACTCGCCGGGAAGGTTGAGAAGGCAGGGATAACAGCATGACCGATGTCGCTTAAAACCCTTGGGTTCCCTTTATGCATGAAGACGAGAAGCTGCCAAACATCTAGTGAAAGAGCCTGCAGGGCGTTAGGTGGTCGAGATAATCTAACAGAGCGAATTTGATAGCGACAGTCTTCAAGAGTAATTGAACTTAGGGTCGAAATGCACTGTGATAAAAGGTCGGACGAAGGCCGCTTTGTTCGTTTCGGCGAGAACGATCGAGAGCGTTTCCCGCCTGCATTGAAACTCGAACGACGGAATCGAAAAGGAGTTGCTTTCTCTGCAGAATCTGATCCCGCAGCATCAACTCCTATGCTAAATGTCAATTAGGATGCCTTCTGGACTTGAACGAGATTGCTCCCTACCTCTCTTCAAAAATATGCCAAGATTTGAGCTTTGCAACGATTAACACGTCCTTAAGTTTACCCAATAGATCAAACGTGATATCAGATGAGAATACCGCGTCTAGCTCATCATCAGAATCGCTATCTGCGAGAGACAACGAAGCGGATGCGGAGCGCATTGCGTGACCTGGCTTGAGCCTGAAGCCCGACTTGAACGGGAGAAGATGCAGGCCCGTCCGATGGGCTCCAACATCTGCTTGGAACGAGTCCCAGACTGGTGGGGGACGTGAACGATTTTGCAGCTCATTGAGGATGTGAGTGAGAAGCTTCTGCGTTTCTTGACGGGCTTTGTCTGGTTTAACTGAACTATCAGAAGTAAGGTTTGTGAGCCTATTCAGATCTAAAGGAGGTTTTTCTGCGGCAGGAGATATTATTGAAGTCGCAATCTGGGATAAAGTCCGTGAACGGCCACGAGTTTGAGGAGTAGGAGTCGCATCAAGGCCAGGTGAAATGCGACCCTCTGTCAAACTACTGGATGGTTGCCAGTCAGGGACAACCAAGCTAGATTTGACGTTCTGTGACGTCGCCCCAATGCCACGGAACGAAGAGTCAAATGGATCCATAAGAAAGTCGGATGGTCGAAATCATCTAAGATTATTCCCGCGTAAAATGGAGTTGTGATGTCAATGCAGAAGCAGTTTAAGAAATGGGCACGCAAATGCTCAACCGCGTGACGGACGCGACTTGAACACCTCTCTCTACTGAACACCGACTGATCTTCTTTACTGTAATTTCGACTATGCAATAAAGACAGCGTAGTTTGGATGCGTAGATTGTTAGCACTTTGAAGAACGACGTGGATTGACCGCCCTTTCAAGAAGCATCGGATTGTTCGCACTTTGCGTGCATCATGGAACACTTATTTGCGTCTCTGGCGCATATCCGCATACTGTTACTTCCGGTAGGGAACATACAGCGGGCGACGTTCGACGGATGGGCCGGAGACATTAAGGATTTCGAGGAAATACGTTTGAGCGATGTGCCCGCTGACAGTCGAGAAGATAGAGGTACGGGGCAATCCATGCAACTCAGTATACAAGTGCTGATTCTTAAGCAGCTCGTTTCATGCCGAATCCACTTGCTACTGGGACTCTATTTCTGAGCTTTCTAAGGCACCCTCCATCTCCTTCATGTGGAAAGCTTGACTTGTTTCGTCCATCTGAATTTCCCCTTGGGGTCGTTGGAATCGCCAATTGCTCACAGTCCGATGCCTTATCATCCATATACTCGCAATTTAACGGGACTCTCGCGGAGTTATTCCCTCCCGACTCAATTTTCCCACTTGCACGAAACTGCTTTGTTTTTGAAGAAGGAGATGGGAATACCAATCTGAACATAGGGAATCATATGCCAGGCCTGGTGGTAATCCCGAGTATGATGGGAAACAAAAAGTTGTACATTGGTACGCTTCTGGCCGAGCTATGTTCAAATATTCTAGGCGAGTTTTCTATGATGGTGAGTCGTTGAAGATATTCAAGCGTTCATGAACTCGGGCATAACGTTGAATTATGTTTGCAGATAAAGACGCTAGAATCCTCAGCCGGGACCGACGCACTTAATGCTGGATTACTCGCACGTATGCCACTTTACAAATCAAGCCGTGCGTCGCTAGATGCTCAAGATGCTGGGAGGCCCTCCAGCGTCGCGTCTCCTTTACATACTCTTCCGGAGAATGGTTTATCTACTCGCCAGTCAGATCCAAGGTTAAACATGAAACGCGCTTCTACACTAGGACCTGGTATCGGTGGAACGAGTAATCGAAGCTCACAGCAAATGGTACAGTCAAAGCGCCAGGGTACACTCTCTTCTTCCTCAACGAAACATGCGAGATTGTACAAAGTCTTGGGAGACCTATTTCTCCTTGCTGGTCGGACGATGGATGCCTCAATATGGTGAGCTTGAAAGTTACAATTGCCGTTCACCATGGTAAACTCAGAGTCAGGTACAATGAAGCAGTTCATGTTCTAAAGCAGCCACAAGATCTGATGTGGCAGGCGTCGGCCTTGGAAGGTGTTGCCATCGCGGGGGTGATAGATGCCTGGTCTACCATAAATAGTCCGGTACGCTGTGTATTTATACATGAATGCAGGGGAGAGATTCTGAATACAGTTCAAGGTCACTGCGAATAACCAGTTAGCAGACACATGGAGGGACCTCGCTGAGAAACTGTCGAGCGCCGTGTCCCTGTATTATTCTGCGGCTGAGGTTGCCGAAGCCGAGGGCTGTATGCCTGAACTATCGTTCCTGTACATTAATGCTTGCATCCGTCATGCCTCACTCATGTATTACATGTGCTTAGCAGACGGCATGCATCCCCTCGCATTTGACGGCCTACTCCACGGTCGAATGGGCGATCGGCAGTCTGATGATAAGATACGATTAAACCTCATCAGCGGACGTTCGGGAATCTCACGCTCAGATATCTCGGAGATCCTTGCGCAAGCTCATGGGCCCTGGCTATTACATCTTAGCTCTCGTGAACGCATCGGGGCTCTTCGAGGTCTTGCCCAAATGTATTCGGGTTTGTTCTATAGACGGAAAGAAGCCTATGTTCTGAGAGAGCTCTTAGCCTGTCTGATGGATCTTGTAGTTCAAGGCCGCGAAGAAGCAAGAGGGTCGTCTGACCTGTCATTGGTTGCATCCAACAGTTCAAGTCCAAATGTAGCCATCAAAGAGAATAATGTCGGTGTGCGAGAGAGAGATGACGTGGTCGGCAACGCAAGTATTCTGCGACTCGTGAAGTACGTCTGTGAAGTGCACGGCGTCGACTTGGGTCATGTCAGATTCGCCACCAGCGGCGGTAGTAACGAGCGCCAGCAACGTCCCTCATCAGAGATACGGCCGGTCAAGCATCAGGCATCAAGCCAACCCTCGCGCCGATACACCTGGTCAGAGCTTCAGGTGGGATTAATCAGGGAGTCACTCGCAGTTGCAGAAGCTCTACCCGGTAAGCCTTATTGTGCGTGTCGTCAATTAACCAGTTACTGATTATACGCAAAGATTACGCAGCTGTTGTCCTATTTGCTCTGTCTGCTCTGCAAGATCTATATTCCTTACTTGACCCAGAAGACCAGTTCCATTTCCACACTGCCGCTTCACGTGCTCTTGCAACGCTTAGACGTCGAGGAGATGATAGGAAGCTGGGATACTGGCTGGACGAACTTATTCTCAATGTGCGCTACGTACCGTAAGTGCATTATTTCTGACACAAACGATGCGCTCTAATACAATTGACGCTTAAGGATGCCCTTTGGTAAACTACCTCTCGAGAGGCCATGGTCAGATATCCAGGAACAGGCAGGGAGTGGTGAAGAGCTTGCTAGAACTGATCCTTTTCTGTTTAATCCGAGACGGCTGTTAAGCAATAAGGTATGTCCTCAAACACATTGGTTAACGTTTCATGCTTACTTTCGTTAGCGCCAAGCATTTGCCGTTGCCAACGAACTCATAGAATTTGTTGTTACATTGGAAAATCCGTATTCTGTGGCGCTTGACATTCTTGAAGTGCAACTCAGGTGACTAATTCCCAGCGGTATTGGATATCATTTATCTCTAACGAAAGTATGCAGTACTTCTGGTGCCCCCTTTGTTGGGAAGCCCCAACCAGTCGTAATTCCCGGTAACTCGTTTGAAACTGTAACATTATCTGGTCAGGCTACGGAAGCTGGCATACTTGTTGTGCGCGGGTGTAGCGTGCTATTACCAGGAACCGAACGACACGAGACACTACTTCCTATACTTAGCGAGGACGAAGAAGAAAGCCGCTTTTTAAAAGCCATCGCGAACTTAAATGAAGAGGGGAGGTCAAAAACACCCTCTCTGAATGAGAGGTTTGATAGAAGGCGTAAACACACTAGTGCGATTTCTTCAGACGCTGGCGAAAAAGCACCCAAACCGATAAAATATTTGGAGTTAAAGATTGTCCCAGAGCAACCGTACCTGCGAATACGTCGGACATCACTCACGAATGGTGCCGTCATGGTCTACGATGGTGAAACGTATGTTATACTTTCTAACGTGTCAGAAAGGGAAATTACTCACGCAATTCTTAATTAGATCGATCATTCGCCTCACTGTTGAGAACGTTTCCAGCCTTCCGATTGACTTCCTTGATCTCTCGTTCGAGGACTCAACGAAAGCACAGCTCGAGCAGCTACTCAATGAGGATCTGAATGCGTTCGATACGTACGAGACGGAGTATAGTTTAGTGCAGAGGCCCGTGTTCTCTTGGGAGCCAGACAAAACTCGAAAAGATATTCCTCCTGGGAAGGAAAGCGTCATCCTCGTCAAGTGCTTCGGGAAAGCGGGATGGTAAGTTTTCCATACTTCTTGATATCCTTCTGCTAACATGACTCTGGGACGAAGCACCGACGGAACGATACACATATCGTATTCCTATGCTCATCGACCGCGCGATGGCTCTAATACTCCGCAAACTGCATTCTATACGCGACAATTGCTGTTTCCGGTCCTTGTATCCGTTTACCAAATGCTAGAGTGTTCAGGAATGAATATTCTGCCGTTATCTGCCTTGGCGGATGCAGAAGATGTACGGAATGAATGGGGCAGCCTGTTAGCCGATATTGACGATGTCGCTTGGTGCGTCCTTGCGCTGGACGTGCAGAATATGTACGGATTGGCTTTCGAAGTCATTCTGTCGTATAATTCAGAAGGTATGCGTGAGTTCAGTTGTCGATCTAGAGCCAGACTACTGATTGTGTGTTCGTAGTTTCAACCTCACGGGTGATCCCACCAGGATCAACATATAGGTATGCACATAAAAAATTTACTGGAAAGCCTGATTTTCTAAGTGCCCGCATAGATTATTATTGCCCATTGAGCGATTCTCTCTACTAGCATCTGCGTGCGATAAACCTATACCTTCTTTAATGAACCGACAATTCGTAGTTTCTGGCCTAGCAAGCGATGAGGATAAAGCTCAAAGGGAACTCTTCTGGCACAGAGAGGAACTCCTGAAGAGGGTGCATGCGTCCTGGAAAGAGGTATGCCTTGTCGGATTTTGACTACTTTTCGATGCTCAGTTTCTTTCATTCAGGCTGCAGGGTCCAGAACAGGAGAGTTGTCATTGCGACAGCAACGTTTCACTCAGCCGATGCTGAACACCCTCCGAATGGACGATATACGCGTTAGTTTGTCCTTGTCAGACATCCAGGGCAGTGAATCGTCTACACATGGCAGAGGGACCTATGTTGCATCTCCTAATGAATACGTAGTGGTGACAGCAACAGTGCAGAATCTGACGCGTAAGTTGACTGTTAATTATACGAGAACCGTTACTAAATACCATAATTGGATTATCAAGCTTCATCCCTTGTGCTATCACTTTCGCTCAGCGCTGAACCTTCTGAAAGTGTCTTATACGATGGTTCCCTGAAAGACATCCCTCTTGGTCGTATAGCAAGTCAAGAGTCGAAGGAGCATCAGGCTACCGTCATTTTCGTGGCTCAAGGCAACTTCAGGGTCTTCGCACAAGTTCGGGAGGTGGTCGTTGGCCAAGAGTCAAGAGTGTGTGGGATGGGGCATATCGTGGTGGAGTCGCGGGACGATTGAGAATTAGACGGGGAATGGACTATTATCGTGATCCTTTCACTGTTATTTTCGAGGTTTGGACTTATCTTTATCAATTACTCGCGTGTTCGGACGTTGTCGTTATTGTCCTAAGTGATGCATCTTTCCTTGCATTGCACATTGATATAGTTTTGGAAACTATTCGAAGTTGAAAGAAATTGCAGCGATAAATAATCGACATTATTACAAATACGTTCCAAGACGAATCCCCAAGTCCACAACACCAGGGATTTGATACAGTATCAACATTAGAATTCGTCTGCCTCCTGGCTGAAGGTAGCTGTATACGCTAAGATCGTTCCATACACAAGTCTGGGGCGCATCGCATGTCAGCCAACACCGCTTTACAAAAGCTTAGAATGGACTACGTACCCTCCTCCTATAATCGACATCACACATGCAGCGGGGTGGATAATCTCAGAGTGTGCAAGGATGAGTGGGAGGGCGAACCCGGTGACGACAATCATGGACGTGATGAAGCGCCCAAGGTCAACTGGGCCTGATGCCTCTCCGTCCGTTGAGAAATCATCAGAACCGCAATGCGCGAATATGGCGTTTGGGAGTGGCGCGACGACGAAGGTCAAAGCTACATATTCCAAACAATTACTCAGGAATGAAGGTGAATCTATGTTTGGAGTGCGACCAGCGACTCACCGACAAGCAAAGGTAACCAATTCTTAAATAACGCGCAGGACAGGATGATGAGTAGGAAACCAACGGCGAGGACGAACGAGAGCAATATCACAGCTTTGAGAGGGTGATCGCTCAGGATTGAGAAGAGATTCAGCGTGCTCGATAGCTTACTCTTTAATCCAGCAGCCATATTGTGGTTTGTTACCAAAGGAGTCGAAGGGCGGGGAAACGTCTTGAACAAGCTGCGTTGCGCGCTGCGGCACGGTTCGGTCGCGAGTCCGTTTAAGGCAATTCTCGTACGTAAGCGTCCTCAATAAAATACTATTAATTATAATTTATTAACTTTTTAATGCGTTGTGCGTCTCTTGCAGGTGGACATATGCTCAGGGTATGATTATAACGATGTTCCTTAATATCTTAGCTGACATGGATGGACTTTGTTTGCTTCACGTGGCAAGCCTCGACGGTGAGCAAAGGTTATTGTAGTGGGGACAAGTCGTCAGGGACCGAGCACGAATGTCGTTGAGTTCGAATGTGCCGTTCGGACGCAGGGTAGACTGAGGGCACGCAAACCCGTGAATTAATAGAGGTACGGGAATGCCTGGCAACGCGGTGATGGAGAATATATACAATTGATGCGAGGTCGTATGAAAGAATATATGCAATACTTTTTGGATCTCATCGTACAAGTCTAATCGTCGTCGCTGACTTCAGCCCTCTGGCGAGGCCGCGATCCAGATGCTACTGCCCTTCGCATATCATCACCGTCCATTTCGTTTTGTGCAGCATCCGCAGCGTCAATCCACTCCGAGTATACGTCAATGGGCTCAGTCAAATCTAGGGGACCGTTAGAAGAAATTTATGCCCGACTGAGTATTGGAACATACGGTTAACTCTTCCTTGGAATCTCTGTCCACAAATTCTGCACAAAAGGGTTGCAATACCTTCCTTGCGATCTATCTTAACATTTACAGACTTCTCATGGTGACAAAAGAGGCACGTGAACGTCGTGTCTAAAGGCCAGGTCAATTAACGGCAAGTAGATACATCGAATTAGCGTACCGAGAGGTGTACGTTTTCGCGCAGCAGATGTCGCAGGCTTTCTAGACGATTTCTTCCGTTTGCCCATGCAGGAAAATGTCCAGAAGGAGACTCGGCCGCGTGGCCACTCATTTATGTGGATGTGGAGAACACTGGCACGTGCACCACGTGAGCAGTCGCGTCGAAGTTGTTGTGCCGCGTTGGTGGCTACTGCGACGCGTCTCTCTAATTTCGCGAAGATATCTCCTCTCACCATATCATGGCTACCCGCAGGCCTGTCTCGCGCAGGCAACCATCAAATGCCATGAATCCTCCCCCAATACCTTCGTCATCATCTGCTGGAATCAGTCGATCTCGTTCCGTCCTGGCTAAGGCTCGATCCGAACTTACTACTCCGGTGGAAGATCCAAATGAGGGTTCAGATGGCTTCATAGGCTTATCTCAATCAAATGGGAAAAAATCGCAATCGCAATCTTCAAACGATGGAAGTGACTCGCATATACAAGTCGTCATTCGCTGTCGTAGGCGTTCCGAGCGAGAAATACAAGAAGGGTCCCCAATTATTATATCTACTGAAGGACCGAGAGGTCAGAACGTTACCATTGAAACCGCTGCAATCACCTCCGTCCTAGGAATTGTAACGTTACCTCCGACACGTACCTATCCATTCGACGTCGTCTTCGGGCCAGAGGCTGATCAGTCCATGGTTTACCAGGATGTCGTTCATCCAATGCTGGACGAAGTTCTGAAGGGGTATAACTGCACTTTGTTTGCGTATGGCCAAACTGGCACAGGCAAAACGTACGTCATTTCCAACTGTTGTTCTATAACCTATTTATGGTGCATCACAGTTACACCATGCAAGGTGATGTATCCCTCACACCACTCGGAAATCCGACTGCACAGGCAGGCATGATACCGCGCGCGCTCTTCAAACTTTTCCATCAGTTGGAAAGCTCCGGCTGTGATTACAGTGTCAAGATATCCTATGTTGAACTCTACAACGAGGAGCTTCGTGACCTTCTTGCCACGGACCTGTCCCCTCCATCCGGTCCCGTACAACCCATGAGTATGGGCAGCCAAAAGGATATCCAGAGCGGTCTTAAGATCTTTGACGACTCGAGTAAACGAGGCGTCTTCATCCAGGGATTGGAAGAGACTCCAGTCAAGGACTTTAATGATGCACTGGCTTTACTAGCGAAGGGTAGTCAGCGGAGACAAATCGCTGCCACGAAATTCAATGACCATTCCAGCCGCTCGCACTCTGTCTTCTCCATCACCGTACACTCAAAAGAGACGTCGACTCTAGGTGATGACCTACTGAAAGTAGGCAAGCTCAATCTCGTTGACTTGGCCGGGTCAGAAAACATTGGAAGATCCGGTGCAGAGAACAAGCGTGCTCGCGAGGCTGGTATGATCAATCAAAGCTTACTTACTCTTGGAAGAGTTATCAATGCTCTTGTTGATAAGTCATCCCATGTGCCGTACAGGTATAATCACCGTATTTCTTGCATTATTTCGAAGACACTGACTTTCTTACAGAGAATCGAAGTTAACTCGCCTCTTGCAAGACTCGCTTGGTGGTCGTACGAAGACTTGCATAATAGCCACGGTCTCTCCCGCACGATCGAATATGGAAGAGACCCTGTCTACTCTCGATTACGCCCTACGTGCGAAATCCATCCGCAATAAGCCTGAGGTCAACCAGCGCATGTCCCGTAATGCTCTCTTGAAAGAATACGTTGGAGAGATTGAGCGACTGAAGTCGGACCTTCTTGCTGCGAGGGAAAAGAACGGAATATATTTCTCTGAGGAGACGTGGACTCAGATCAACAACGAACATGAGCTACGACAGACAGAGGTGGAAGAATGCAAGAAACAGGTCGAGATGATCGAGAGTCAGATGAGATCGGTCAGGGAAGAGTTTGAGCAGAGTATCGCTCTGCTCATGAAAACAGACGGCGAGCTGAAGACTACGAAAGAGAGGCTGCGAAAGCGTGAGGGCGAGCTAGTCGAGAAGGAAGGCGAACTAAGCAACGTCAAGGTCGCTTTTGAAGAGGAAGTGGTAGTGCGCATGGCTCACGTAGCTACCGAGGACATCCTAGACGATGTAGCGGACGGGCTCAAGAAGGTTGTTGAGCAGAGCACAACCGATGTTTCAGGCCTCTTCGGCAAGATTGGTGAGTTTTTGTCCAGTTACAGTCCACGCCTCTTTCTCAGCACACTCTAGATCGTAAAATACAGGAGTTTAACGCGAACTCCAAGGCCATGAAGGGCCAGAGTACGCTTCTGGATCAAGAATTGCGTTCATTCTTGTCTACAGTGGAAACATTCGTCAAGTCGGCAGATCAAGCCGTGACGAAAACTAAGACACTGGCAGAAGCGTTTAGGAAAAGGGAGATATCCGCACTAAGCTCTCACAGTCAGACCCTTGAAGAACAGATTGGCCGTGTCACTAGTGCACTGAAAACTATTCAGTCGAAAGAGGATGCTTCGGAGCAGAACCTGACAAATATTTGGACAATCGTCAAAGAGGTTCAAGACCGATTGGCAAATGAACTGTCGATCTGGTCAGGCACCACTCAGGATGACATTCAGGCGATGTGTACTGATATTGAGCAAGCGGCTGCCACTAACTTTGCATCAGTGAGTTGGAATAGTCTGGAGTTAAAGCCTGTACTAACTTCAACCAGACCCAGCAAGCCATTCAATCTTTGTGGTCTGTTATGGAAAGGCTTGTTAGGGACACCCGATCAGCTATTGAAAGCGAACGTAAAGCAGCGGAACGGCAGAACGAGCTCGTTGCGCATGCGGCGCGTGCTGAAATCGCAAGGCTGCGAGAACAGAATGCTCGCTTGTCTGAGCTCCTTGACTCAGAAAAGAGAAGTGCGCTGAAAGCGAGAGACGCGCTTGTCAAGAGTATTTCTTCATTACTTGTGGATTTCACCGAAGAACGCGATCGCGGGCTTCGCGAAGCTGTTTCCGGTATTCAGGAGTCAAACGTCCAAGGAACGGAAAACATGGAGACCTTCGCGAAGAAGCATGACGTGTTGATGAGCGAATCTAGCGCGCGTAGTCGAGCATGGAGTGCATCATTGGATAAGGTTGCGATTGATGGTGCTCAGGCTAAGCTGTCCGCGACTGAGGTAAGTTAATATTGTTTCAGTGTTCTGGCAACGTATTCTTGAATTACTTCAGAGCGCACAATCAGGCAGTACTTCGGTTCAAAATGGCCTCTCTGAGCTACGAGGCTCGACTTCTGCGGCGATTTCATCACACTCAGAGGGCATCATTCATGTTTCGAAGGCATTAAACTCGTGTTCAAAAGGTTCGTATCACAAAGAATCAATACGATTAGCTATCTGTGCTTAGCTTCCACTCTGAATTTCTAGTGTTTGAACGTGAGCACAAGATCAAGCGAGTGCGCATTGATACGTCAACACACTTGGCGGAAGACGCGCAAGCTACATTCCAAAGCACGCGGGACCTAGTAGACTCGACGTCTAAGGAATTTGACACATTCAGAAAGGACGTCACTGCAGAGGTACGAATAATCAACTTCGATTTTTCATTTCCAGATGAATTAATACGTAACATACAGACGGAGCGCCTGCAGAATGAACTACGTTCCCACTCATCCTCAGCATCCTCGCATGTGTCGTCAGTCCAACAATATAATAAGCGGATGCTTGAACAAGGCACACGACAAAACCCTCCGACGGGAACGACACCTCAGAAACGGAAATGGTCTTATGTTGACAAGTGGGAACGGACAAAAAATCGAACGGATTTATTGCGAGAATACTACAGACAGCGAGGCCCTATCTCAGCGGAAAGTGCGCATGACACGTTGCAGAACGAGGATTCGATCCTGGACGTGCAAGAGGCGGAGAATTTGGAGGAGCACACAGAAGGAGATAATCCAGGACAAGAAGTTGGGGGGGATGGTGCTGACGCTGCCGAGCACAATAATGCGACTAGCGAGGAACCACAGGCGGCTGCTTCGCCACCAGCAAAAGTGGAAGAGGAATCCGGTCCGTTGCCTTTGTCGGAATCATCATCATTAACTACCCTACCTTCGGAGGACCTTATCGAAACGCAACCGGCACCGCAACCAGTGGCACCCGCATCTAGGTCGAATCGCAGAGAAAGCGGAATTCCAATGAAGGTCCAGCCCCCTCGCCCTACACTACAGGAGAAATCCACAAATATTCTTCCGGAACCTAGACCAAGAGTCATTAGAACGACACGAGTCAGGCGATAATAGCTAATTTTATTCGTTTTCGGTTCGTTTTGTAAGATGCTTTGCCGCACTTTGTACAATATACAAGTTATTTTTATACGTGGAGAATGTATTGCTATTGTGCTGTAAAGGGGAAAAGTCACGACCAGGCTGACTAAGCTTGCCACTTTGAAATGTGTGGTAACACGCAACGCGTCCACCGCGACGAACCTCCTAAACGCTCATTAGAACAGGACCGGGGCCACATTCACGTCGTATCGCTATTTCGGTGCAGAAACTGATCGCTGACGTGGAAGTGGGAAGTGTGGCACGCGTTCACTCCTGTGTCAAACCACCATGGCGTCGAGCACGAATATTAAAGTCGTATGTCGGTAAGTGGTACAACTGTTAATGACAAGGCACGCGCAACTTTAAGGCTAATGTTGTTATTAGGTTCCGACCGCAGAACTCGATAGAGCTGAGGGAAGGTGGAGAGATTGTCGTCGCTTTTGATGAGAATTTACATACCGTCCAGCTGAGGGCTGCGCAAGCTACTGCTGGTCCAGAGAAGGATGGCTTCACATTCGATCGCGTCTTTCCTATGACCACGCAGCAGGTCGAGATCTTCGAGTATGGTGTGAAAGAGTGCGTTTCATGGTTCATTTTTGGCTTGGAATATGCTTAATCATCTACCTATGCAGTATTGTTACAGGTACGGCGATGTTCACGCCGAAGCCACCTTCGCACTAATGTGCGTCTATGCTAACGTCAACTTACAGATGTTATGGATGGTTACAATGGCACTGTCTTCGCGTACGGACAAACTGGAAGTGGAAAGACCTTTACCATGATGGTAAGCAACGCTATATAAAATTTTACGATTACAATTATCTTACAGAGTGCAGGGTGCCGATATCGACGATGACAACCTCAAAGGCATTATTCCTCGTATTACAGAGCAGATCTTCTCGTCAATTGTCGAGTCAGATCCACATCTCGAATATCTGGTGAAAGTGTCGTACATGGAAATTTACCTGGAGCGTATCCGAGATTTGCTAGCACGTAAGCAATATATGGCGAGGCTTCGACCAACCCGGGACATACTGACCGCATTGCAGCCCAGAACGATAACCTGTCAATACACGAGGAGAAGAATAAGGGCGTGTATGTCAAGAATCTGTCTGATTACTATGTAAGCAGCGCAAAGGAGGTGTACGAGATTATGAGGCAAGGTGGACAGGCGCGAATCGTATCAGCTACCAGTAAGCAATTTTATTCATATATGCGCTCTTAGAGTACGTTCCTGACATATATGTTCTCGCGCAAAGATATGAATGCCGAGAGTTCTCGGTCACATTCAATTTTCCTGATCACAATCAACCAACGGAATACGGACACTGGTGCCCAGAAGACAGGAAATCTGTATCTCGTCGATCTGGCTGGTTCCGAGAAAGTCGGTAAAACAGGAGCCTCCGGTCAAACGCTCGAAGAAGCAAAGAAGATCAATAAATCGCTTTCGGCCCTCGGGATGGTCATCAATGCTCTTACGGATGGCAAAGTACGTCATCCTGGAATGGAGGTATCGCATTGTATGGCTAATCTTCCATTTTGCCGGTCTAGTCTACACATATCCCGTATCGCGACTCGAAGCTTACCCGTATTCTTCAAGAGTCCCTGGGTGGCAACTCCCGAACGACTCTCATAATCAATTGTTCTCCTTCATCTTACAATGAGCCTGAGACTCTCAGTACCCTTCGTTTCGGTATTCGTGCCAAGTCAATTAAGAACACTGCTCGTATCAATACTGAGCTCTCACCTGCCGAACTCAAGGCCCGTCTCAAGCAAGCACAGACAGCCAATGCATCATTCCAAGCATACATTGCTGCGCTGGAGGCCGAACTGGCAGTCTGGAGAAGTGGAGGATCCGTCGATCAATCAGAATGGGCTTCTGCTGACAAGGCTGGTGCTCCCGCACCACCCAAGAAAGCACCTACGCCCTCGACGCCCTCGTCAGCGAGAAGCGTTACACCGATCAATCCAGTTATTGAGAGCTTGCGAGGAGACCTTGATTCTAGGCCTCAAACCCCGACTGTTGTTGGCCTTGACAAGGATGAAAGGGAGGAATTCTTACGTCGCGAGAATGAACTTAGCGACCAGCTCGCGGAGAAAGAAAGCGCGTTGGCAGCCTCGGAGAAGGCCCTGAAGGAAACCCGCGAGGAACTGTCGTTCTTGAAGGAGCAAGAACGTTCACTTTCGGCGGTAATTAAACTCTGTTTCTTGTATAATGTCCTGCCTAATATTCTCTCCACAGGAAAACAAATCCATGTCGACTCAGTTGAACGATTTGAGATTGCAGGTCGAGCGACTCGATTATGACAACAAAGAGGGTGCAATCACCATAGATATCTTGAAAGAACAGAACCAAGATGCGACGCGTGAATTGGAGGAGTTGCGACAAGCAATTGCCGACCTTAAATCCAACCAGAAGGACCCTTCGCTTGAGGATAAGGAGAAGAAAAAGCAAGAGAAGATGGCCCTTATGATGGCGAAATTTGATACTGTGAGTAACATGGTACTTGTCATGTAACAAGGAGGCTCAATCGACGCTACAGCAAGGAACATTCTCCGAGAAGGACGAAGCTTTGCGAGCGCTTCTCGTGAAGCTCGACTCCACTGATGCCGAAAACATTGCTTCTTCGTTGAGCTCTGATGATCTAGTCCTAATCCGGCGGCAACTTTCTGAAGGCCAGTCGCTTGTGCGCGAGACAGTCGAGCGCCTACGCCAAAGCCAGGAGGAGAACGAAATACTTACACGCAGGCGCGACGAAGTGGAGTCCCGCCTCGCTGCTCTTGAAGCCGAATACGAGGAACTACTCGAGAAGACGATCAACGATGAGGAGACTAGCAACATCGACATTGCGGAATCTATGGCCGAGCTGAAGGTATGTTTCATTTACGTGGCCTACGAGATATGTCACTAACAGTTGCTTAGAACAAGCTTGAGGCGCAATACGCTGCGAAGCGCGAAGCTCACTTGAGCGAGGTTGCAGACCTAAAGCAGCAACTTGAAATGCGACAAGCCGACATCAGGAACTTGCATTCCACTATCGATGGGTTGAAGGGTGTCAATGAAGAACTGAAGGTTCGCAGTTTATTAATACTCGAAGTTATTTGTCTGATCAATCACCCGATCCCTTCTAGCGCGCGTTTGCTGTCACATCAGCGGGCATTGAGGGCGGCAAGAATCTGGCAGAGAGCGCTGCCGATCTTGAGCGGACGCGCAAGGCTATCAATGTTCAGCTTGCTGAATTCGATGGTGTCAAGAAGTCTCTCATGCGGGATCTACAGAACCGATGTGAAAAGGTCAGCTTGTCACGAAATTGTGTTTTTACATCATTCCACCTACTAATCCATTTCGAAATGTTAAGGTCGTCGAACTAGAGATACAACTCGACGAGATCAAAGAACAATATAACAACGTCATCAGGAACAGCAATACTAAGGCACAACAGAAGAAGATGGCGTTCTTAGAGCGTAACCTAGAGCAACTGACTCTTGTGCAGAAGCAGGTAAGCATTCCTTCTACTTAAAACGCACTTCACTTCTGATATACCTCTTGCACATCTAGCTTGTAGACCAGAACTCCGCCTTGAAGAAAGAAGCGGGAATTGCTGAGAGGAAGCTTCTCGCACGCAATGAACGTATTCAAAACTTGGAAGCTTTGCTTCAGGATGCAGACAGGCGTCTTGCTGTACAGAACCAGAAGTTCGAGGAGCAGCTTCAAGCCGTCAAGGACAGGCTAGACCAAGCACGAGGTTTGATTATTCGCACTGTTGAAAACTGTCGGATTTGTACTGACGTCGTTCATGGTTTACCAACGAACAGCGCAAAAAGCAGCGAGCTCGTCACCTCTTAGCTTTGGACGAATAGCGAAGCCGCTGAGAGGAGGCGGTGGAGCAGCGCCAGCTCCGATGAACTCACCACCCGCTGGATTTCCTGGAAACATGAATCCTCTTGCTCGGGTACAGAACGAAGACTCAGGGTACGTGGAGTGCCACAACTTCTTTCACTGCATGACGCTAACTAATGCGTTGGGGGTTTTCCCTTGCTCCTGTATACAGAGGCTCAGGTGAGGTCATCTATGCATCAGTTTTTCTTCTGTTACTGAGATAGCATACTTGCAGCGAAACGAGCATCTTGGTTCTTCTCATCAGGTGCGACGGGAAGGTGATCCGTAGTTACGATTATATTAGCTTGACCTTGACTAGACTACATAAGTATACCCTCCCGCTCTATCGACTCACTGCTGCGCACTAGTACTAGTAATACTGCATTAATACAATAAATGGATGGCTATGGTGTACTGGAGAATGATGAGTCGATCTAGGCGTCAGCGCGGGCCACATCAATGAGCTGTTGGTCAGGGTAGAGATCAACCCGGAGATCACGACATAAAAGGCAAACTCGGTGATAGACACGATCGGCTTCGTTCTTTGATGCGGATGTTTTGACCTGCGGACCCTTTTTTTCGAGTGCATCCCGACATGGTTCGATCGTTTCATGTCACGAGTGCGGTGGGCTTCGAGTTGGACCACAGCGTCGTTCCAATCTTTGACCCGACGCTCACCGCGCTTCTTCGCAGCTGTGTAGCTCCGGAACTACACTTCGCAATGCACTAGACTAGGCAAACGGTGCGCTTAGCGGATTTTCATGGAAGCAGGGGAAGAGCTCCTTGGCAATATTCGATTTTGATTTGTTCCGTCGCAATGGGATCATCAATTTTGCTCATTTTCTCACCCGTGAGAGGAAGCACTGCACTGCTTCTTCCGGCTGCCTTCCCTGGCCAGGGTTCTCACTCTTCTTTCTTGACAGGGGCTCTTAGAAGGTGATTTGCATTTTGACTTTGCGGTGCCTCCGTGGCGCACGTCCCGAGCCTTTTGATCGCATGCGTATTGCGCCAGCTAATCGTCTCCATGAGCTATGCCGAGTACGCGGACGGTCAGGAACTGGCAGATTCAGATTTGAAATTGTTTCCGAGAGTGTTTATATATACATAATTTCAGGCATGCGCAGTATCGAATTCCAGGCGGAGAGGTTTGCGGCGGCTGTGTGTAGATTGTTCTATTCGAAAATTAGTTGGTTTCAAGTGTATCATCATGGCTCCAGATTAGTCTTCCGCCTGTTTCCCGCCCGCCAATTCCATTTCGCCCTAGTTTTTCGCTCTCAGCGCCTTCCCCTTCTCGTTTGCCGTGGACAGTCGGGCAGACAGAGTTCACTGTCCGCTTGGAGTCACACCGTCTCTCCTTTCTCTCTCTCTCCTTTTTCATACCTCCGTCTGGTGCGCAGTCGGCATACGCTAGTACAGCCACGTAGAACGATTGACAATTGTGGACTGCGTAAGCTTCACGGCTGTCTGTTGGACCACGTTTGCCTCCGTCGTGCATTGTTCCTCCGTTTAACTGAGCTGGTCTACGGCCCAGACGGTCTAATCTACTCCTTTTTTGGTGTTCGACCGTATATTTTGTCCGGTCGACCATAATTCCTGGTTGGGCTTCACCGCCTCCACGTATCCGGAGTAATTACAAAGTAAAATTGGGGATTTTCGGGGTATTTTGGTGAGTGCGTGTTGAGTGTCTTTGCAGAGATAAAATTCACCTTCCGGGTCAGGACGGTGTTGATATATTGTGTTCTGAGCCCTCGTGTCTTTTGTAGCGCTTGTGCGGAAGACATTTCGGACCGGTTCGATACTTCTTACTATACACGCCTCGTTTTTGTGAGGTTTACGTTTCTTTCTCCTAGTCTATATGTTAATAACCAATCCAGGTGCCGGAAGGCCACGAGCGCCCCTAGTCAATTAGAGAATTCTTCCGCCACCAGGCATTACCTGTTGTATGTCATTATTCTTATTTGTGGCAGTTTGCAACGTGGCTCCCGTCCTGCGTTTTCTCATCTTTTTTCATTTCCCTTTTTCTTCCACAGGTCTAGAGTTAGATCAGCCCACCACTATTGTGTTCTATTGATTGCGCACACGCTATGGGAATGAATTCCAACGTTGGACTCAAGACGTTGAACTCCAACTGGCAGGTGAGTGCCATCTGGTACTGTGCCTTCTAGACGACATGATGGACGTTGGCATATTGTAGGTGTGGGGCGGTCAAAGACAGCCGTCTGGCTCATCAAATGCAAGTGTCGCTGATGTAGCAGCTACTCAAAGAGATTCTTGGGCGTCATCGCGTCCTGCAAGCGGGTCTTGGGAAGTTAATCAAACCACTGACCTCACTGACAGCCCGCAGAAAAAGGACTTTAACCAGCTGGTATGTTGCTTGAATAGTGCTAGCCTGCTGGCACTCAATACGAATTTTAGGACCCTCAATCTCCTATGAATCATGGGAGACAGAATAGAACATCATCGGGCCTAGGCTCGCGAATGGTATGTCGTGTGCTGATAATTGGACCCGTCATTAATAATTTCAACAGGATGAGAGGGCATCAGGCGTGAAGTCTAGTGCACGTTACAATGGTGCTCCTTCGCCAACAGCAGTTGGCTTCAATGCGAATGTCCAGTTTGGCAATCAGTCAAATGGGACATCTGGCTACGAGGGCACGCATGGTTCTGCGTCGGTAGAGGATTTGACATTAGGAATTCGCGGTATGACCGTTGGCGAGGACTATAGTAACCAAGGGCCTTCTTATCGACAAGCAGGGGGAATGCCACAGCCTCAAACCGCTCCCGCTCCCGTTCGTGCTCCTCATATGATCCCAACACACCAGGCACGACCTTCCTTCAGTGGATACAACCATCAGACAGACTATCCGCCCTATTATACTGGCCCCTCTGCTTTGGACTATACGTACAGCTACGATACTTACCGTAGCAACTCGGAAGCCTCCATTTACGGTTCCCCTGTACCCGCGAGCGCAACACCTCCGACTGCGAGTGTCTATCACGGGATGACAACTTCAGCTGTGCACCCGGTTCATGCTGAGCTCAGACAGGCTGGAGGCATGTTCTATGACTTCCCCGGCTCTGCTCGGCCTCCTGCTTCTCAATTTTTCTACTCGGCACAGCCTATTATGTACGCGACGGCTGCTCCTCATTCGCCTATGCAGACAACCGCAATCGCACAGATGCCTCCAGCATCTTTATCTGACAAGAAGCGCGAGTTGCAGGTTTGTTCGGTTCCTTTTAAAAAAATTGTTCTAAATTAGCTCATTCTCCGCGTTCAGTATGCTATTCAACAGCAGCAGCAGTTGAGTCATCAGCTGTATGCTTCGGTACGTCATTCGACGCCATCTCCTCAGGGGCAGCCTTACGGAGTGCCCGCTGAATACGTCGGCCAGGTGCCCGTGATGATGCCTGGCGCGACGGTGTTTGGAACTCCTAGCAACGGGAATCAGGCACTAACATTGTTCCAGCAGACCCTAAACCACGGCCGAAAGCTTGATGGAGCTGTGGCCCCGAGCATTACACTTAGGAGTCCCCTCCTGGATGAGTTCCGTGCCAACAAGTCGCGCAAATGGGAGCTCAAGGTTGGTTTGACGTATATTCTTAGTCGAACATAACTAATAGTGGCGCTCAGGACATTTTCGGCTATATTGTTGAGTTCAGTGGCGACCAGCATGGTTCTCGCTTTATCCAGCAGAAGCTCGAGACCGCGACTAGCGACGAGAAACAAATTGTCTTTGATGAGATTGTCCCTGGTGCTGCCCTGCAGCTGATACAGGACGTTTTCGGGAACTATGTGAGAACATTGACCGAGTCAGTATGAGGAAGTTATTGACCTCCAAATTTAGGTAATTCAAAAGCTATTCGAACATGGTACCCAAGTCCAAAAGACGATCCTGGCCAATGCAATGGAAGGTCATATACTGGCGCTGTCGTTGCAAATGTACGGTTGTCGCGTAGTTCAGAAGGTAAATATTCTGTGTTTCAGGGACGAGCCTATATGCTAACCTCGCTTTAGGCAATCGAGTTCGTCCTTCCGGAACAACAAGCCTCCTTCGTGAAGGAGCTGGAAGGTCATGTCCTTAGATGTGTAAAAGACGCAAACGGCAACCATGTAGGACATCTATTTTCGGCTCGTGAATGACATCCTCATATTCCATCTACTACAGGTCATCCAAAAGCTTCTTGAGCGCGTTTCCCCTGAACGTCTCGGGTTCGTTCAGGCCTTTAAAGGCAACGTGTATGAATTGTCGACACACCCGTACGGCTGCCGTGTCCTTCAGCGTGTCTTTGAACACATGAAGGAAGAGCAAACCCGACCGCTCCTCGATGAGCTGCACAAGTATACCATTAATTTGATGCAAGATCAATTCGGGGTACGCAAATTACATCCGTAACATTGTTTTCCTAATTACAAATATTTCGACATGCAGAACTATGTCGTGCAGTTTGTCCTGGAGCACGGCCCTGTACAGGATCGTCTACTTATCATTAGCAAGTTACGTGGTCAGATGCTCCAGATGGCGAAGCATAAGTTTGCGTCGAACGTCTGTGAGAAAGCTCTCGTAATGGCCGATTCGGAAAATCGCCGTCTACTCGTTGAAGAGATGATAACTCCCAAGGCTGATGGTGTCAGCCCGATCGTGACTATGATGAAGGATCAGTATGCGAGTAAGTAGAAGTTTTTGTTTCAGAATTGATTCAACGCTGATGTGCATATAGATTACGTCCTTCAACGAGCGCTAACTGTCGTGGAGGGCGATCAGAAGGAAGTCTTCATCTCGAAGGTCAGGCCACAACTCGCGACTATGCGCAGGTACTCTAGCGCTTATAGCAAGCATCTTATTTCAAGTAAGCAATGGTCCTGGCATCGCGTAGAGCGTCGTTTACTGATCACCTGTGCAGTTGAGCGTCTCTTAGAAAAGACAGTAACTCAATCTTCATCCACCAACTCTAACATTACCCTAGGACCTGAAGGTGTACAGCCGGAAGGCGAACCCGCCAACGCGTCATAATATTCTGCGGAAAGATCTAAGTAGTTTATAATCCACCTTCATTGAGGTTACATTCGTTTCTACCATCAATTATCCATTGCTACATACAGTCACTGCACATCAACGCATTTCACTGACCATTTACACACCGGACTTGATCAATTTATTATTTGCAATGTTTTCTTGTCCGATACGTTGCCCCCTTGCTCTCGTTACCGTGTCATATGCTTTTTTTTCAACGTCCATCGTCTAATTTGCGCATTTATGTTTCACTTGTTCTTGCTTTCCATCCATTACCCACTACACCGTTAGTCTCCACTCCTTTTCTCGTGCACATTTTCTCTTCTATACTGCAGTACTTCATATTCGCCATATAATGAAATCAAGTCCGTCTGCAGCTACTACCATTGATTATTCGGACTTCCATTTGTTATTGAATGAAGGAAACGTGGTACGTGTTTACTCGACCAAGCTTCTGCGTCGATCTGCGAACGCGTCGTGGGAAAGCATGTTTATTTCGAGGCGGCGAATACTCCACGTCCACGTCGACCTCCGCTATCGTCGTCAGTTCCGTGCTCGGCCTCTCCTCAGACAACAACGAGTACAATGAGCACCATGGAGGCTGCAGCAAGTCTGTTTGGGTCCTCAGACTCTGGCTCAGACCTGGATTTTTTAACTGCGCCAGAGGGAGCGAATAGCGCGTCAGACTCTCCCGCCGGAACGGGTGCCGCTACCAGCAATGAACTGTTTGCGAGTCAGGACTCCTCGAGTCTGTTTGACAACGGAAGCGCTGGTGCAGAGCATTCGCTTTTTGAGGCAAGGAACGAAGCACACGCGCATGTGCATGAGCACAACAGCACACACTTCACGCAGGCTGAAGCATATCCGTCAGAGAATGCGAATGGGTATAGACAGGATGCTCAGTCCGACTATAATTCTGACGGAGCCGGATACGGGAGTATTGACGAGGGCTGGTTTGATGAACATGGTCAATGGCATACTTTTGACCAGTTGGAAACGACCGCCAGTACCGGTGTGTTCCTTCGCTAATTCAAGTATTTTCTTAGCTTACTCGGATTGTCTGACATAGGTATTGATGCATCTTCTAACACCGCAGAGCACCACGCTGGTGCTACAAATGCGAGCCCTTACGCTGGCTACAGCGCAGCAGGTTCACAGTATGGTACACAATCTGCTAGCACGCCATCCACGTATGCATATCAGCCGGATTCGAACTACGTTCCGCAATCGACTTCGGCTTACGATACGTACAAACCGGCCACCCCAACGGTACAGCAGCAATCGTACGCGTCTGGTTATAATTCGTCCGCGACTTCCCATGATCCGTACAAACCGTCGGGATTCGGCTCACAACAAGCCCCAACGTCAACCTATACAGCGCCAACAGTACCTCCATATGATTCGTATAGACCTTCTGCATCTCACACATATTCAACGCCTGCTGCTCCTCCCTCGGCGGTTCCTCAATCAAATAGGTCTGTGTCTAGCGGAGGTTTAATGTCACCAGCAACTTCAGTAGACACTTCGAAGCCACCAGCATCAATATATCGTCCGACTACTGCCAATGCTTATGACCCTCCACTTCCTCCTGTCAAGCCGAAGAAGTCTATGGCGGCAAATGCTTTACAATTTCAAAGCAGTTCGTACAGTCCACAAGGCGTCTCGTCCCCACTTCTTTCCCCTGCTCGATCAGCTTTTTCACCTCCTGCTGGAAACTCGACTTTTTCTCCCGGCCCGCCGCCTCGTTCTACCGTGCGTTCACCTCCGAAGGCGCCTGGTGTATCATATGCACAACCTGCGTCCACCGTCGAACGCTCGGCTTCGCCTTACGATCCGCCGCTCGCACGTCAGCCCGAACCTCCAAAACCCCATGCTTTTGACACGTATAATCGTGCTGGACCTCCCCAGATTAATGGCCAACATGAGGGTTCAGGCCCGTATGGGCGTCCCGAACTTGGCGTGCAAAACATGAATTACTCATCTGATAATACTCACAGTTCACAGGAGTATGGTGGACTATCGAGTGGGTTTACACCCAACTATGACAACAGTTCTCAGTTTTCAGGACATGACGCAGCTGATAGAACGATCGTTCAGAGTAATATTTCTCAAGGGCAGCATTCGGCTCACTCGGGGCAATATACTTATTCGCCCTCGTCCGATTCCAAGCGCTCATCTCAGGATCAACACAGAACGTCTTCGAGACCAATATCTCCTGAATCCCACGCTAGCCCTAAAGAGATGCATCATAGTCCGCCAATAGAAAGGCATGCTCGAATGTCACCAGACGTTGCTTCTCGTTCTGGTGGATCCCAATACACCATTTCCCCAGTCAGCGAGTCGGGCCAATCCTACACTGGTTCCTTAGGTAGAGGTTCTCCAGTCAATAGTCGTGCAGGAACTATGTTGGTTGGCCAATCTTTCTCTACGCTGGACAAAGAGACACATAGTGAACCTTACACACTCTCCACTCAAGTGAGGCAACAGCCAGATGCTTTGCCTTACACTGCAAGCAACTACAATGTGCTGGCAGCTGCACCGTCATTTACTACCTTTGCTGACGCTCCCGGTCGTACGTCCTTTGAGACGTCTTACTCTCCACCGCCGGTCAATGGTCCCTATGCTCCGTCACCATCACTATTAGGCACGAACGATCCTTTAGGGAGAGCAAGTGCCAAGGTTCCTGTTATAAGCTTTGGCTTTGGAGGAAAGCTTGTCACTTGCTTCCATTCTCCCCCTGTATTGGACACTGGTTTTGATGTTGCCCTTTCGTCACGAAAATGTACCGACGTTCATATTTGGATACTTCAAAAAGCGATTCCAGAGTCTGCTTTGGATGCTTCTTCTGCTGTTTATCCAGGTCCGTTGTTTGGCGACCCAGGGTCTCCAGTCTCGACAATTGTACGAACGGCAACTTCGGCTAATACTAAAGCGAAGACGAAGAAGGCAAAGGTCTTGACTTATTTGTCTGAGCGGGCGGAAGAGATTGAGAAAGGTCTTGGGTATCTAACTGCTGGTAGTGTCGACAGACGACGAGCGGAGGGGAAGCTTACCTTGGTGAGGTTGTTGCGAGTCCTGGTAGAACACGACGGTCAGCTTCATGAGAAGTAAGTTTGACTTGTTCACAATGTGGTACTGAGTTTAACCGATTTATTGCAGTTCAGCCGCCGAATCCGACGCGCGGGAAGCGTTGTTACCTCGGTTGGCCACTTCTCAAGATGCTACAGGATCCAATGTATACCTGAACGCACCGACTGGAGCGGCCTTGACTTCCGGAACGTTTGGCTCAGCTAATAGCACTGAGAAGCCATTGGCTGAATATGCCGTCCGCTCGTCCGCTCTTGAAGTTTTGCAGGATTTCCTTCTACGTGGTGAGAAGAGAAAGGCTTACCATTATGCATTGGATGAAAGGATGTGGGCACATGCGATGGTCATTTCTAGTAGCATAGATAAAGAGGCTTTCAAAGAGGTCGTCAGCGAGTTTGTACGTACTGAATTAGGCGTGAAGGCCGGAACTCGTCCAGATGCGCACGTCACCAACGGCTACGAGAGCTTGCGGCTCGCGTACAGTCTCTATTCAGGACAGTCTTCATCTGCAGGTAAGGTCGTTCATACGATGTGGTTGATTTTTTCAATCCCTCATTTCCATGACAGTGCAACACCTCGTCCCCACAAAGTCACTTCAAGCAGGTCCTTCCCTAACGATTCAGCCTCCGACACCGATGAATCATATGACTCCGCTCTCACCAAATTTCCCTTCGCCCTCACAAGCAACAAACATCCCTCACGAGATCCTTTCGCAGTGGCAAGAGTATGCTGTGATGCTTTTCTCTGGTCAAATGGGCGTGGAGTCATCGTCTGCTTTGACTACTTTGGGTGACTACCTTCTGAGTAACGACTGGGTGGAAGCTGCACACTGCTGGTTAGTCCGTCGGCCGTAAACTAAGTAGACTTGATACTAATTAGACTTCCTAGCTATCTCCTTGCCCCTCAGTCATCTCCGATAGGCGGCGTTGGAGCACCTTCTGTCAGGGTCGTCCTTGTCGGCGTTCATAGTCCACATCGCAATGTACACTTTGCAGCCGATCCAGACTCCTTCATCTTTAGCGAGATACTGGAGTTCGCATTGTCGCTGCATACACCTGCGAAAGGACAAGAGGCGTTCCCAGGCTTCCCTCACTTGCAAGTGTATCGGCTTATACGAGCCGTTCAGCTTGCCGAAATGGGTCAAGTTGCCCTTGCAAAACGGTACTGCGATGCAATCACGGGCACCGCTTTCCGACCTTCTCCCTACTTGTCGCAGCTCTTCTCAGATCAACTTAGAGAACTTTGTAATCGTCTGAGTGGAGATCCAGAGCTTGACAAAGCAAACTCCTGGATTGGTGGGAAGATAGCGAAACCGAGTCTTGATGGCATCGGCGACTGGATAGGCGGCAGACTCTCCAAGTTCGTTGCTGGTGAAGCGGAGCCGTCTTCGCCCGTTGCGGGGGAACATCCTATGGCTCCTGCTTACTCCGGCGCGTTCTCGCATTTCAGTAACATTTCGTCTACAAACAATTCTCGAGGATCCTCTCCAGTGCCAGGTCTTGCTAACAACAGCGCCCCGCCAAGTACCGTGGCGGGAAGAATAGCAGCTTCCTCTGTGACCGCTAACTCTACTTCTGCTTATGCGCCTTATAATCGAGCATCATCTGCAATGGGCCTTGAGAGACCTGACTCAAGGAAGAATACTCCTCCGCCATCAAGGGTGCTGTCTGCAGACGCGACTAAGACATCATTCGGACAATCGCAGAGCCTGGCGCAAGCCGCGAACAGCTATGGTTACGGTGATTACGGTAATGGACATCACTTCGCAAATGGAGACGCAAATCATCAAGAAGAGGTTAATAAACCCGCAGAAGGAGGAGGTTGGTGGAGCGCAGCGTACGGAGGTGCTGACACTGCTACGCCTACCGCCACCGCATTTTCGAATGCAGATCCGCATGCTATTGAGACTGAGTCTGGAGGATCTGGATTCATATCTCTGACGGACAACTACAACTCATATACACCATCCCCTTCAACCAGCAAGAAAGGCGATGAAAATGACGATTTTGACGAAGAGGACGCCTTAGGTCTCGGTAACTCAACTGCGAGGAAGAAAAAAGAAACACCGCAAGAAGACGAGGATGGTTCAACGGAGGTAAAAGAGGAGGTGAAGAAGGAGGAACCCAAGAAGCCAGGTAAGCTATTTCGAGAAACAACATCTCTAACTTGTACTAACTGATTGTCAGATCCGAAACCTAATGCTGCAAGCTCTTCCTCCTGGTTCGGACGGTTGTTCAGTCGACCATCTTCAACAAATCCAGGTCCTGTCAAAGCTAAATTAGGCGAGGAGTCTTCCTTCTACTACGACAAGGATTTGAAGAGATGGGTGAACAAAAATGTCCGTAAATCTGATGTCCACGGTATGGTAGATTACTAAATGTTTCTTTACTAGGCTGGTGCAGAGGCAGCAAAACCTGCAGCTCCTCCCCCTCCCCCGTCTAGGGCACAAACAGCCTCTCCTTCAAGGTCTATGCAGCCTTCAAGCTCAGGACCTCCACCGGCTTCTCCAATGCCGCCTCCAGGACGCCCATTGTCAGCGATAGATAAAGGTTCATCTGCTCCTCCGAAAAGGGAACTACAACGAGCACGTTCCAACCTCGTCCCAGTAGACGGCGCAGACTCTTCTGCTCCTCCAACTCCCACTGTAATGTCTTCCTTTTCTGCACCACCACCTACTGGCAACAGGCCCAAATCGGCGGCCAAGAAAAGTGTACGAAGTCGTTACGTTGACGTCTTCCAGCAACCTTCTTAAAACCAGACTTTTTTTTTGTTAACTTACGTTCTTGAGGATTTTTGTAACGTTATTCACTCGTATATCTAAGTACTCTTGTTAGCTTCTGGATGTCACTTAATCTGATAGACTGGAATGATCAATGCTAAGGATGATTTTATTGTTGACGTTTAGTATCAGGACTGCTTCTGCTTGTGGTTTCTCAGACGTTTCGTATGTTTAAACAGGGACGGTGCCTTAAATTAGGATCTACACTACTGACATGTATGATCATCAACTCAGAGTACGTATGAGAATGGATATCCTGGACGTGTCGTTAGAATAGTGTCCAGAGTATATACTGAGGGAGACTACTTACCGCCATTTTTTATTTTGAAGTCCTTGATCAGGGCAGAGAAAGTCAAGACGATCAAGAGTGTGAAAGCATAGATCGCCATTTTTTGGACCGTTTTCTTGGGCTGTCGTGGAGCGCCTAACGTCAATCCGAGGAAGGACGCTGACAAGACGAAGTCTGAATGAAATCACATTTAATTATTAACGCCACGCATCCAGGGCACGCATAACAAGATAAAGAGTAAAGACGTACACTTGAACGAAACAGCCCAAATCTCCGCCCCGACCTGACTCTGAAAACCCGGCATCATAGAATGTTCCCTCGTACGATAGGGCATTCCACGGATACGAACGAACATGAATCCGGAGGTCATGACGAGGATAGTGGAGATTGTGACGAAGGCCCATGTCCAGCGGCTGAGGATGACGGGGAAGAGGAGACGGGCGGTGAGTGCGAAGAGGGTTAGGGATGCGATGACTGAGAGGACGAGGCCCCAGTCTATGGGGACCTTGTAGGGGATGGGCACGGGTGTGAAGTTGGAGAGTTGGAGGGCGAGTTCTTTTGCGTCGTTCCCACTGTTTCACAATTTAGTTATTTAGCCCGAGAAAGGAGGGAGAGGGAGGATATAGAAAGGATAGGAAGACTAACAAGTTATTGAAGTCGTAGTTGAATGGATCTGTCTTGCCGCTGGGGAGTTTATTTGGGCCTTGGGTTGCAGGGTAGTAAGTAACGACTGGTGCCGACATCAGATTAAGCTGAACAGACAGGTAAGTTAGGATGCTCCAATAGCATATTTCGGAGTTTCGCTCACCTTCCTGAAGACTCCCTCTGCATCGGCAAAGTCTGCGGTGGCGAAGAAGTGCTTGCTACGCTCGGCCTTCGGTACACTTGACCAAGCCTTCGCGACAGCACGGAACGACGGGTCAAAGTCCCTACACTCGTACTAATAAGAAACGAGCTTCTTCCCTCCAGTAAGTTATGCGACTAATACGCACTTGCACGGAGTACATTTCATGTTCTTGCCAAGCGCAGTGAGCTGGACGACAACAGACCAGTCACGCTTCGCCGAAGTCAACTCGTCGAAGAGAGATTCGTCAAGCCGGATTACACCGTCGGAAGACTTTTCAGCGAGCGCGGAGAATTTCTCTACAGGAGAGTTTGATGCTGCCAAGCATAGTGGCACAGCCGCCAGTGCAAGCAAGAGAGGTCTGAGCATCGTGTGTGGAGGTTAATCTAAGAGTGTGTTGAGTAGCTGCTGCGCGCAGCCTACGTGTCAGACGCGTGATCGACGCGTCCATCCAATTCCAATTTACTCACTCGCGAATAGATCGGGTTGCTCAATCCGTGCGTGTGTCCTGCATGTTTACTGCTACCTTCTCTACCTCCTCCCACCATTCATGTCGCATGCTCTCCTCCTTCGTCTATTCCTTTCCCCTTCCTTCTTTTCTGTAAACGTTGCTCTCCAGTATCTTACCGTATATCATGATAATATCGGCATCACTTATTACCTCACCCGAAGACTCAAGGAATTCGACATTCGTGAGTTAAGGGACGTATGGGGTTTTGTATGGTCGGTAGTGTAACATGATTTCATTTAAGAGAACCCGTGTTGCTAATGAATCTTTACAGTCATCTGCTAGTGACTAGACCATCAAAATCAAGAGCTCTGGAATGCTTCGTGGTGGAAACATGTGAACAGTCAACGCATATGGCTATGTTCGTACGTCTGCCTGCTAGATACTGCTCATTAACTCTGAACTGATTAAACGAAATGAATATGTAGACACTATGGTTCATGCAAGCCCACCTAAAAGACCTCGCCCTACAGAGGAAAGATTCAAAATCCTTCGTAATATGTCAACGAATTATGCACCGTTGCCATGAAATCATTTTTGAGGACTCTCCCGGACTTGTCACTGGTCCTTACTCCAGTATGAAAGTCCGGTCAAGAAAGTTCATGCAGAGGAACCGAATTAAGCATCACGTGCGGCCTGCTTTGGTAGGCATGGGATGTGTTCTTGGAGCACCAAGTTTGCCTACGTTCACGAGAGTGTCTGGACAAGTCGCGCTGGAGCAGGGTCGAATAGAGGAGAGGGAAGGTAACTTGAGGAGCTTGGAGCCTCAAATAGACGAGAGTCCTGTTCCGTCTCTGTCGCCGCGCGCAAAGGATGTACAGGCCGACGAAGTGGAAGATGAAGATGAGAATGAGGAAAGGAACGACGATGAACAACCTGTTGTGAAAGTTCAAACAGCAGAGGGGGACCTCGACGATCCGGAGATCCAAGAAACTGACAAGGGACGTTTAATATTCAAGGTTCTCTCGCAGTCTCAAAATATGCGAGAAGCTGCGCAGACCACCCCAGCATTCTCGACTATCACAGATAGAATTCGCCGTTCTATGGCAATTGACGATCCTTTCGGGCAACTCGACGCACCATCCTCAAATCCCTTGCCATACCAGTCCTCACCCGCTATTCCTAATTCCAGGAAATCTCGTCCGTCAAGTAGCGGCAATGTCGTAGAAGCTCTCGTGCAAGAGTACGACCTTGACGCTCAAAGACACCTTTTACAAGCTTACTACTGTCGTGCAGAGGTATGCCAGATCAAATTACACATTACTCTTGTCCTTGATCTGAGGCCCCCTGTAGATCCAATTCATGCTAACGCTAGAGAATATATCAAGCCGTCTCCTGGTCGTACCAAAACTCGCCAGAGTGAGTGCGCTACGAGCGGAGTTAACGTCTTTAAATCATAAATTACCAGCAGAGGTAGAGACATTCAACGGTTACATGTTTCATTTAGCGTTTAAAAATATCATCCTGCACAGGTCTGTATGCCGATGTGGTGTTCAGGAATTGACACCCCATCTGAAGCTGATGGTCAATCGAAGCCTCATCATCGGATTGTCAGAGTACCTCCTGGAGAAAGTGTGGTATTAAATTCAGCAGAGCGAGCGCCGTACCTTTTGGTTCTAGAAATTCTTCATGGTGACCTCGACTTTGAACCGACGGAGCGGAGCAACAAGGAGTTACTGAAGGGCATAATCCGAAAAGAGTTGAAGTCAACGAGGGCGCCCCGTGAGACATTCGGATTGCGCGAACCCTCTAATAATGGACGGTCAGGTCCTCCGGTTGTACAAACTTCCAGTGCAGAGGAAGCTTTGAATTCCAACGACGATACTGCAGACTCAGGACCGTTTTCACAGAACTTCTCACAGTCTCTGTTGAGCGTGACGAGTGGTAGCAACGCAGAAGAAGAGGTCGACCTGGTAGAGCAGGTATACGGCGAAGATTTATCTGTCCATCGAACACCCGACCTCTCAGAGTCGTTTGTCATGCCTACCCCACCTAAGAACAGGGCTCTCGACATAGCCGCTTGGTCACGATCGAATTCCACTCCCGTCTCACCTGCTATGACTCCTGAACTGTCCACCGCAGAATCATTAGGAAACAACGTTACCCAGCGAACACAATCACACGCAACAGTGTCTTCACAAAGCTCAACCGGCTCAGGTCGAATACCCGCGCTTTCTCTTGACGAGTACAGTGAACGAATGCGGACAGCTGCGGTGATGTTGGCGCAACTCAACGCAAGTCTCGTAAAGGAAACTGTCGTCTCAACGACAACACCTCATTCCGAATACCCACCCTCAACAGGACAAATTTCGTCTTCAGGAGGGGGTAGTGGTGGTAGCTATAGTTGGTTCCCAATGGCGAACTGGCTTTCGGGAGTTAACGCGTCAAACTCGGCTGGTCCGATCCACCCTTCGCTCTCCGGTACCGCACGGGATCCGTCGAAGAACGCACAGGGTGGAGGTGTGGGAGTTACAGCCACGACGCAACGCATGAAACTCCAACCTTCCGAAGTTGCTGCTATTCGCGAGAGGATCATGCAAGAGATGTTAGCGCTTGAAGAAGATCGTATGGGCCGGATGCAGGTCCATCCCGAGTCTGATCCTATAATGACTCTTGAGGGAGGACATGGTGGGTTGAAGACTGCTGAAGACGAGCAGATTATTCGACGTGAGCTAAATCGGGTGGACCCTTCTGCTGTTGTGTTTTCTGAGTCTTGGGCTACGAAGAAGGTGCTTCTCACTCCTCTTTGCTTCTTATTTCAATCATTTATTCGTTCTTGTTTTATTTATTGAATTTATTTGGTTTTTGACAGAGTCGAATACGACAAGGATCTCCCTATGGTCACCTGGCATCATGGGACTGCGTCTCCGTCATCGTCAAGACCGGAGCAGATTTACGACAAGAACAACTCGCTGTTCAGATGATCCAGGAGTTTGAGAGGATTTGGAGGGAGGAGAGTTGTCAATGTTGGGTTCGACCGTAAGTCCTTCCTTACATTCAACCAAATCAGAATAGATAAAAAAGAGAAGGAAGTGTTAATTGCTACTTGTTTCGATGTATCAATTTAGCTTCCAGATCTTGATTACTGGTGGATCGTCTGGTTTAGTGGAGACTATTACTGACGCTGTTTCGGTCCATTCGATAAAGAAAGCTTTGTATGCTCGACGATTGACGGATGGGGGATTGGGGCAGGTTACTTTGTTGGATCATTTCATCAACGTTGGTTTCTTCCTTGTTTTTTTGTTTCCTTCTCTGCGTATAAGTTGACGAATTTATCAGTCGTATGGTGATCCCTCTTCAGCCAAGTTCGCTCGAGCCCAAAGAAACTTCGTCCGGTCATTAGCGGGTAAATACTCCCTCAACCTCCTTCTAACCCCAAAACTACGCTCTCACAGCATAACCCCTCTCATCACCATCCATAACAGGCTACTCAATAATAACCTACCTCCTCCAAATCAAAGACCGTCACAACGGTAACATCCTCCTCGACCGAGACGGTCACCTAATCCACATAGACTTCGGGTTCATGCTCTCCAACTCACCGGGCAACATTGGTTTCGAAGCTGCTCCGTTCAAGTTGACGTTTGATTATGTTGAAGTTATGGGTGGTGTAGATAGTGTTGCGTTTCGTGAGTTTAGGAGGTTGTTTCATGAGGGGTTCCAGGCTGCTAGGAAGCATTGTGATCGGATTATTAGTGAGTGATGGGTCGTTCTCCGGAATGTTTGCAAATAAGTCTTATTTTTCCCCTTCGAATAGCTATCGTTGAGCTCATGCAGAAAGGCACGTGAACTCACGCTTTCGATGACGCCTGTTTAGCGCCAAATACTTACTTTATATAATTGTTAGACTCGTCTCTACCCTGCTTCGCAGCCCTCGGCGAACAAACAGCCCAACAACTCCGAGATCGCTTCCAATCGAAATCCAATCAACAGTCCGCGACAGAACTCATCGAACGACTCGTCATGTCCTCTCTTGGATCAAATTGGACAAGGTTGTATGATTCGGTATGTTCTTTACTGCTATTCCATTCCATTAATTATCGGTGTTGTGAACCAGTACGATTGTGCTGACTTTTATTTTACTGTTGCAGTTCCAATATTATTCGCAATCCATTTTGTAATACCAATATCTTGCTTGCATTTGCTGTCCATCTTTCGGATTCTTTTACTCCTGTTCTATTATCTCTCTTTCTTCACATTGACAATGCATGAATTTAAGCGAACGATGCACTCCAAAATGCCGATGTATAATATTGAGTATCGAGTAAGGCAGGAAACCTTTTCATATCCAAAGCATCGGCACTCCAATCCGGTTTAGTCCAGAGTGAATTCAAAATAGTATAAATAAGTCCAATGGATATGGGTCGAACAAGTGACAAGATGCAAGTATGACTAACAACGGAAAAGTGGGCAACAGAGGGCCTGTATAGCTAGCTACCTATATGTTGCGAAGAGGGGAGGGGGAGGGGAGCATGTATGAAAGCAAGGAGGACTAGTTAAAGAGAGCATCATATCGCTTCAGACACGAATACCATTCATAATCTACAACATTCACAATCAGGCGCAATCCAAAAATATTAATTAACTACAAAGACACTCACCAAAGTTCTCCTTCTCATTACACCAACACTTCCCCCTCTCATGTGCCTCTCCCTGCGGACAATGCTGGAACGGCTCATGTCGGTATCCAATATCATTAAAAAAGTGAATTTGATCTTTAGATGCGAATAGAGCGGCACCGATAGAGTGGACGGGCGCGTCACCCCATCGTTCGTAGTAGAATCCACCTTTTTGGTCTAGATAGTCGAAGAACTTGGTGTAGGCTTCGCTGCGCCAGAAGTCTAGGTCGCCGATTTCGAAGTTGCTCCAGACTATTTTTAGGGTGGTAGAAGCGATTAGTTTCAGTTTCAATTCTCAATCAGAAGAAAAAGAGAAAGAAAAAGGAAGGAGAGGATACGAACAATGGCATTTATTAAACGTCTCTCCTCCATCGTCTGAGATGAAGTTCATCGCATTGTCTTCTGGCATCAATCCCGGGTTCTCATTCAAGAAGTTCTTAACTTCGTCCCAGAGAGTCGGGATAGTCTTTGGGTATTCGTATAGCGAGACTGTGAATCCGTATACTTTCTTCTCGTCTTCCATGATCAGGAACGGGTCGTAGTGGAGATCGCAAAAGAATTGGACGTTAGGTCTACGATCATATGCGTCAATAATTAATTTCATAAGGGAAGGAGAGGATGAGAGTATGCTACTCACTCTACTCGCCAGTAGTATCGATAATTCTGCAATAGCTCGTGCCGATAGAAGAAGCCAGAGTTGAACCGGCACATATTGCGGTACCTAAATAGACATCATAAAAAAATAGACACGTTAAAGACTCCGACGCCATTTAGACTCAATGGATCGACTCACGGGAGACTTCCACCATAGATGACGTTGTCTTTTTGCATCCTTTCGCGCGCCTGTCTCGCCTTTTCATCGTCGATCCAATCAGGTTGGTACCAGTGTTCACTGGGTATCTGGCCGTAGTGGATTTCAGCGTCTGTTATCTCCCTTGTTCGCCTGTGATTCATCCTTAGTATCACAATGCTAAGAAATGAAAGAAAGTTCGACTCACTTCTTGAATTCATCATCGAACGGTTCTTCATTTAAGAAAACCCAAGGATAATTGAACTCTTTATTGAATCGGTCTTCTGCCTGTTTCATGCTACTGATAACACCTTGAATATCACTGTTGCGAGCAAGGACGACGAAAGTCGCATTTGCTTTTCTCGTGAGCGGGTCCGCAGGCTTAGGTGGGTGAATGTATTCTTCAGGTACAGGTGTCTTGTAAGGAGGTTCGCCCTTTTGGCCGAAGTGCAGCTGGCCAGCTATGTGGGAAAGAGAGGTCGCTCTGCCATATCCCTCATGCGAGAAGCTCAGAATGTAATGCAAACTAATCTGTAGTAGACAGTCAACGTGTCAAGGGAGACGCTCAAGTGATATTCTGTAGATGTAGAGGACATACAATTATGGCCAGCACGAGTAAAACATACCGCATTGGCGTCATCATCTTGGCGACGGACAGGGCCTGCTGTCAGAGACTAGACTAGGCCCGGTGGGTATGTGGTGTGTGAGGTGGAAGAGAAAGAGTTGTATGTTCACACAGCTGGGTTATAACAGATGAGAAAGATGCGAGACGAACGAGCGGCCAACGGGCAAGGGAGCCGTCGATCGGCTGCGGACTCGCATTCGGAAACAAGACTCTTAACCTAGATCACTCATTGCTGATCGGCACGCGCCATTCCCGTAACGTGCAGATACTTCCATATAAGGTAAATAAGTTCTGATGACAACTGTCAACTTTTTGCACGCGGGATTTCATTTTCTTTTCTGCACAGACAAACAAGTGCGTCTGCACCACACCGCAATGGCCGCCAGCACTTCCCAAGAAAAAGTCGGCCAGCTCGATATCGCAGCACCTCCATCTGCACCTCCATCTCCATCCTCCTCCTCATGGCCAGCTTTCATGTCTCCCGTCATCAGCACCTATGACCGCTTTTCACAATGGAAGTCAGGTCGTGAGTTGGCCTATCCAGGCAACGTCGAGAACTTGCAAAAGGAGGTCAAAGGTGCGACGCGTCCTATTAGCAAGATATTTTAATAGTTTAATCTGTTATCGCTCTGCAGCAACACACTTGACCAACTACATCTTCGATGGCGCTCGAGCCGACCTCACAAAAGCGTTGTCCGTCAATCCAGCCTTCCAAGTCACCCACTCCTTTTCTCTCGCATCACAGACTACTTTACCTTCATATAATTTCGGTGCCATCTTCGCCAATTCAAAAGTGAGTACTGCCGTTTCATGAGCTGCGTACTTACTAATTCTCGATAAGGTTTTCATGCAAGGTGGAGTGGATCACGAAGGTGCTGTGAATGGGCGATTTAACGCTGGCTGGGACGAAAAAAATGTCACGAAGGTCCAGATGCAGGTAATTTTCATCTTCTCTTCCTAGGAACTCGTAGTCATATTCATCGTATGAACAGTTAGGAACGCAACCCGGTACCAGCATGTTACAAGCGGAGCACGACTTTACTGGCCAAGACTACTCTCTCAACCTAAAGGCATTAAACCCTTCACCAATCGATTGGTCCGGTCTCTTCATTGGCAGCTACCTCCAATCTGTCACGAAGAATCTTGCTCTCGGTTCCGAGGTTCTCGTTCAACGAGGCGGGCCCGTAGAGATCCCCACCACACCATCGTTCCTAGCCAAGTACACCGGCTCAAACAAAGACTGGATAGCAAGTGCACAAGTGCAGCCGGCAGGTTTACTCCAGACGAGCTATTGGCAGAAGTTGAACGAAAAGGTTGAGGCCGCTGCGGATTTGCAAATCATGACTGCGAATGGGAAACGCGAAGCTGTCGCAACGCTCGGTGCGAAGTACGATCTTCGCATGTCGACGTTCCGGGCTCAGCTCGATTCGACTGGGAAGGTGTCTGCGATGCTCGAGCAGCGTTTTGCACCGACGTTTGCGTTCATGGTTGCTGGTGAGATTGATCACTTCAAGGTACGTGTCATCTACTACGACTCAGAATTCAACGTCGCTAATCTAATCATCATTCCTTCCTTGACAGAACAACGCAAAAATTGGTGTCGGCGTGATGATCGAAAGCTCAAGTCTGACACCAGAAGAGATGGGTATGGTACCTCAACCCGCATACCCTCCCCCTCCTGCATCGTATCCTTGATGATGATGACGATGGACACACAAATTTTTTAATTTGAGTAATTAGCAGTAGCAGCCAGCAATAGATATTTTACACGCACACGTCGCTTTATTCATTCAGTTCCTCGCTTGCTCTCCTTCTCCATTACTCTCTTTTGCTTATTTGCTCTGTCTCTTCTGCCTCTTTCTCTGTCCATATTGTTCATGTCTTGCCTGACTCAGCGACCAATATCCTTTTCTCTCCCAAAAAATCCCAATTCTTTACACGACACACTCTGATTTGACCACGTGTAGTGCACGTCATTGATCGGCGAGACGCGACGCGTTTCCGTTTAGCAAAAGCAAAGCAAATCATGGTTTAGCTTCACGCCTCTTCAGTGTTCTGGACTGAACTGTTGCTTATCTTTGCCCACGATGTCCAGAAGCTCCGACCTCCTGCTTGAAGTACGAAACCTAAGATGCTTTCTTGATAGAGGGATCCCGGTGTTATGTGATATAAGCTTCGATGTCTATCAGGGTGATATACTCGTTCTGCAAGGAAAGAGCGGGTGTGGGTACGCTTCCCTCATGCGCAGCAGCACAGTTATTTCTTGGCCTGAGGGACGTTTTTAATTGTAGGAAATCTACGCTTTTGAAGTGCCTTGCGCATCTGAACGTGTATGATGGAAATATATTGTTTCGTGGACAGTTGCGTTGTTTGATTTTAATTCTTTTCTTTCTCTTGAGTGACATACTTTCCGTAGGACACCGAAAGAACTCGGTAAGTCGCATCCAAGTTATGATGTTCCCTATTGCCTCCACTCACTATTTCGCTTGATTTTTGCTCAACAGGTATACCAAACTATCGAACGCACGTCCTCTACGTCCCCCAACGTCCCTCTCTCCTCCCAGGCTCACCAAAAGACTTCATAGCCCAACTCAACTCATTCAGCGTGCACGCGTCCCGCGAGAAACAGCGTGTCCAATCCATCACCAACGGCGACAGCGACACGTCACGGAAGAGTTTACTCGAACGCGCTATGGAAGTAGCTAACGAGTGGGGCGTGGAAGAAGGGACGTGGGATAGACCGTGGGCGACGTTAAGTGGCGGAGAGGCACAGAGGATCTCACTCGCTACTGCTGTTGGACTTGATTGTGCGGATATCCTTCTTTTAGACGGTACGCCACCCATCCATTCCTCGTCCTTCCGAAGAAGAGTTGGATTAAATTCCAACTAACTGATGTGTTCTCTGTTTACAGAACCGACCTCAGCTCTAGATTCAGACACAAGCACCCGCGTCGAAACACACCTCCAAAACCTCCTAAAAACACCCCACGCGTCCCTAAAAGCACTCATCTGGATCACACACTCCCCCGAGCAAGGACATCGCGTCGGAACACGCTTCCTCGAACTCTCAAACGGGTGCTGTCAAGAAGTTCTAATACCCACCAACACAGTGTAAAAAATGATACAAACAAGATAAAAATTGTGATTAATATAAGGGAGCCTGTACCCCTACCTAAACCTCTGCTATAGAATAGAAAAACACCAAACTCGCTCCTTGAATTTCTACGATTTTCTCTCTTTTTTCAGCTTCTTAGTAGTAGGTTCTAGATGGAAAGGGTGAAAAATCAAGGTGCGGTCCCTTAGCACAGTTGGTAGTGCTTTGTACTTATGAGGTTACCTTAGCCTGCGTTATGCAAGGGTCCCGAGTTCGAGTCTCGGAGGGACCATGCCGTGAGCACGTGTTTCTTTTTTCTTGCTGTTACTGTAACTTTCAATGTACTTTTAATTCTTACATTTATGCTATTAGTATTATGGGAGGGGACTCCACAAACAGTAATTGAAAAATACATTTTTATGAAGAAATGCCCTACTAGGCTAAGGTTTTGTGTACTTAGGACTGACTAAACTGTACTTTTCTCCTAAAAGGCAATTTGAAAACTGCTACTAAATCATGAAAAATTTGAGTTGATATTATTTTATTGTGTAACAAGCTTGAGAATTACACAGGTGAATTGTAGTATCTGTAATTACTAAGACAATCTGTATAAGGACTTCTAAGAATTTAATTACTATTTATTATAATTTTTAAAGTTATATATATAATTTAGAATACATATAAAAGGGTTGTAGGTAGCTACTTTGGATCTTATCTTTGTACCTTACTTCTGTACTTAGGTTACTAGAGCTTAATCCTATATTATTATCTGTTCTGTGTTTCTAAGTAAGGTTCTAACCTTACACTTTTTTTTGAACAATACTATAAGTCTACTCTATAACTTACAATAGTTTCTATACAGTTCTATACCTCTCCTAGTGTAGAACCACATTTCTGAACCTGGACCTTCTCTCAAGCCTAGACCTTTTTAGTATAGACTCTAGAGTCACACATATTTCCTCTTTTGTGTTTACACTATATTTCCCTATTGTCTAAGTTACATACCCTTTATTCTTAAACACATACACTCTCCCTTTTATCTTTTACATTGTTTTCCCCTTTAGGTGTGAGCCACCTTTGTTTCATTTCTAGTATATATAGTTTCTATCTTTCACCTTTGTTGTACTAGTTCTTATTCCTAACTATAACAAAAGTGAGTTCTTACACATATATAGACTAGTTCTTATTCCTAACTATAACAAAGATACCTTTGTCCTGTCAGTATTCTGTGTATGTTAGTAAACCCAGAACTTGACAGAACTTGTTTGTAACAGTATTTAGTACTTTCCTAGTACTATTCTACTTTTTTTTTAACATTAACAAAGTAGTCTTTATTATACTATATGTTAGTAAGGTTCCTCTTAACCTTTCTAAATGCCTCTTACTGTTAGTAAGGTTCCCTCAGTCTTTCTAAACACTCTCTACTGTTAGTAAGACTCTTTAGCCTTTCTAAATATACTACTATAGTCTTAAAGTAAGTTTAGCTCTCTTTCTAACTGTATATAATTAGGTCTTGTTTCCTCTAACACTAAGTATCTTTAAAAGCTACTATAGTTACTTCTCTATTAATTAGAGAAGCTGTATTTACTTCCCCTACACTACTACTATCTATAGTAACTCTAAGTTTGGATTTAGTAAGTAGTTTAAACCTTTCAGAACTAGAAAGTAATACTAGTAAGCTACTCACTCTAAACTACTAGAAGGCTACTATGTTCTGTACTACACTTACTAAAGCTTAAGTAGTCTGAGAAAGTGTAACAAAGTCTCTAATACTGACTCTGAGTAACTTAATACTATATACTCTCTAGTTATAAATCTTTACATTTTGTAAGTATGTGTTTACTAAATCTATCCTTACAACCTGTATAGTTACAGTTATAATAGAATGTCTACAGAATAGTAAGCTATACTAGTAGTACAAGTATAACTAGTCTAGACTTAAGGGGCTTACACTAGATACATTCTATCAGGAGCTTTAGTACAAAATACTCTCTACAAACTAAGTAGTGTAAACCTAGAACAAGCTACTAATAATATAGTAAGATAGTCACAACTTTTAGAAATAGTAACTATAAGTTACTAGAATCAACTTTAGTCTTCTAGAAGATTAGTGTCTTGATTCTGATAGGCTTTATAAACTTCTCAAAGCTAACCTATACTCAGACCTTTAGTTTAAACTTTACTTTATACTTGTAAATTTAGTTCTAACACATTCTGAGTAGCTTATAATATATACAGAAAGGTTACATATAGTAACCTTAGTAAATAGTTAGATCCCTGATTCTACAAATCACCTCCTAACTCTAGAACCAGTCTAGGGAAAAGAAGTAACAGATTGTACTAAGCTCTGTAGATAGTTAGAACATGTGTATAAACTAGTAGAACAGTTAGAAGTAGACTGTATAAAAGTTTGTAATAGTATAGAAGTAATACTTACAGTAGAACATGTTAGTAACAGTATAGAGGGGACCTGAAGGCTTAGTAAGGGGACCCAGGCTACAACTATCCTACACAACAGAAATACAGAATGTAAGTACTAGAATGTAGTCAGAACTTGTAGAACAGGCAGAGAGAGTGAGTAAGACAAGAGTAGAGTATATAGAGTAAGCCTAGGAGTACAGGACTATTTAGAGTAGACAAGATCAAGACTACAGGACCAGTCTGATCTTGTCTACCTATATATACTAAACTATACAAGAGTACTCAGAGAGTATAAGTTACTAAGAATAATAAGCTATAAAGAATGAAAGAAAGGAAGGTCAAAGATAAAGGTACAAAGAATGAAGGGATAGACAAAGGGTAAGAGACTATAGAATGAACAAAGAATGAAGGGGTAGTCAAAGGAATAGAATGATGAAGTAAGGAAGGATAGTAGTAAGAGTTAGTATGTATATAGTTTATAGACAGTACCTTTGAGGGACAGAAGTCCTAAGTTCTAGTACAGAAGAGTGTAGAACCCTTAGAACTGAAAGTACAAGAGTAGAGAACTGTAACATTACCCTCCCTCTAAAACCAATTACTCTAATTGGTGAACATTAGGCTTAGTTAGTAGTTTAGACATAGGTTAGAACAGTAGGGTTTAGAAATCTGTAAGGCAGAGTTAATACAGAGCACCTGGATGAAGTTAATAAAAGTCTCAGATTGTCTTAGTAGTATAAGTGAGATTCTTAGTAGGTTCCCAAGTGTGTTCCTCAACTAGGTATCCCTTCTAGTAGATAAGGAACTTGAGCTTTCTGTACACTAGCTTAGTATCTACTATATACTCTACTTTGTATTCTGGTTTAGAACTGATAAGTTCTAGTAAAGGTAGTAGGGGTCTTTATTATGAAGGAAAACTGGAATCATAGTACTAAGATAATAGAACCTTATTAAACACTGAGTGTATGTACTTCTATGTTGTTAGAAGTTAGAGTTTGTAGACAGAGGTACTAACCTTCTTTTTAATAACAAAGGGTCTGAAGTACTTGTTGTCCAACTTCTTTATTAGACAATCTAAGGTCAGATTAGTAGTTTCTAGTATAACCTTGTTACTAGGCTGGTAATCCTTAACTGTAGACCTCTTTCAATTATAGTTCTACTTTATAACTTGTACTACCTTTTCTAAAAGAGCTCATGTATCCTCCCTAGTCCTGTACATCTGTTCTACAAAGTCTGTTACAGATTTGGAACTACTGTTCCAGTTTGGAACTGTCTCCTAGTATAGATGTCTCTTATAATTAAGGAAGAACAGGGACTGTTCTGTTATAGAGTATTACTAGTTATTGTGTACAAATTCTGCTAGAGCTAACTATTCAGACTAATCTGATTACTAATAATTAATGAACATTTAGAGGTAGAGCTTAATCTTCTAATTGACTTACTCAGTTTGACTGTCAGTCTGTAAGTAATATATAGTAGAAGGGTTCCCTTGAATTCTAAGAAGCACATACAAGTCCTATATGAATTTTAACTCAAATTACAGTCTGTAATTGTGAATAAGCTTCTAAGGGAGTCTGTGTAACCAAAAGACATGATTCTAATAGATACACACTATACCTTTAAAAGTAAGTTCTGTTCAGGTCAGAACTGTGTAGACTTGCTTAGAGAATTAGTTGACAATTATACAGATAGTATTATAACCTTAAGACTTGAGTAGCTTACTAATCAGGTCTACTGAGACTTCTTCCTAAGAGTGATCTAGGATCTAATACAGATGTAGAGGAGTCTAAACTCTTGTCTAGTAGGCCTTAGTCTGTTAGTATGTATTACAACTAGTTATGTACTTTAGGATTTCTCTCTACATTCCTAACTACTAGTAGTTCTAAGTAATGAGTTCCTGTGTTTTGTGTTAGCCTGAATGTCTTACAGTCAGATTGTTGTAATAAGCTTAAACAATGTCCTTCTACAGCTTCTGATCCTTTAGAATGTATAGTCAGCCTTCTTAGTAAACCTGTCCATTCTTATCCTCCTCCTAATCCCTAGCCTGCTTCTCTAACTACTTTACTACAACCTAGTCCTGTGTGTGTCTTAGAGCTTACTGTATGTAGGTAACAAAGTTGACATTCTTAGATTTGAGTCAGATCTCTTAGATTGTCTTAGACACAAAACAGGAATTGTTTAGGAGAACAAGATTTTTGTTATTATTCTCCCCCCTTTTATAACCTACTTGTCTTAAGAGTAAATCAGCTTTCATCATTTGTGTTCCAGGTTTGTAGGTTAGTATAAAGTTATAGTTCTACAGTTCTAACATCTAGTAGGCTTAACAGTAGTTGAGCTTCTGAAGCACTTAGAAGTACTAGAGATTAAAGTGATCACTCTAAATCTTAAACTTCTGTACAGTACTAAGGAGATATTAACACTACTCCTTTAGGGAACAGACAATTGTGAGAAGTTCCTTATTATAGATAGAGTAGTTCTGTTCTGTTATAGAGAGGGATTCTAATCAGAACACTATCAGACACTACTTTCTGTCAATGAACTAGGACAGTACTACTCTATTTGTAAAGTTGGAAGAGTTAGCTTTAACTTAGAACTTGTCTACAACTATTAGAACTGTTAATACAGACTTACTAGTAATAGTCTACTTAAGGGACTTGAATGTAGACTACTACTAATTATTCTATTACTAAGAAACATCTTTACTAGTAAGATTGTGAAGGGGTCAGACAATAGTACTAAAGTCTTAAATAAAGTATTAGTAGTAGTTTACAAACCTAAGGAATACTTAGACCTGTTTTAGGTTTTAAGGTTGTAGCTAGTTCTAAACTGTAGTTACCTTTGTCAGATCCATACAGACCTCTCCTCTACTGATTA